GTTGTTATTATTAACTCCCATTGCCAAACACAAGAGTTGGAATGGGAAAGCAGCCCACTGTAAGACCCTGTTTAGTCCCCCAAAGTAATTATTATGATTATTATTAAAGCTGCTAGGGACAGTTTCTTGGGTCTCAGGCTCTGCTTTTTGTATTTTTTTCAATCGCAGAACCCCCCCCCCCTTCTTTTTTTTTAACATGAGTGTTAACAAAATCCATGGATAATAACAGACCAACCAAAAAAAAATTCTTGATGTCTTTGTTTTTAGGCCTCTTCCTGGGGTTATTTGATGTGCTGATTCAGAACATTGCACTGGATAGACCACATCAGATCTAGATTATTAAATATGGTTTTCTGTGGGTGAGCAGATGGCAACTACTGGATGGCATATGTTCTGTATCAGAAACTAGAGCTGGGTGGTCTATCCAATACAATTTTCTGAATCAGCACCCCAAATAACCAAGTCAAGTCTAAAGTTGACCAAAAACAGATTGACCTGCAGAATGGTCCCTGGTCAAGTGGTCCCCGGTCAACAAAAGGTTGGGAACCACTGGTTTAACAGTTCTTTTATTAGGAAGTTATCTTAAAATGTTTAGGTGGGATCACTTTCCCTGCAGTTGGAACCCACTGCTCTCCTCCACAGGACAACCTTTCAAATATTTAAACATCACTTTATAAAGTTTAAAAAAAAGTTTTATTGTGCATTAGGTTTAAAGAAGTGAAAACAAGTATAAAAATAAGTTATATTGGGGTATCACAGTCCACTCCAAAAAATAATAATAAAGCAAACTCAAAATTCATTAAATAAATAAATATAAAACAACCAATGACATAAAGAAAGCGTGGCACTTGTAAACAGAAGGCTTGATACTTAAATATTTGACATTTTAGTACAGTTTTTTTTAAAAAAAACTTTAAAAAGTGTCCTCAGCATACATCAAAGCAATCACTGGTATGTATTTTTTTTTTAAAAAAACTTTTCTATATACATTTTTTTCTATTCCTACATTAACAGCATAGCACCACAACAACAAGCCTTTTAGCACTGGCACATCAAGTAAATGGTAATATTTTCCCTAATCTATAAGGCAATATCCACAATTCTTAAGACGCACTCAATTCTTAAATGCTTTGTTATGTTTTCTCACGGCTCTAAAGGAAATTACTCATGCAAAGGCAATACAAATAACCAGTGAACTCTAAAAAAGCTATTTAGGATTCCTATAACTTTAGTCTATGAGAAAATGCCTGCACTGTGCTGCCTAAGTTAGCCAACCATAGTCTTTTAACAGGTTGTTTGCAAGGCAAGAGTCAGAAGTCAGAATGGCTGGCTTTTTCTGGTGTAAATGAAGATCCCCATTTCTCCCTTTGGTCCTCTCTTCACTTTAGAAGATGAAACAAATCTATTGTTTCGTGTGGCATCCAAACCCAGGCCCCTGATATATTGCTCCCAACAAACCAAGATTTGCTGAGCTTTTTGTCAGAGCAATAAGACCAGAAACCCACGTTTGGACCTGATGTGTAACTGCACATGCTTGTTTTATTAATACACACTCTAGAACAGGCATGGACAAACTTTCTAACTTGGGGGCTGCACACTAGCACTCCCTGATAGGAGGACTGGCTGCCCGGTGATGGAAGGATGGAAGGAGAAAGAGGAGATAAGAAGAGGAAGACAAAAAGGAAGGAAGGGAAAGGGTGGAAGGGATGGATGGATGGGGAAAGGGAAGGAAAAAAGGGATGGAGGAAGGGAAGGAAGGAAGAAGGAGGAGAAGAGGAAAGGAAGGAAGGGAGGAAGGAAAGGAAGAAAAAGAGAAGGAAGGAAGGACGAAAGGGTGAAGGAATGGAGGGGGAGAGAGAGGAGAGGGAAGGAGGGAGGAAAGACAAAAGGGAAGGAAGAGAAGAGGGAGAGAGAGAAGAGAAGGAGGAAGAGAAAAGAGAAGGGAAGGAAGAGGGAGGGAGAGGGAGGAGGAGGAAGGGAAAGGAGGGGAGAAGGAAGGAAAAGGGGAGAAGGAAGGAAAAAGGGAGAAGACAAATGAAGGGAGGAGGAAAGAGAGAAGGAAGGAAAGACAAAAAGGAGAAAGAGAGGGAGAGAGGGAGGAGGGAGGAAAGAGGAGGAAAAAGTGAAGGGAGGAGGGAGAAGAGGGAGGTAAGAAAGAGAGGGAGGGAAGGAGGAAGGAAGAGAGAAGGAAGGAAGGATAGGATGGTGAGAGAGGGGAGGGCCTGAGAAAAGATCCCAAGGGGCTGCAACTGGCCCCTGGGCCTGGGTTTGCCCATTCATGCTCTAGAATGTACGTGTAAAATACTGCATGATATACAAGAACATTAGGAAATGTACACAACAAAGAAACATACAACTGTATTGTCGAAGGCTTTCATGGCTGGAATCACTAGGTTCTTGTGGGTTTTTTCGGGCTATATGGCCATGTTCTAGAGGCATTTCTCCTGACGTCAGGAGAAATGCCTCTAGAACATGGCCATATAGCCCGAAAAAACCCACAAGAACTGAGAGAAACATACAACTCTTTCCATATAAATTAATAGATGAGACACTCTTATCATGTCTTCCCTCAAATTTTCGCTGCACCTTAAATTTATGTTATAACATTTAAATCCAAATTACAGTGGTGCTGGATATGACATATTTCTAATTCAGGTAATGTTGGACTAACAGGTTAACATTCATGTAATCAGGTTTAAATTAATAGTACTCTATGTGTTGTATAGATCTATTAGCGACAGTAGTGTAAAATAATACCAGCTAATAAATTAGGCACAATTTCCCCAGCCGGGCCCTCTTTGATTCGACGTTTCTAAGCCATCAATATGATCCGATGTGGTTTCATTTCGTAGAAACTGCAAGGACAAATAAATCACCTCATTCCATTCTTTGGAAATGGCTTTCTTAATGTCAAGAGTTTAGTATTTGATATTTGCTATTGTGCACAAAAATGACAGGCCAGTTTTTCTGCGTGTGATTAACAACTGGAAAGGGAAATGGACTTTGCTGTAATCATAGCCAGCAACAGCAGGCATCTTGTTGCTCCAGTAACTAAAGTTGGCGCTTTGACAATACAAAGGACAAATATTAGGGTTTAGGGAGGGAAAACTGGTGCCAATGTTTAGCAACAGAAGCTGATATAATATATATAAACTTTGTACTCTTTCAGAGATGTGTAGTAAATTGACAAGAGATGGTTTTGCTAATTGCAGATGTCAAATTTGATAAAAGATCAAGCTTGATGATGTTTTTAAAGTGAGCCATCATAGTATGATGGGGAAGCAGGAAAAAAAAAGTATTTATGTTGCATGATGAGGAATACCAGCTAATATACTTGCAATGGAAGCCATCAGTCCCATTGATTTCAGTAGTGCTGAAGGGCTAAAAACACCATTCTGGGTAGGTAGAACACAGCAATTGTAGGAGAATAATTCACACACAGCTGGAAATAAATGCAGTTCTTTTTAGAAGTGCTTTGAATGGAATATACAAAATTACATAGGCAATTATTAATATATAAGGTATAATATATAAGGTATAAATAGTCCAAAACACCTGGAGAGCCAGTTTGCCCATGCCTGGTATAAACTGACATTTTAAGTGTATGTGTTGTATTCTAAGTACTGCAAGATATGTCCCATTTTGGACAACATTTTGCGTAAAAATCAGATGTTATTCTTCCTAAGAGTATGCAATTTATGTTGTTTTGGGGAAAGGAAACAACATTCACAGGAGGAGGGAAACATGCAGAATAAAGTGTTATTATTTTCATTCAATTCACCATCTCTTTATATCTAAATAATCAGCAGGGGGTGCTGGAGATTTGTTAAAGAAAAAAAATCAAAGCAAACTCTTATCCAAGCGAATGCTGTCTTCTTAAGTTGTCACAACATTTGGCTTCTTTCTTTGGATTTTTCCTGCATATACTCCTAAAAACAAGAACAGAAAAAAATAATATCTTATTAGAACATTACATGTTTAAAAGGCCTACTATACCTAACAAGCAAACAGCCTTTAGCACATTGTTTTTTTAAAAATATATATGAACAAATGTTTAAAGCATCTGTAGAAATCCATCCATCCCATTATAAATGTTTTGAGTTTATTTTGCTCCCAAGCATGAAGTTGCAGCTGCTTTACAGTCCCTAACAAATGGTTGAACATCAGAGAAAAAGAAGAGTTCCATACCAAGATGGCCTTATCATACTGTAGGGGATTCATGAAGACACAGGATCCGAGAGGTGAAGGAAGAGAGCAGATGGATTTCATAGGTGAAAACAACCAGATTTATTATGCCTGGCCAGATAGGTGAGCAGTCCACACTCACGCAGGTAAAAGTGAACTTGCCCACCATGAGTATACAATCAGTGGGCTTCTCTTTTCAAAGTGAGTTTCTATTTACTACAAAACACATGAACTCTCATAAGTCAGGTGGGTTGTCTTTACTAGCTGATTGGGTGTGGAGTGTGCTCATGCACAGTAGTAAGCTTCTATGTAACGTAACTTTCATTTCTCTAAAGGCACATGACTTCTGGGTGCCTAAATGTCCAATCAGCTTGTGTCTAAAGTAAAGGTAAAGGTTTCCCCTGACAATAAGTCTAGTTGAGTCTGACTCTTGGGGTACTGTTCATCTCCATTTCTAAGCCAAAGAACCAGTGTTGTCCGTAGACATCTCAAAGGTCGTGTAGCCGGCATGACTGCATGGAGTGATGTTACCTTCCCGCCAAAGCAATACCTATTGATCTCCTCACATTTGCATGTTTTTGAACTAATAGGTTGGAAGAAGCTGGGGCTAACAAGAGGAGCTCACCCCGCTCTCCAGATTCAAACCACCAACCTTTCTGTCAGCAAGTTCAGCAGCTCAGCCGTTTAACCTGCTGCACCACCAGGGGGCTCTTGTGTCTATATGATTATTAATTACGTGTTATATTGACATAACTCCCAAGCTGAAGAATGTAGCAGGTTTTTCTTTCCAGCAGTTTCTTAGCTTAGCTTTACAAATATTTCTAAAACTCATTTCTTTTCGCTTCCCAAGCTCTCTCATTACGAACAGGCAGTGAAAACGTTGATAAATGCATTCACATTGACTACATTCAGCTATAATAATACACCACAGCTTGTAATGCTGAAAGCCACAGGATTCCTACTTCTGGTCTGACACCTGCCTGGACTTATTGCTTTCATGACAAACATAAATGCAGCTATTGAGTGTGGAAGAAAGATCAAAAAGAGCATAGTTAGTTTATAAGACCACGCCACGCAGTGCTGAAATACTAGACAGCTGTAAAAAGTTGATGATAAACCTAAGAGTATGAGTTTCAGAATCTGAAGTGCTATTTTGAAGGAAATGCAAGAAATACATTTGAGTATTGGAAATAAAGTTCACCCTACAAATAGTGCATCTTGACTTCTGTTTCTTTCAGAAAATATGGCAAAGAGGAAATGTCACCCAATGGGCTGAGCCATCACCAACTAGAGTTGACAATACTGGGCCACGGGGAACATAACAAGGTAAGATGTGTTCCATGTTCAGATTTTTTTCCTTTACATGAATAGGATGAAACATAATATAAACTCACAATATTAAAGAAGCTATGTAATTTGCCAGAGGGCAAGGAGCAACTGAACAAAATCAAGATCAGCGGGAGCCCTGAAGTCGGCTCTGCCCGCCTCAGTTTTGCTTGCTGTAATATAAGCAGGATATGTGCACAGCCTCTATGAAGAATCTATGCACTTTACGCAGGATTTATGGAGCTTTCTCAATGTGTATTCTCTGCAAATGGCACTATGTGGCAACAGGTCTTCGCCATCATCCCATGGGGACTAAGGGCATGCCATAGAACAGGTATGGGCAAACCCAGGCTTGAGGGCCAGATGCGGCCCCTTGGGCTCTTTTCTCAGGTCCTTATCTCTCTCACCATGCTACCCTTCCTTCCTTCTCTCTTTTCTTCCTCCTTACCTCCTTCCTCCTCCTTCCCTTCCACCCTTTTGTCCTTCCTTCCTTCCCTCTCTCCCTCTTTCTCCTTCCTTCCTTCTCTTTTGTCTTTCCTTCCTTCTCCTTCCTTCTTTCCCCTTCCTTCCTTCCATCCTTCTCTTCCTTCCATCCTTCTCTTCCTTCCTTTATTCCTTCCCTATTTCCTCCCTCCTTCCCTCTCTCCCTCTTTTTACTTCCATCCTTCCCTTTCACCTTTTAGCCTTCATTTTTGTCTTTCCTTCCTTCTCTCTTTCCTCCCTCCCCTCCCTCTTTCTCCCTCCCTCCCTCCATTATTTATTTATTTATTTATTTACGGCATTTATATGCCGCCCTTCTCACCCCGAAGGGGACTCAGAGCGGCTTACAAGGTATATATACATACAATATATTATTAACATAGTACAATATCAGTTTTAAATATTGCTATATTGCACTATATCAATTATACTGTAATATTATTAGTAATAATAATATTACCTTCCACCCTTTTGTCTTTCCTTCCCTCTCTCTTCCCTTTCTCCTTCCTTAATTCCCTTTTGTCTTTCCTTCCTTCCCTCTTCTTCCACCTTTCATCCTTCCTTCCCTTTTGTCTTTCCTTCCTCCTCTTTCCTCCCTCACTCCCCTCTCTCCATTCCTTTCCACCCTTTTGTCTTTTCTTCTTTCCCTCTTTCCTCCCTCCCTCCCTTCCCTTTTGTCTTTCCTTCCTTCTCTTTACTTTATCCTTCCCTTCCTCCCACCCTTTTCTTCCTTCCCGCCTTCTCTCTCTCCCTCTTTCTCCTTCCATCCTTCCTTTCCACCCTTTCAACCTTCCTTCCTTCTCTTTTTCCTTCCTTTCTTCCATCACTGGGCAGCCAGTCCTCCTAGCAGGGAGTGCTAGCACGCAGCCCTCAAGTTAGAAAGTTTGCCCATGCCTGCCATAGACATAGTAGAAGGCATTCAGTAAGCCACCTGTAAGCAGAGCTTCATATTGAAAGAACTCTTCAAATACTTCTAAGGAACTTCAGGAAACACTGTTAAGAGCTATTCAGATAACAGAACCATAAGGCTCAGTCCAATTCTGGGCCTATTCCCAGAATTTAACAGTATCAGCAGAATAAGCTCGCTTTTGGGTTACAAACATACAGCAAGCCAGTTGATGTGCATCCTTGCTTTTGAGAATAAAGCTAAAATCAATAATATGTAGGCAATGTCCAAACACAGAAGACAATCCTCATCTCACTAATTTTTCATCAATTTAACTTTCAAGCTAGCATTACCATTTTGAAACTCTTTGAAATAATACATATGTGCAGTATTGTTAGCACATAGATTTTTCTTCAGCATATTTATTTCCGTGGAGCATTCATGCACTATAATGTGAGAAGCATGTGCATGTTTCAGAAAGGAAATTCTATTTAATAAACAAAGGAGTAGGAGAAGAAAAGGAAAAAGTATTCAGGCACCCAGTGAATTTTAAATGCAGCTTATCTATTAATAAAAAATGAATACAAATATTTTTGAAAATGTGACCTGCTCCATTTCTGGAGCTTTTCTAACAGAGACTATGGCTGGAATGTGCAAGTCAATCAGAAAGAAAATGAGTCGCTTATTCATGCAGCAGGTGATCGCAACTATACTTTCTGGCAGCAATTTTAATCAGAGTTAGTATAGCAGAGCTAGAGCATAGTTGGTGCAGCAAGAGGGAAGAAAGCTACTACTTAAGCCTTCTCTTTTGGTTTGAGCAACTTACTCTTTTCCTTGTTAAATGAGATCCAAGCACTCATTTATTGTTTACACACCTGAAAGTGCCTTGTTAGACACTCTGCTCTCTGAGGGCTTCTTTCTATTTTGCTCAGCCCCCTTCACTGAGGCCTTAGGGGTTCTAATTGAACATAAAAGAAATTAATAAGTCACTTGTATCCAAACTAAAAGCTGTTGTCAAAAAGAAACAAACAAAAAAAAACCCCAAAAGGTTCTTGGTCAGAGTATCCCACAACAATACAGTACAGTCTTCTCAAATCATATTAATATAGAATTCCCATTAATTAGGGCTACCAAACATTCATCAGTAGGTATAAAACATAAAATTAATCTATGATTAGGTGACACATGAACAAACCTCATGCTTACATACTTTCTCCTTATGTAACACATGTTTTGGGGAGGGCTTAGGCCAGTGGTTCTCAATCTGTGGGTTCCCAGATGTTTTGGCCTTTAACTCCCAGAAATCCCAACAGCTGGTAAACTGGCTGGGGTTTCTGGGAGTTGTAGGCCAAAATACCTGGGGACCCACTGGTTGACAACCACTGGCTTAGGCCATTGATAGAGTGTCCATCCAGAGGGTCATAAGATCAGTCTCTGGCTTTTACAGATATATCTGGATTATACCCTCGCCTGAAAACATAGGGGTTACTGCTACTCTGCACGGTGGGCCCTTGGGATCTACAGGCCCAGGATCTATGGGTTTAACAAACGTAGGCTCAAAATGCATATATGGCCAAAGAAATTACCTGAGGCCAAGCGCAACCAGGCCGAGAAAAGATCCCAAGGTCAGCAATGGAAGCAGCAGCAAGGCCCAAGCTACAAGGAGCTTCCGGTGATTTGCCACCACAATGTAGTCTGCATTATGCTTTTCTAAACCAGCATTTTGCAATGCTGAAATGGAAGCCCCAGACAGCTACATTTAAGTGATTTAAAACGGAGCTGGCAAGGCAGATTCTGCAGATGGGCTGGGGAAGAATACAAAAGCAGTAGGTTTGTTCATGTCACAACCAAACTACGCTTACATGGGAGGAGGGAGGGGAACAATGGAACAACAACTGTATTTGAAGAATACTATTAAGGGGAAAAAACACAAGACTTATTGACTGTGCCGCAATAATGCTAGTTGTTAATCTAACCTCAATTGAGAGAATATTTGCACTTTTCATCCAACTGATATTTGCACGGGTGGGGTTACAGGTTTTTTTGGACTTAGAATGATGTTCATACCAAACAGCTCCAATCCATTCCACTTGGAGACAAATACGGGAACAGTTCTCACAATGGCTTTTGCTCTAGATCTCTCATTCTCAGTGTGACATTATATTATAACACAGTTATTATTGCATGACATACTGATTTGTTTTTTAAAGGTTTTCTCTTTTGAAAAAAGCGACATCACAGTGCTTTTTAAAGTACAAATAACTACTTGAGATATATTCAGCTGCGACCTGTTTCTGATGGATGCTGCTTGAGAAGCACAGCTTCAAAGAACAAATGGATTGAGTGGTGTCATTGTTTGGATCACAGCCTTTGTGTTTAAAGCAATGAGAGGTTATTGTTCAGTCCCTGAAAACAATAGCACTCTTACCCTTGTCTGGAAAGGAGTCTTTGAATGGGAGCATTCTGGCCTTGATTTGGCTGAAGAACTCTGTAAAGGGGAGAAAGCCAAATTGTTACAATTATGCATTTACCACATCATGAAAGTCATGGACATCACAAGGGAAAACCGGGACCGATATAGTATTGTTCTGCAACAAAACAAAACAAAACAAAAATTCCATACTAACCTGCTCTCTGGGGATTTTTGCTTCACAATCATCTTTTTGTTTGGCATACCCATTTCAGAAGCCCTAAAAGAAAAAATAAATGTAAATTTATGCTACTATTCTTTGGGGGAAAGGAAGAAGAAAAAGATCAAGCAAGCATGTGATTCATTGTTGAATGCTTTCATGGCCGGAATCACTGGGTTGCTGTGAGTTTTCTGTCTGGCCATGTTCCAGAAGCATTCTTTCCTGAAGTTTCACCCACATCTATGGCACGCATCCTCAGAGTTTGTGAGGTCTGTTGGAAATTAGGCAAGTGAGGTTTATATATCTGTGGAATATCCAGGGCAGGAGAAGGAACTCTGGGGAATTCCAGACATGAATCACCAATGGCCCTCCCTCCAATGACATTGCAAGTTATAGAGCATGCCATGAACATGTGCAAGAGCCCTGCCAATGTCCTCCACAAACACCATACTGCCCACCATCCAAGTGAAGCTTTCATACAGGGAAAATTTCATCCTAGATTTTCTGTTTTTCCTCCCACTGTTTCTTATTCTAGCAATTAATTGGTGTGGAATTTGCATGACCCCACCCACTGCCACTACCTTAAACCTTTCCTATTTTTTAATGGCACACAGTAAACAGAGAATTGATCAGCAACTGAACATACCAGAGAGGTTTGGGAAAAATTTACCATGATTTATAGGAGATGTAGATACTGGGATGTATAGTTCAATCTGAGAGCACTCTGAACTCCACCATTTATTTATTTATTTATTTCGAGGTTTTATATACCGACCCTCTCACCTTCAAAGAGGGATTCGGACCGGTTCACAACATGTGTTAACATACAAAAAATATACAATAACAACACAATGCCACTTAATTACATGATTAAAATATCAGCACCATACACATTAAAACATTATCATCCCAGTTAAAAGAGCCAAATTGTCTGACACCATCACAATCCCATTCATCATCCTCCTTTCATGTGGGCAAAGAATTAAATCAGTTGTCAAATGCCGCGTTCCACAACCAGGTCTTTGTTAGTTTCCTGAACGTCATGAGGGAGGGGGCAGTTCTGATCTCTAATGGCAGGGAGTTCCAAAGTCGAGGGGCCACCACCGAGAAGGCCCTGTCCCTCGTCCCCACCAGCCGTGCTTGTGCAGGCGGAGGGACCGAGAGCAGGGCCCCTCCGGATGATCTTAGTGGTCTTGATGGTTCGTAGGGGAGAATACGTTCGGAGAGGTAAACAGGGCCGGAGTCGTTTAGGGCTTTATAGGTTAACACCAGCACTTTGAATTGTGCTCGGAAGCTAATCGGCAGCCAGTGGAGTTCGAGTAACAGCGGAGTGGTGTGCTCCCTGTACCCAGCACCCGTTAGTAATCTGGCTGCCGCGCGTTGTACTTGCTGCAGCTTCCGGGCAGTCTTCAGAGGCAACCCCACGTAGAGAGCGTTGCAGTAATCTAAGCGGGATGTAACCAAAGCGTGTACTACCGTGGCCAAGTCAGCCCTCCCAAGGTATGGACGCAGCTGGCGCACAAGTTTTAATTGTGCGAAAGCTCCCCTGACCACCGCTGAAACCTGGGGTTCCAGGCTCAGCGATGAATCCAGGAGAACTCCCAGACTGCGTACCTGTGCTTTTAGGGGGAGTGTGACCCCGTCCAGCACAGGCTGTAACCCCGTACCCTGTTCGGTCTTACGACTGACCAGGAGTACCTCTGTCTTATCTGGATTTAGTTTCAATCTGTTGTCCCTCATCCAGTCCGTGACAGCGGCCAAGCACCGGTTCATGACCTGAACAGCCTCCTTAGTGGCAGGTGGAAAAGAGTGATAGAGTTGGACATCATCTGCGTACAGATGACATCGCACCCCAAAACTCCGGATGATCTCTCCCAACGGCTTCATGTATATGTTAAACAACATAGGGGACAGTATTGAGCCCTGCGGGACTCCACAGTGCAATGGCCGAGGAGTCGAGCAGGAGTCCCCTAGTGACACCTTCTGGGAGCGACCCTCGAGAAAGGACCGGAGCCACTGCAAGGCAGTACCCCCAAGACCCATTCCCGCGAGGCGTCCCAGAAGGATACCGTGGTCGACGGTATCGAAGGCCGAAGAGAGGTCCAGCAGAACCAACAGGGACACACTCCCCCTGTCCAGTTCCCGGCGCAGATCATCAACTAAGGCGACCAAGGCTGTCTCAGTACCATGTCCGGCCTAAAGCCAGACTGTGACGGATCTAGATAGTCCGTGTCCACCAGGAATTCCTGGAGTTGCGAGGCCACCACACGTTCCAGGACTTTGTCCAAGTAGGGGAGATTGGAGACTGGCCGAAAGTTGACGAATTGAGTGGGGTCTAGTGATGGTTTTTTCAACAGCGGTTTGATGACAGCTTGTTTTAAGCTGGCTGGAATCTTGCCTTCCCGAAGGGAGGCATTAACCACCACCTTTACCCACTCTGCCAAACCCCCTCTGGCTTCTTTTACCAGCCAGGAAGGGCAGGGGTCTAGGATGCATGTGGTGGGCCTCGCCTCTCCCAGAACCCTGATGACCTCATCGAGTTGAACAGATCGAAAAGAAACCAACAAAACTGGACAAGCAGATGCTTGAGTTACATCCTCAGAGACTGCAGTTAATGTGGTGTCAAAGCCCGCACGGATCAAAGCGACTTTGTCCGCAAAGTACTGAGCAAATGCTTCACAGCGCACTGCCGAGTCGTCAGGGGACCCACTCAAGGTGGGATTCAACAACCCTCTGACTACTCGGAACAGCTCTGCCGGATGGTTCCTTGCGGACACAATATTGGCCGAGTAGAAAGCATTTTGCGTGGCCTCTATTGCTGCGCCATACGCCCTTAGATAGAGGCGTAGGCGTGTTCGGTTTGACTCGCTGGGCTCTTTCCTCCACACGCTCTCTAGCCACCTCTTTGTTCGCTTTAGCTCCACCAGCTCCTCGTTGAACCAAGGGGCCGGTTTCGCTCGGCGACTTACGAGGGGGCGCTCCGGAGCAATCGTGTCTATTGCCCTAGTCAACTCCCTATTCCAGTGAGCGACCAGGGCATCGACAGAATCACCATCCAAGGCAGAGAAAAAAAACATCCCCAAGAGCCATCAGGAGTCCTTCTGAATCCATAAGCCTCCTGGGGCGGATCATCTTAATGGGTCCACCACCCCTGCGGAGGTTAGAAGTTGCAGCAAGTCTAAACTTGATCAGATGGTGGTCAGTCCATGGCAAAGGGGAGATTGATAACTCCTCCACACCGCCACCTTCTTCCCAGCCCTGACAGAAGACCAAGTCAAGTGTGTGTCCAGCACAGTGGGTAGGGCCAGATATTAATTGGGACAGCCCCATAGTTGCCATGGAAGCCATGAAGTCCTGAGCCGCTCCTGAAAGAGTGGTCTCTGCATGGACATTGAAGTCCCCCAGCACTACAAGCCGCCGGGACTCCAATGCCAGGCCCGAGACCAACTCTGCAAGCTCAGGTAGGGCGGCCGTGGTGCAGCGGGGTGGTCGGTACACCAACAACAGCCCTATTCTGTCCCGGTCTCCTAGCCTCAGGTGGACACATTCAAACAAGGTCGACTGTAAGGCCGGGCCCCTGACCAAGGAGATGGAATCTTTATAGACTATTGCAACTCCGCCTCCCCGCCCCCGGGTCTCGGTTGGTGTTGCACGGCATAACCTGGTGGGCAAAGCTGGGTGAGATTAACCCCTCCAGCCTCGTCCAACCAGGTCTCCGTGATGCATGCCAGGTCTGCCTTTTCATCCAGGATTAAATCCTGAATGGTTGATGTTTTACCATTGACAGACCTGGCGTTCAACAGCACCACCTTTAATCCGGGAGGACCGTCTACCTTGGAACCCAAGTTTACCATGTCGGGAGAACATTTTGGAATTTTTCTTAAGGTTTGCTCACGAATTGGCCGAATTGGTTTTTTAATTCTCCCTTTCCCGTATCTCCCCCTCCCCATCATCACCTCGATGGGCCCCCCAAGCACCGGAACTCCCTCCCTCCCTCCCCCCTCTATCATTCTCCACATCCTGGTAGTTCACTAGTGCGCTGTTATATGATATGTCAATAGCCCTGGCGGTTGTTAAACCATCATTTCCGCCATTATTGTAGTTCAATTCCTCTGCCTTATAAAACCATCTCCAATTTTCCCCGGCCATTCGACCATTGTTGGGAGTGATTATATAATACACGATGTAAAGTGCAAATGCAAAATTAAAGTGACTGCACAATAGCACCATTGACCAGTGATGGACCTGGAACTAGCTTGGCACACAGAATCCCTATGACCAACAAAAATACTGGAGGACTTTGGAGGGATTTATAGGAGTTGTAGTTCACCTACATCCAGAGCGCACTATGGATCCAAACACAGATGGATCTGGACCAAACTTGGCACACAGAACCCCCATGACCAACTGAACCTACAGGAGGGGTTTGAGGGGACTGACTCACCATAGTGGGGGTTGTAGTTCACCCTGCAGCTCCCACCAATGATGCATCTCACCCAACAAAACAAATTTTAAGTACTGATGGAGTTTTTTGGGGTTAACCCGGCATGATGTCAGTTGTAGTGCACCCACAACCCAATGCATTTTGTACAATTAAAAACTGGGTTTTTCAAATAACCTGGGCAACCCCAGGTCCCCAAGCTAGCCTACAATAAAAGAAGAAACAGAAGGCGATACACAAATATATCTGTATGAAGTGATAAGATGAATAAAAAAAATAAGCAGAAATGTTTTGTAACAAAAAACTTGTTACTCTGTCAATCAAAATACAGCAATGACAAATTCTTATTTTTTCCAATAAATGCAGTCTTGCATATCTAAATGACGGACACTGTTGTGTTTTTTAATGTTTCCCCACATACTTCATGTATTTCTTTCTATCCAGAGACTTCTGAGTAGCTGTAGAAAGGGTCACTCTCTCTCTTGTTGTCTTGGCTTTATCCTACACAGGGGGGAAACCAAATATTAATATTACTACTTTTCTCACATTAGGAAAGCAAACATCCTGCAAGTTTTAAGAACCAAGATTGATATGACCAGTATTTTCACAAAGATTTCATTTCCTAGAAGTTGTTTGATCCAGTAAAGAAAAAATAGAAAAGAATGTGATTTATGAAGATAAATTGGTTCAGCAACAGCAATAAGAGTTTCTCAGATGCAAATGTACAATATAAAGACTTATCTTCCCCTTGAACACAAAGCCAGCAACTCTAAATACAGAACTATAGGACCAACAGGGAACTTGACAGGGGGAGTGTATCCCTGTTGATTCTCCTGGACCTCTCAGTGGCCTTTGATACCGTAAACCACAGTATCCCTTCTGAGACATCTCACGGAAATGGGGCTTGGAGGCACTGTTGGAGGCTCCAGTCCTTCCTAGAGGGTTGTTCTCAGAAGGTGTTGCTGGGGAACACCTGCTCAGCCCCACAGCCATTGTCCTGTGGGGTCCCGCAGGGCTCAGTACTGTCCCCCATGTTGTTTAACATCTACATGAAGCTGCTGGGAGAGATCATCTGGAGTATTGGAGTTCAATGCCATCTGTATACAGATGACGTCCAATTCTATCGCTCCTTTCCACCTGCTGCTAAGGAGGCTGCTCAGGTCCTAAATCGGTGCTTGGTGGCTGTGATGATCTGGATGAGGGCAAACAAATTGAAATTGAATCCAGACAAGACAAAGGTACTCCTGGTCAGTAATAAGCCCGGTCAGGGTATAGGGTTACAACCTGTGTTGGACAGGGTTACATTCCCCCTGAAAACAGGTTTGCAATTTGGGAGTTCTCCTGGATTCATTGCTGAGCCTGGAACCCCAGGTTTCAGCGGTGGCCTGGGGAACATTTGCACAATTAAAACTTGTGCGCCAGTTGCACTCGTACCTTGGGAAGTCAGACTTGGCCATGGTGGTCTACACTCATGTTACATCTTGAATAAACTACTGCCAACGCGCTCTACATGGGGTTGCCTTTGAAGACTGTTTGGAATCTTCAAGTGGTCCAATGAGCGGCACCCGGGTTCCTTATTGGAGTGTTGTACAGGGAGCATACAACTCCCCCTGTTGCGTCAGCTCCAATGGCTGCCAGTCTGCTACTGAGAAAAATTCAAGGCGCTGGATTTAGCATACAAGGCCTTAAACTGTTCCAGTACAGCCCACCTGTCTGAAGGTATGAACCACTTAGAGCGCTAAGATTGGCTGGGGAGATTCTGCTCTCGGTATCATGGCCTTCACAGGTGTGATTGTTGAGGACGAGAGACAGGGCCTTCTCAGTGGTAGTCCCTTGGCTGGGGAATTCCCTCCCCAGTGAGATTAGCTGTCTTGAGTCCCCTCAGGGGTGGGGAATGGCAGGCAGAAATGTCATAAATAAATAAATAGATTAACKCCCCCCCCCCCCCCAACGTTCAGGAAACAGCTTAAAACTTGGCTATGCAAGCAGGCAACTGACAAATGATAGCAATATTCAAGCAGCTAAAGGAAACTACAGGATTGATGCAATGTCCAAATGGTTTAATGTTCTATCATTACATCTGATGGTTTGTATAATTTGTAATGATTTTAATTTATAGTTATTTGACTGTTTTTAGATTTCTTTTATATGGATGTGAGGCACTGCATTTTTGCCATGATTATCTTGTGCACCGCTTTGAGTCCCCCTATGGATGAGAAAAGCGGTATATTAACCAAATAAACAAATAACATAATAAACAGGTTCTATCTTTCAAAGTAATAAATCACTTGAGTTATTAAAGGCAAAAATTACATTTTCCTGCAAATATGAACAATGATATTTAAGCAAAGCACTACTGCAACGCACCAGCTGGCGGAGCATCTTTTCTTTGCGAACTTCTCGATCGTGATACAGGATGCTCATTTTCTCAGACACTTCCATTGTGAAGAAAATATCATGAATATCATACAATGCTGCTCGCAGCTGGAAACAAACAGACAAACAAAAAATTAATGCAGTGCAATTACAAGTGAATGTTTCAAGCACCCCTCTATGAACTTTTTGAAAAAATAACCCAATTCCAAAGAATCTAAGTTAAAAGGCAAGACTATGCTGAGGGAATAGCCCAAAACAAAATCCAGTTAGTCCTTGAACTCCCAAAGTTTGGAAACGTGATACTACACTTAGGCAATAAAAATGAAATGTACAGATATAGGATGGGTTACACCTGGTTTGAAAATAGTGCATGTGAAATGGATCTAGGAGTCTTGGCAGATGACAAGCAGAGCATGAGTCAACAGTGTGTGATGCAGCAGCTAAAAACGCCAATATTAAAAATCCATATTACCCTTATCTTTTCCTAACCCACTTTATCCTTTCCCCCCCTTCACCCCCTTACCCTCCCTCACCATGATATTCATACCCAATACCTTTCCCCACTACACATATATTCTGTAAAATTCTAATAAAAACTATATAAAAAAACGCCAATGCAATTCTAGACTGCATCAAGAGAAGTAAAGGCAGTCCCCAAGTTACAAACATCTGACTTACAAACAAGTCCTAGTTAAGAACGGGGATGAGACAATAGGAAGTGAAAGGAATCTACCCTTCGGAGGGAAATCCACTCCTGGAAGAGTTAATAACATGGGGAAAGGGGTCTCCCCTGAAGGTTTGTCACCAATCCTTGTTTCCACAACAAGCTAATTTTTCCAAAATCCAACGATCACGGGGACAGAAACAGAGGGAAAATCTTCTGAACAGGAACGAAGACAGCAAAACACAAACACCACAGGAGTGTTAATCCTTATATATAGATAGATGGATTTGGATGGAGTTACATTTAAGAAATGCACCTGTTCTGACTTACATACAAATTCAACTTAAGAACAAACCTACAGAACAGAACCTCTCTTGTTCAGAACTTGGAACTGCCTATATAGCAGGCATGAGCAAACTTTGGCCCTCTGGTTATTTTGGACTTCAACTCCCACAATTCCTAACAGCCTGTAGTCTCCTAAGAATTGTGGGAGTTGAAGTCCAAAACCTGGAGGGCCAAAGTTTGCCCATGCCTGCTGCATAGTGTCAAGATCGAGGGCTTTGGTCAGACCTTATGTGGAATAACACTGTGACCGTTGCTGGGCACTGATAACTAAGTAGGATATGGACAAGCTGAAATAGAGGCTGGGTAGTCATCTGTTGAGAGTGCTTTGACTGTATCCTCTCACATGGCAGAGGGCTTGACTGGATGGTCCTATGAGGTTGGAAAAAGCTATCTGGTATTTAAACAGAAAAGCAGGGCTAAATCAGGCAAAAGCAGTTCAAGCTATGGCGATCCTGTTGTTATCATTGATTTATAAACAGTCAAAACATGTTAAATCAACAGTCAAAAATGCAGAGTCCTGTCAAAGCTATACAGTCTAAAACATCTGTTTTGCAGTGCCCTGATGAAGACTTTGGGTAAAACTGGAATCCATTGGGTCTAATATTGATGTACCAAGCATTTTTTATTCTTCTCCAGTTCCATGAAGGGTCAGGATACAAGAAGACCTTCAAAATTAACATTTTGGATTTCACCAGCATCAACTCACAAGACAAGGCTTCCAAGCACACACTACCTGAGCGGCCACCCGCTCCTGCAGATTGGCATCTTGAGCTGAAACACTTCCTCTCTTCAATGGAGCTTCTGACTGGAAGTTTTTCATAAACTCTCTTGTGTCCTAAAACAAAACCCAACAAGACATATCCAGCTTAGCAAACTTTTATTCACACTGTTAGGAGAACTGAAGAGCATTTAAAAAAAAATTAAAACATAGAAGGTAACCATCTATAGAAGAAGCTGATTAACAATGCAACCTTCTATGGTTCATTGCATTTTTACACTGCTCGAAAATCTTCACATATAAACACTCTGTAAACATTAGCAAGACTTTGATTTTAAAATACAACAATGAAGTATGTTTGTTTCTCACTTCCAAATAGGCAGGTCATTCCGACAAACATTGGAAAAAAAACACCCAGATGCAAGGCTATGCCTTCAGTGCTATAAACACTGGCCTAAAGGAAGTGCCACTGAAACCTAAACATGAACAGGATTACAGTACAGGTTCCATGAAGCAAAGTTCTATCAATGCCTTTTTGGGGCTTTTGGGTATGGCCTTATATTTTACAACTGCAGCTGGCCAGTGTTTTGTTTATCTATTAAAATTCATGGCCAAATGATCGCAGCGGAGCTTTCAATGGCTTTCTGACAGTAACAACTACAACACAAGATTCAGTTTTAAGAATGGAAAAGGCCGCATTCGTTTCCTCACAACTGTTCAGATGAGAAGAAAGCAGCAGACAAAAATGACTGGCCACCTTCCAGAAGTGAAGATTAGAAATATGCTGTTGGATAAGGAATGTTATTTGAGACCTGGGGAAGAGACATGTTCCAGATGGGAGAGAGATGAGGAGATGAATGCGGCAAGGAATAGCAGGTGGGCCGCACAGGACAGATAAGGAGCCAAAAGCAGTTTCAGTTTCTGATAAAATAATCCCACATTGATCAAGGAGCAGCTGTTGCAGTAAAAGAGTGTTCAGAGTTAATTACATACCAATCAATCCTTCTGCAATGCCAGGATTACAGTTTAATGGTGTAACATTAGAAAATGTGATTGTAAAGTTTATAGCAATAGATTTTTAACTCCACATTTTAATGTTTAAACATTTTTACATTTTTATGATCTAATCAATAGTTATATGTTATTGTTGTTTTATGTTAGGTTTCATATGTATGTGAGGCATTAAATTTTGCCATAAATATGTTGGAAATTGCTTTGATCCCCCCCCCCCGGGGGGGGGGGGGAGAAAAGCGGTATACAAATAAAGTAAATAAATAAAATAAATAAATGTCGACCATTTCCACTTCCTTGGCAGCCACCTCTCCATAAAAATCAAGATGGACACTGAAAAACAACATCGCCTGAGCTCTGTGAGTGCAGCATTTTTCCAAATAAAGCAGAGAGTGTTTGAGGATCAGGACATCTATAGGGAGACCAAGGTGCTTGTCTATAAAGCCATTGTCCTCCCAACCCTGCTATATGCCTGCGAAACGTGGACTGTCTACAGACGACACATGCAACTCCTGGAACTATTCCATCAGTGTTGCCTCTGAAAAATCCTGCAAATCTCTTGGGAAGACATGTGGACAAATGTCAGTATGCTGGAAAAAGCAAAGACCACCAGCATTGAAGCAATGATCCTGCTCCATCAACTCCACCGGACTGGGCACATTGTCTGAATGTCTGATCACCGTCTCCCAAAGCAGTTACTCTACTCCCAACTCAAAAATGGAAAACAAAATGCTGGTGGACAGGAAAAGGTGGGCTTAAAGCCAACCTTAAAAACTGTAGAATAGACACGGAGGGAGAACTGGGAAACACTGGTCCTTGAGTGCTCTAGCTGGAGATCAGCTGTGACCAACAGTGCTGTGGAATTCCAAAAGGCACGAATTTGGGGGGGGGGGGGGGGGAAAGGGYGAAATATGGCAAGAGGAACGTGCATCAAGCCAACCCTAACTGGGACCGACTTCAACCTGGAAACCAATGTCCTCACTGTGGAAGAACATGAGGGTCAAAAATAGGGTTCCACAGTCACCTATATATCCACTGTCAAGACACTAGACTTGGAAGGCCATCATACTCGGACAACAAGGTATCACCTAAGAAGAAGATATACAAGCAAGTGCACAAAGTGTGCCGGCAGAAGGTTCCTTACCTTCACAGTTTGCCGAAGGTGCTTCAGCTTCTCTGTTTGCAAGAGTCTCCGAGTTAAGAATCCCTTTGCCAAAGCAGAGATCTTATTCAACTTTCTTTTCATTTCAGGACTATACACCTGGAAGAGAAAATGGCACCATGTAACCAAAGGGTAGCTTATAGATGTTCTAAAGGTGTTTCAAAAAAGGTTTCAAATGCTAAACTAAGCTATCGTAAATAAAAGGGAGAGGTAAAAATCAGACTGAAGTAAAAAAAAAAAAACCAGCTCGTGCAACAGCTAGCTACAAACAAATGGTAGTTTTGTCAAGGAAGTTTTAAAAACATTCTAGACTGCATTTTAACCCACCTGAGACCATCTCATTTTGCTTCTGTTAACAGCCCGGGATGCTGTAATGGACTTTCCACTTGCTGGTGGTTCCCAAAGGTAGAATGGGGAGTCAGCAACTGAGCCAGTTGCAGCAGCATTGGTGAGGCCTACATTTGAAAGAAAACAATACGATTGAAGCAAATTAATATCCAGAATAACAGTTGTAACCTGGATGCACCACTATTAAGTCCCACTGTTCTAAAACCAGTACACACTTTAAAATACAGATCACAGCCCATGAAACTCCATAAACAAATTTGGGTGATCTAAACATTTTCCTCATAGATTATTTTCTCTTAGTTGCATATTAGTCTCAATAATACTAATTCTGTTCACTTACCAGCATTCTCTGAGTTTGCGCCATGGAGTGTTTCCACTCGAGGGAACACAGATTCCAACAAGTGGATGTCAGTGACCTTCCTCCACTCCCAGTCAATGCCACTGGTGGCCACAGGAATTCCCATTTCGGACACAGCAGTCTTCTCACATTTCAGTCTTCGCTCCTGCTCTGCTATTTCCTAAAGGACAAAGAAACCAGAGATTCCATCACAACAACATTGTGGCCTTGAGCTTATACACATTACAGAATTATACCACAATGATTTCATTTGAACTGCTTGTGGTATGTGGTTGGGCAAGGCATAAGAAAGGATGAGAATTGTAAATGCTGTGCCCTAAATGGCCCATTTCAAGATTCCTCAAGATGGGACCCTGGCAGATATTACTGGAATAAAAGCACTGCAGCTATATAAAGCCTCAGAGGATGGCGAGTGCTCCTTCTTGGGATGTTGGACAGCAATTGCTCAGAAATGCTTTGGCTGTGTATTCCTGAATGGCACAGGGATACAGGGATGAGTGCCCCTTGCAGTCCTTTCCCAACTCTGAAGACTCTGATTCTAGTTTGAAAGGGCTACACACGCACTGTATATATTCTCCACTGCCTCTTGCTAGTAAAACAGCCAGTGCTGTGCCTCTTGCCATTTGGAAACAAACCAGAAAACACACAATAATTATGCCACAGCCTTCTGCAACTTTCCCACAATTATAATACCAAACCAGTCCTTCAGTCTGGCTAACTATTAATTTTGATTTTTTTTTCAGGAAGGCGATAGTAGGTTTGCTTAAAAGGTAAAGGTTTCCCCTGACATTAAGTCTAGTCTTGTCTGACTCTTGGGGGTGGTGCTCATCTCTATTTCTAAGCCAAAGAGCCAGCGTTGTCCGTAGACGCCTCCAAGGTCATGTGGCCAGCATGACTGCATGGAGTGCCATTACTTTTCCTACTTGCATGTTTTCGAACTGCTAGGTCGGCAGAAGCTGGGCCTAATAGCGGGAGCTCAACCCGCGCCACAGATTCAAACTGCCAACTTTTCGGTCAGCAAGTTCAGCAGCTCAGCAGTTTACCCTGCTGCACCACCAGGGGGCCCTACACTCTCAAATTATCCTTGGTTCAGAGTCCTGAGGAAGCTGAATGCCAGAAGAGACAGACACATCAAAACATTATTTGAAAAGGCTGGATTCCCTCCAGCTATATACCAAGTCTTTCTTTCTCACCTTCTGCAATCTCTCTTGTTCTCTCTCCTGCTCAGCTATTAGCAGCGAGAGTTGCTGAGCATGTTGCTCTTCAAGTTGCTTCTTCAGTTCTTCAAAAGCCAACATTTTCTGTTTTAGAATTTCGTCTTTAAAAAGTGAAAACACAGATATATAATATGAATATGGATTACAGAGAACAATCTATTGTCCAGTAAAGAAAAAAATCTCCAGAATAGTAAAATAAATTACTAACTTTCCAGGAAGGGTTCCAATCTGGCCGGTTTTATTATGATACCATCATCCAATGGTTTTTCAGCTTTTTGCATACTTTTTCCTATTTAAAAATGGTTGAAATGGCTCCCCTGGGGCTTAAGAGATTGACGGTAACAGCTTTAAGTTTGAAAATGTTGGTGTTTTGTGTCCCACCTTTTTCTTTCCCACTCAGAATTCACCCCTTCAATTTCTCTAGAATTGAATTTAGTTCTTTAGTCTGAAAACCATTCCCCTCCTTGTTTATATACTAAATGGGATAGGTCTGCCTGAAAACAAATCATTTGATGATGCTTAACTTGTCGTATCCGTGGCATCACGAAAACTGAAAACTATATATCTCACCTGCCTCCTTTTACCACAAAGTTAATCTGCAGTGATAGGGAGCCACTGAGAAGGTGTCCCACAATCCAGCCCTTTCCCTAAGGGCCCCCTCAGCTCTAACTAACGGAACTGGAACAATAAAAAAATGCTGAACATTTTGGAATTTATCACTAACTCAGCACCGAATTATTACAATGCGCATTCTCTCACCACCGGCATGTTGTTCTTCTGCATCTTTCTTGGTACCAAAAGAACTGTTCTGATCATGTAGCCATTGCTTCTTTTGCACATCTATTTCTGTAATCATGGAACAAGTCATGTTTTCCTTCTGCATGTTGTTTGCATCCAGCTCAAGCCTCCGTTTCACCTTTTCCAAGCCACCATCGAATACCTGCTCGTCTGCAAAAGACACATCTGAAACATCCATCTGTGGCTTCTGCTGTGTTGATATGAGTAAAGGAGATGGGTTTTCGACATCATATGATTTATTGAGTTCTACAGGCACACTGGATTTGGCTTTGTCCAGCATGCTGTCTTGCTTACCGCTGCTGGCATTGGCTTGGTTTTGCCTCATAGCAGAGCGGTCACCTGAATGTAGCCCTGCCAAGGTAGATTCCGAAAGGCAAGAACGTGATAGCTCTTCACTATGGAAAGACAATTCTCCCTCTACTGTGGAACTGATCAGGGATCTCCTGTTTTCTTGCTGACCAGCCGATAGTGGCCTCACCTGGTTCCATCTGCCAACCATTAATTCATCAGAGATCTCCAAGGAATATCTGCGAAAAGCATGAACATTGCTGGGGCAAACAGGAAAAATGTCTGGTGCCAATTTTGGCTTAGGGTCAGCTACAGTTTGCCTGTCACCAGCCTCTTGTGTAGCCAAGCCTGCAGCCCGTCCCTTTTCTTTAGGGCTTAACTCATAGGCATATACAGGGTTAGTAATGACAATCTGCCCCACCGAAGAGGGCCTTGGGCGTCTTCTGTGCATTTTGGGGCTCATACTAGGCTCGGGACTTGGCAGTTTGGAATAAGAACCAGTGAAGCTTCGGAAGATGCTACTGTCATGTTCAAAGAACAGGGCATTTTTAAAATCTTCTTCTGAATCGGAATCCAAAACAGGGGGTGTTCCAGATCGTATTGGTATATCCACTTTAGAGAAACTAGATGATGCTATTACACTCGTATTAGTTTTGGGGGATGAGGGAGTCTGCAGAGAAGTGCTGGATTTAGGAAGACTCGATTTATCAGGTGTCAAACCCACACAGCTTCTGCCAGTTAACTTGCCTCTCTCTTTTGCCAAGTCGCTTGTTTTCACCGAGTCGTTTTCTTTGTCAGAATGGCTTTCACTCCAACTTCTTCTTGAATTGCTTCGCAAGCTGCGCCTGGCCGGTTCTCTCTGTATGTATTCCTTGGATTTTTTAAAGAGATTCTGAAGACTCATCATGTAAGGGTCTCGGTTTTCAGTATCAGTCGACATCACTTCAATGCTCTCTTTCTTTTCAGTCTCCTTTGAAGGAGACAGGCTTACTGGCTTGGAAAACGCTCCATCTGGACAAGTTCTCTTTTCAGAAATGGTATAGTAAGTATTCTTTGGTTTAAAGGGGGTAATGTTTTCAGTTCTTTCAAGAAAGTTCCCTCTTGGTGCAACATCTGTATCTGCTGCCTTAATCTCGAGTGCCCTTTTAGAGGCCACAGATTCACTGGGGGGAGTGGAATTTGGCAAAACACTGCTTGATTGTGTTACAAAACCAGTCAACGCTTTTGAATCTAAATCCACATGAACATTTGTTGCATCAGACTGATTGGTACTATTTTGATTTGCCAATTTCTTCATCTGTAAAGAAAACGAAAAAATAGTAATCTATGAAAAATACTGACAAAGGTTTTGAAAACTGGACAGTGACAAAGGTTAATGGAAATGAATGAATGCATTTGCACACCAAGTTTCCAAAGTTTTACGGAAGTGTATATGTATATAGCTCTGAGCTGCCAAAACATGGACGGCTGTAACAAAGAAGTAGTTTATATTCATCAGTCTCCCTGGTTTTAGTGTGGTACGGTGTGAACAAAAATAATATTTGCCTGGGAGCTGAGGAATAATTGAAAATGTCCATTAATTGTAGGATTGTAGAAGAAAGCTAGCCAGTTATTATATTATCTTCAACATACTCCTACTGTTTTTTTTTTCAAATCCCAAGCCAGGTGATAGTTGCCATGGAGACACCAATAAACTTAGTAAGAAAACTAACTCAGTCGTGTCGGGCCACTATTGTGACTGCCAAGGAAGGTAAAGATTTCATTCATAGTGTTCAGGTAGCATAATTCCTTTTCTTTCAACAGAGCATGTGTGTCAAGAGTTTCATGTACATAAGGAAGAAGATGAATTTTAAAAACCCCACATGCATTCTTCTGTTATGGCAAGCTAACAAAAGGAAGGCCATAGCAACTTAAGGTTACTTGAGCTTACTTGTGGCATGTGTACTTTTAAGGATGAGTGCTAACTTCATTCACCTTGCATCCAGTCCATAAAGGTTTACATACAGCTCTAACAGTGTTGAGTCTTGCAAATGCCACAACAGCACACATTTTGAATGTCAACATCATTTCAGATATGATAGTTACAAGGTCTATCTTGCATAGAAACCACAATTAACTAGGATATATAAACAAGAATATTTAAAATAGTGTATTCAAACTGCCTGGTCAAATTTAAATGAAAGTCGAAGTAACAGTGCTCTCTAACCATTGCACTAATAAACCACTTCATTAAACTAATTTGTTGCTGCAGTTATGTAATATAAAAGTAACTGCACAGAAGTGCTACAAAACAGAATGTAAAACCTGTTTGCATCCAGAACTGTTGTACTAACCACCTTTTTGAAAATAAATAAATAACCAGGCCTCTTTCAACTTCACCTGCACATTTTCCACAATCTCCTGGATGCGATTCAAGAGAATCCTTTTCTTGGAATTGTGCTGCCAGATTTCTAACTCTAGAGCCTTTTGTCTGTCCTGCTGCAGTTCCTTTTTTCTCTCAGGAGTAAGCTGTAAAACATAGAAGAAGGATGGGAGAAGATGGGAGAAAAGAATGACCTAATACTCTACTCCCCTTCCCCCACCACCCATCTATTTCAAGAGGCTAGAGAGAACTCCTAATGTGGATATCCTTGATTTATTTCTTGGCATTAAGAAATTGCTCTCTAAAAATAAAATAAATAGTCGTTTTAACAGACTTATACAAATGTTGCTATCATAATGAAGACTTAGTCTTTTAGTTTTATTATTTTGATTTGAGAAAGTTATCTTACCAGTGGGGAAAGCACAGGAACACCATTGAAATTAATACATGAAATATTTTTGTAATGAGTGAGTGGAGACATTCTTATCTTCACTGACTCTCCTTGGATCCGTTCAAGCTGTCTCTTGCAAAACACCTCATAGTCCTCCATTTTGATGCAGCTGGACAAAACAAAGCGAATAATTGGTTGTTCAAACAATCCAGAACACAGACTTCAGACTAAAACAATGCTAGATGGCTGTCATATTTTTTTCTATATTTGCCCTTTCAATCAACATAACTACTGGTTTACAATTTTGCTTCAGATCCTGCCCAAAGGACTATAACCCTTCCTTGTTATTAGGAAAACAAATCAGAAGTCATTGGCTCAAGTAACATGTGATGTTTAACATTTTGGACTGAATTTGCCACTGCTGCCAATGGAACCAGCCAAGCAGGCTCTCTATGTTCTACACAAAAAGACACTGTTTTTCAGGCATTTCTCTCTAATGCTGCATCTTAACATAACCAATTCTCTGCACTAAGGCATCATTAAAATTTTGGGTTCAAACTTTCACCAACCTCAACCAGTATGGCCAAGCTTTAGACATATTGGGAGTTATAATCACCATCATCATCATCATCATCATCATCATTTAATTACTTATTAATCGCCCTCCATCCAAGATGGTCTAGGCGATTTACAAGCTAAAATTGTAAAGGATAAAAATACATACACACAGATATTGATAAAATTAACAAAGATCAAAAGCTCTAGTAAAAAGCCAAGTCTTAAGTGCTAGGGTAAAAGGCCCTAACTCATGAATGGCTCTCATATGGGGCGGCAAGGAATTCCACAAGGCAGGGGCAGAGATAGAAAAAGCTCTGCGTCTGGTCCTTTCCAGGTGCACTTCTCTAGGACCCAGTATATAAAGTAAGTCACGTTGGGATGGTCGTTGTGACCTCCGATGATGGGAGAATGAGAGACGGTCCCTAAGATACGATGGACCCTGGCCGTAAAGAATTTTAAAGGTCAGAACTAGCATCTTGTATAGACCACGGTAATCAGTTGGAAGCCAATGCAAATGCTGCAACACTGGTGTTATATGGCATTTCATGGGCGTTCTTGTGAGCAGCCTGGCTGCCGCATTCTGAACAATACGGAGCTTTTGGGTCGTAGACATTGGAAGGCCAATATACAGGGCGTTGCAATAGTCCAGCCTAGACGTGACCGTGGCATAGATGACTGTTGCCAGAGCCTCATCAGATAGGTAGGGTGCCAATTGCCTCGCTTGTCGTAGATGGAAAAAGGCCTGTTTGCTGGCAGCAGCGACCTAAGCTTCCATTGTCAGCTGCGAATCCAAAACGACACCCAAGCTCTTAACAGTAGGTGAAGGAGATAGGGCAGCACCATTGAAGGTGGGTAGCAAATGGGTCAGACCAATCGAGCGGCCATGCCAGAGAATCTCAGTCTTCGCTGGATTCACCTTCAGTCTACTAGCACGTAGCCAGTTCGACAGAGCCTCCAGACATAAGGTGAAATTGTGTGGTATTGACGTTGCTCCAGGCTCCAAATGCAGAAGGAGTTGGGTGTCGTCCGCATATTGATAGCAGTCTAGGCCGAAACTCCGAACCAAACTAGCAAGGGGTCTAACATAGATGTTGAAGAGAAGAGGGGAGAGAATTGCACCTTGGGGTACCCCACATAGGAGGGGAGATCTTTCAGAGACTTGATCCATATACTCCACGCATTGGCTCCGGTTTCGGAGAAATGAGTCGAAGCAATTGAGGGCCTGACTGCGAACTCTGGACATGGCAAGACGGTGAATCATTAGATCGTAGTCAACGGTGTCAAACGCTGCGGTAAGGTCGAGAAGTACCAGTAGCACTGATCCGCCGTTATCAGACTGGCGACGAAGTTCATCTGTAATGGCAACCAGGACTGTCTCCGTCCCATGGCCAGGGCAGAAACCTGACTGGAAAGCGTCCAGGCCGGCTGTGTCATCCAAAAATTGTTGCAATTGTCCCAGTACGGCCCGCTCTATCATCTTGCCTAAGAATGGAAGGTTAGAGACAGGACGATAATTGGCAAGGGTCATGGGATCCAAGCTAGGCTTCTTTAGCAAGGGACAAACCCTTGCCTCTTTTAGGTTGTCCGGGAAGACCCCCTGTTCAAGAAAGCCATTGATTATATTACTCAACAGATCGAGTAGACCTTCCAGGCAGCTCTTAACCAGCCAAGAGGGGCATGGATCAAGGGAACAGGTGGTTGGTTTTGCAGCAGCCAAGATTCTGGCGACATCTTCCCTGTTAAGCGGAGTAAATCTGTCAAAGATAGGCCCACTAAGCAGCCACAAAGTCTCGAGCTCACTCAAGGTATTGACTGTAGGGGGCAGTTCCTGCGGAAGCATGGTAATTTTATCAGTGAAAAATTTCTGGAATGCCACTGCTGTAAGAGCCGTGGTTGCTGGGTTCTGGACTAAGGGAGCCAGACTGATCAAAGCATGAACAATTTTGAATAATTGTGCTGGGCGCGATCTAGCAGAGGCTATTAAGGAGGAATTGTAAGATTTTTTAGCATCCTTGACGGCTGATTCGTAGGACCTGGGAAAAGCCTTCAAAGTGGACACTGACACCTCGTCGGGTTTCCCTTGCCACCAGTGTTCCAGCCGCTTTCGTGCTTGCGTCATCGTCCGTAGCTCATTAGTGTACCAAGGGGAGTGATTCCGGCGAGGGCGAAGGAGGCGTCTGGGGGCAATCTCATCCAAGGCAGCCAACAAACTGACATTCCAGTTGTTGACTTGCTCATTGAGAGCGATGCACACGGTTCCAAGGCCCTTAAGGGCATTCAAGAACCTGGCAGGTTCCATGAGTCTTCTAGAGCGGGCAAGGATTGGTTTGACAGCTTGAGAAGGAGGGGATGGAGTCTCAATCTGGGCCTTCAGGGCAGCGTGGTCAGACCAGGGGACATCAATTACTGCCGATAAAGATGTCCATACTCCAATATAGAAAATCAGGTCTACAGTATGACCGGCCCGATGAGTGGGGCGAGTCTTGATTAATGAGAGCCCCAAAGTTTCCAAGGTTAGTACTAGGTCCTTAGTTACTGATGAGGATGACGGTGCCTCGCCATGAACATTGAAGTCACCCAGGACAATAAGTCTGGGGAACCTCAGGACCCAGTCCGCAACAAGATCTAATAGCTTAAGCAGACTCTCTCCCGGTGACCCCGATGCATGGTAAACTACAAGAATGGCTAAGGATTCCCTACTGGCCAAGACCGCACCGAGACATTCGATGCCAGCTATCTTTGGAGTTGGAACAATTTTGATGGTTATCACCCAAAGAATAGAATAGAATAACTTTGTTGTCATTGTACATCGTACAACAAAATTAAATGCCATCCCCAATGCACATTATATATGTAGAATTACAAAACAACACACCCATCCTTCCACATTCTAATCACTATCGCACACTCCCAAATGCCACATCAGCTCCTAGAAAGCTACGGAAAAGTGGTCTATATGCAAATATAAATCATGTTGAGACTGCTATGGTTGCCTTACTGGATGATCACAGTCTCAACATTGACAAGGCATTTGCGTCCCTGTTGGTGCTTCTAAGATCTCTCAGCGGCCTTTGATACCATCAACCAGGGTATTCTTCTGGAACGCCTGGGAATCCATCAGAGGCAAGGTGCTGCAGTGGTTCCGATTGTTCCTCTCAGACAGGTTCCAGATGGTGGAGCTTGGGGATAGCTGCTTCTCCCAAAAAAGGAGCTGTTTTGTGGCGTCCCACAAGGGCTCATTCTATTCCCAATGCTCTTTAATATTTGCATGAAGCCACTGGGAAAGATCATCCATAGGCATGTGGTGGGGTGTTATCAGCATGCTGAGGACACCCAAATATATTTCTCCATGCCCTCCAAAAGAGCTTCAGCTAAGGATAGCGTGTCTCCTCTGAATGAATGCCTGGAGGAGGTAATGGGCTGGATGAGGAAAAACAAACTGAAACTGAATCCAGACAAAACAGAGGTGAGCATATTACACTTATCCTAAAGTCACTCCACAGGCTGCCAATTAGTTTCTGGGTAAAGTACAAAGTGTTGGTATTGACCTTTAAAGCCCTACATGGATTGGTATGTTCAGCAAAGGAAAAGAGTGATCCTCTCACCACTGCAGGAGTCCATTGCATACCAAGCAGGTGTGGACAAAAAGTCTACATAGTAATGGTAAACGTTTCCCCTGACATTAAGTCTAGTTGAGTCTGACTCTGGGGGGTGGTGCTCATCTCCATTTCTAAGCCGGCATTCTCTAGACGCTTCCAAGATCACGTGGCTGGCATGACTGCATGGAGTGTCGTTACCCTCCCTTCGGAGCTGTACCTATTAATCTACTCACATTTGCATGTTTTTAAATTGCTATGTTGGCAGAAGCTGAGGCTAACAACGAGAGCTCACCTGATCCACGGATTCGAACCACCAACCTTCTTGTCAGCAAGTTCTGCAGCTTAGCTGTTTGACCTGCTGCGCCATCACAGCCCCATGAAGTCTACATAGAGACCTCCAAACACAGCAGCATTACTCAGACACGAATCAAGGAACACAAAAGGCACTGCAGACTAATTCAACCAGAGAAGACAGCCATAGCAGAGCATGTGATGAACCAACCTGGACATAGAATGTAATCTGAGAACACAGAAATGCTGTGCCACGCCAACAACCACCATGTCGAACTACGCAGAGAAGCCACTGAAATCCACAATAAACACATGGACAATTTCAACAGAAAGGAGGAAACCATGAAAATGAACAAATTCTGGTTACCAGTATTGAAAAAACACCAGAATCAAGACAGTAAATAAAGAATAACTTTTTAAAAAAACAGGGGGACTCCAGACAGCAAACAATCAAGTGCCAGTTTTTTGGGGTTTTTTTGTCGTGTCAGTAGTGACTTGAGAAACTGCAAGTCGCTTCTGGTGTGAGAGAACTGGCTGTCTGCAAGGATGTTGCCCAGGAGATGCCCGGATGTTTTGATGTTATTGCCATCCTTGTGGGAGGCTTCTCTCATGTCCCCACATGAGGAGCTGGAGCTGATAGAGGGAGCTCATCCACGCTCCCCGGATTCGAACCTGTCGGTCTTCAGTCCTGCCAGCACAGGGGTTTAACCCACTGCTCCACCGGGGGCTTCTGTAAGTGCCAGTTAATACCTCACAAACAGAGAATGTCCTCGGGCAACAACTGCCAGGCTTTGCAGGTGCAAGGCTTTTCAATGCTAATCAAAACTGGCTAATTGCAACATTCACACTTGCTTCAAGCAGACAAAGGCTCTTCCTCCCACCGTGGACATGATTCCACAGATATAGATACACTGCACCTGCCTCTGAGTGTGCATTAGCCACAGATGCAGGCACAACGTCAGGAGAGAAAGCTATTGGAACATGGCCTGACAGCCCGACAAACTCACAGCAACCCAAGGGAATTACTATTTCCAATTAGACATTGATCACCCAGGCACAAAAACCAGTGTGATTCACAAAAAGCCGCAACCAAACAACGGCTACTTCTAATAGTCATGATTCCAAAAGGATAAAAAAGGGGCCCGGCGTTTATATTATTAGGTATCCTCATCGAATAGGAGGCTGAAACCTCCATTTGGGCCTAGAAGTTCCTCCGTTCTTTGGACACGCCACGAGCAGCCCATCAGCTTAATTTTCTTCTAAAAGAATGTGTCGTGATCTCTGAAACGGGCCCGTCATGTCCCTCGTCTCGTCCAAGCTCCACTCACCGTGAGGGCGTCGCTCGCTCTCCCCGCCTTCCTGGTTTCTTCTCCTCGCGCCTTGTCTCTAGGTTACCGAAACCGGAAGTCGGGAAACGGAAGCTCCGCTTCTTCCGCCTTAAGCGCCATGGCCTGCTGGGAGTTGTAGTTTGTGGCAAGATGACGCTGCAGTGCGCCTTGGGGCTTACTCTACCGCCATGAACTTGGCCTGAACCGTTGCTAATAAAATAGGAGTAGGAGTAGTAGTATCCGTGATATGAAAAATATCAGATTATAACAATATAAAAAGATAGCAAAATAACATCATAATATGATCTGAAAAGAGCAAATGGTAATATTAAGAAATATAAAAAATAGCTAATGATAATGATAGTGTGTGATAACAACATGAAGTAATATGAAAAAATAGCAAATAATAATGAAGGGAGACGCGCCCGAAAGCTCGGCTCCCTATTGGCTGAGGACGGAAGGGGCGCCGCGCGGCGATTGGCTGGCTCTTGGGACTTCAACTCCCAGAAGCCTTCGCCAGCTTCGCGAACAGCGAGGAATTCTGGTAGTTGAAGTCTCGAGGGTAAGCGATGACGGCTGAGGTGGGAAGCAGGTTCAAATGGATTGAAGAGAGACGCGCCTCAGAGCTCGGTTCTTTATTGGCTGAGGTCGGCAGCGATTGGGAGACGCTACGTGATGATTGGCCGTCGCCGGCATGGCGCCGCGCGGTGATTGGCTGAGGCCCTCGCGCCGCTGCGATTGTGTGTTGGCGGCGGATCACTTCCGGGTTCGCCTCAGTCGCCTCCGCGGCCGCGCGGGGAGAGGCAAGTCTCCCCGGCTCCCGCCGCCGCCGCCATGTTCTGCTACTGCGAGGGCCTGTTGGCGGCCTTCTCGGTGCTGTTAATGGCGGCGCTGGCGCTGAGCCGGAGCGCGACGCTGTCCTGCCTCCTGACGGGCGGGGCCTACCTGGCGCTGCGGCTCTTCAGCCTGGAGCCCGTCCCCTTGGAGCGGGCCCGGCTGGTGGTGCAGCCCCGAGGGAACCCGGCCCGCGTGGCCCACCGCGGAGGAGGGCACGACGCGCCCGAGAACACCCTTGCCGCCATCAGGCAGGTCGGTGGGTCAGGCAGCAGGCGCCTTCAGGCCAGGGCCGACCTTTAGCTGTAGCCGGCAGGCTGTTAGGAATGGTGGGGGTTGAATTCCAAAACACCTGGGGGGGAGGGCCGAAGTTGGCCCATGCCTGCTCTATAACATAGACCAAAGTCTATCCGTCAGCACCACAAAGGCTGTTGCTAGGTGACGTGTCCCTCTATGAATGGCTGGAATGGCTGTTGCTAGGGGAAGTGGCCCTCTGACATGTTGCCACCCGGCCCTGCAATTCTCTTATCTCAGGTCTCTGCCGTAACTGTTATTACTATTGACTTGGGTTTTTTATGAATGCAATATTTCACTTTTAAATATGTGTTTGCATATCTATTAACAGTTGTTTTCTGATCTTTATAATGAGCCGATTCAATCATGCAAACGTTGCTTTAGATCTAGATCCAGAGAAAAAAAGGGGAATACAAATATAAGACTAAAACACACTTTCCCCTTTCATATAAACACCTCGAAAAATGGGATAGAATCTGAGACATACACATAGCTTGTTTTTCTGTTGATGGAACTGGAAATATTTTGTTGTTATTATATTTATTTATACTCCGCTTTATCTCCCCAAAGGGGACTCAAAGCAGCTTGACATAAAAGCATTAGTAGACAATTTAAAATATACAGACATTGAAACAGAATTAAATACAAATAGCATTTAAAAAATTCACAATTGAAAATAGTATGCATCTCAGAATCGATGGTGCCTTAGAATTGATGAAATATGCCAATCACCACCACCACGACAAACCTTTTACATCTATATAAATAAAAATGTAATGTTTCTTTGTGGGATTAACATAACTCAAAAACCACTTGACGAATTGACATAAAATTTGAACACAATATACCTAACAGTCAAATGAGTGTCCATCACCCATAAACACACACGCACACAAAAAACCCCCAGAGGAACAGACTTAAAAATCCAAAAGAAAACACCATATATACGAATACACATAACACTCATACATATGTACATTCACACACACATATACACGTATATATATATGCACAAACACACACAAAGATACCCATATACACACATACATATACATACACACACACACACACATATATATATATATACATGCACATATACATGCACACACATATACATATCCGCATACATACATATATACACACAAATATGCATATAGACAAGCACACACATATACACAATCTGCATGTACACACATATATACACTTATATATATACACACACATATATACACACACTAAACACATATACAGAGACTGGGCCACAGCATGTGGCAGGGGATGGCTTGTGTGTGTGTGTGTGTATATATATATATAAATGAGAATGAAGAGAGCACTGTTGCCATGAAGACATTATGAGGGAGGCCCCCTTCATAGTTGGAGAAGGGAGAACGAGGAGGGGAAGGAAGGAAGGAAAGGAAAGAGAAAAAGAAGGGAAAGGAAGAATGAGTGGGAGGAGGGAAGAGCCCTGTTGGCATTTGAGTTACAAAAAAAGAATATCCAGGGTGAGATGGATCCTTAAGAATGCTCTGAGCTTTCTTAAGACTGTGGGACTTATAAGGTTCTTCCAAAGAGGGGGGAAAGAGGGCAACCAATGATTCTCTGTCCAGAAGTGGTGACCTTTTGGATCGCCTTCCTATCTGCCACTGTGCAGTTACCAAACTAGGCACAGATACAGTCAGTAAAATTGCATTTTACCACTTCCCCATCATTTCTGTACCTTGTATAGATCCTGTCGGGCCTCACAATTACCGTAATTTCAAAGTATGGATGAGCCTAAGCAGTTTTGAGATATGCAACAACTATCCTACCCTCATTTATTTATTTATTGCATGCATTCATAACACTGTCTTCACAATCCCAGTCTCCATGGAGGACATGAACCAGCACCAAACCGTTTGGTAGGCCTGTCCTGATTAGAGAAATCGTTTGATTGATGGCATTGGCATAGATAGGTCATTTGTTCATTTGCATCACTTCCAGTGTCATGCTATCCAGATGTAAATTGAAATGTAAATCATGCATTCGTATCCTTGTTCATGATTAAAGCAGGTTTTATTTTTTTATTAAGGCAGCTGAGAATGGAGCAACTGGTGTGGAAATTGATCTCGAATTCACTGCCGACGGCATTCCTGTCCTGATGCATGACAGCACTGTAGACAGAACTACGGACGGGTCTGGAAATTTACGTGATTTGACGTTTGCTGAGATTCGGCGATACAATCCATGTGCTAAGCACAGATTATGGTATGTGAAAAATGTATAGAACACCACCATTCATATCTTGGAAAATTGTTGTCTGCCTTCAAGTTATTTCTGACTTAGGCCTTGAAGAAAGGGTGAAATATAAACTATTTCTGCTTAAAGTCATATCTGTTGTCCATCTCAGAATAAATAACTATAAGATGTATCCTTGTACACAAACGAGGGCGAGGAGGCTGTCCTTGAGAGCTTGAAGATTCTTCCCGTGGTTTTTGTGGAGTGTATTTTTAGATGCATCATGGCAATTCAGTGAAGCATTGTTCCTTTTTTTGGACCGGACATTTTCTTGCTTCTTGGCAGGGGATTGGACTGGATAGCCCACGAGGTCTCTCTCAACTCTACAATTCTATGATTCTATGAATGCACATTACTGAAATGTTCAACTTTTTTTTCTTACAGGAGGGATTATCGTGGAGAGAAAATACCGACACTGAAAGAAGCTGTTTTGGAAAGTATGCATTATGACCTTATCATCTACTTTGATGTTAAAGGCCATGCTGATCAGGTACCTCTTTGTTAGAATGCTTTAAACCTCATGTGCTTGTTGGACCTCACATGGTAGAGCTCACTTAACGTTGTACAAGATGGAGAATTTTCTTGAAAAATTGTTGATGCCTTTATTGAGACACTGAGCATCACAAGTGATCATTATATTTCATATTTTGTAGCAATGCAGTAAAAAGTAATTCAAAGCTTTTCCTGTGTAAAGCAGTAAAAAAACAAATTGAGAAATATATTTTCTCCAACCTGTAGGGATAAGGACAGCGTTGATACCCATTTTTTTCTCTTTTCTCAAACTATTTGCACAATAATCATGACAAACTTAAGGCAAATCACATGGCCGAATGGAGTGACTTATATATAATGAGATGGTTGATCTAGGAATCTAAGATCGTCTGGGGAGGCCCTGCTCTCGATCCCGCCTTCTTCGCAGGCGCATCTGGTGGGGACGAGAGACAGGGCCTTCTCAGCGGTGGCCCTTGGCTGTGGAACTCTCTCCCTGGGGATATTAGATTGGCCCCCTCCCTTCTGACCTTCCAAAAAAAAAAGTAAAAGCCTGGTTCTTTGAACAAGCCTTTGGAAATGCAGTGCAATAGACAAACACGGAGTTAGGTAAGTTGAAACATGGAACGGCATAGACGATGCTACTCGAAAATGAGATTAACAGGAAGACATTGGTTATTAAATGGTTTTAATGGGTTTTGTAATTATTTTATAATTTTTAAATGTTTTAATTGTATATTGTGAATTGTTATGGCATCAAATGGCTGCTAATTCGTAAGCCGCCTTGAGTTGCCTTAGGGCTTGAGAATGGCGGGATAGAAATATTGTAAATAAATAATAAATAAATAAATAAATATTCTAACATTGTCTATCCCAAAACACAGTGACTTTTGATCAAGCCAAGTCTTGAGTTTTTCCCAGACCTGCTACCTGAAATGTTTTTAGGGATCAATATTGGGGACTAAACCAGTATCTTCTTCATGAAAACCATGTCCTCCAAAACCAAAGAATAAGCCATTTTTAAAATCTGTCTCTTCAATCTAACCAAGAGCATACATATGTCTTAAAAGCTATTTTAAAGTAAATTACATTAGAACATCTTGCTCTCCCCTCCTAGCCTATTGAATTGTATTTCTCAAACCACTAATTTGTATCTTGCTACACATGCTCCTGTTCAAAAAATTTCACCTCACTTTCTGTCCCTGTGATCATTGGATTTTGGAAAAGTTGGCTTGTTGCAGAAACAGGGATTGGTGAGAAAGCTTCAGTGGAGATACCCTTTCCCCATGATAACTCTTTCAGAGTGAATTTCCCTTTTGAGAGGCAGATTCATCTCACTTCCTGTTGTCTCACCCGTTTTTAACTATAACTCATATGTAAGTCTGATGTTTGTAACTCAGGGACGGCCTGTAATTTTTTTTGTGACAGGCAGTTGCAGCTCTAAAAGATCTTTACCTGGAATATCCTCGACTGTACAATACTAGTGTCGTTTGCTCTTTCATGCCAGATGTGGTCTACAAGGTAAAGTTTCCATTTAGAATTGTATTGCCTTAATATTTGGTAACCTCTGTGTAGAGGTTAAGAGAATCTAAGTTTGGACAATTTCAGTGTTATATTACTTATAAGTGTTACAAAGGTGGATGCAGGAGTGTGGGGGGGGGGGGCAGTACCTTATAGCTAAATTAGCCTTCGAAGTCTAATGATTTTCAGGTGGTTTCAAAAGATGCAGTTTTTCATCTGGACATTGGTAATAGGGCCAAGTTAAGTCCAGGCCCATCATCAGTGGGGTACAGAGTGCTCTTTGATTGAATTATAAATCCCAGTACCTAAAACTAATAAATGTCAAGGCCAATCCCCTCCCTCCCAAAACCCACCATTATTCAAATTTTGGCATATAGTGTATGTGTACCAAATTTGATGCAGATCCATCATTGTTTGTGTTCACAGTGCTGTCTGGACGTAAGTTAACTATAATTCCTATAGTTATTCAAGGTGAATTTTTCACAATGCCCTCCTGTATTTTTTTTGCTAGTCATGAGGGTTCTGTGTGCCAAATTAGGTCCAGAACCATTGTTGGTGGGGTCCAGAGTGCTCTTTGATTGCAGTTGAACCTACAATGTACCTACAATGGCTATACATCAAGGTGGATTCTTTCCAAACCTCTACAGTATTGTTCTTTGGTCATGGGGGTCCTGTGTGCCAAATGTGGTCCAGGTCCATTGCTAGTGGGAGTCACAGTGCTCTGACTTGATGCAGGGTGAACAACAACTTCCATCATGTGGAGTCAACCCCCAAACACCTCCAGTATATTTAGTTGCTGCTTGGTTCTGCTCTGTTTGTTGTGCAGACAGAGTTGAAAATAGTAGGAAAGGGTTAAAGGAGAGGCAATGGGTGGGATCATACAAATTCAACACAAATGGAGAGAGTAAGAAACACTGGGATGTCTCTGGTGGAGAAACATGTAAAATCTAGGATGAAATTGTCCCCGAATGAAAGCATTCATTGGGTGCTGGGCAGTATGTTGTTTGAGGAGGACATTGGCAGGGGTTGGGCTACATGTTCATGGTGCCTGCTATAACCTGAAATGTTATTGGAGGGAGGGCTTTTGCTGGATCCTTAGCAATGTGGGTTAAAGCTGTTCGTGGAAGTGGGCACCCCAGCCACATAAAATTTTCACTTTTATTAAAGATAGATAGAGATAGATAGATACAGATTTCTAAATCTATAAGATTTTTAAATTTCTAAAATTGTTGTTATGGCATGAAGCCCTGGGATGAGTGGTATAAAACTTTTTTTTAAAGTAAATTAATATTAATATAGAGTCCTACCTGAAATTACCAGTTTCCAACATATATCATGCAAGAAGCATTTATTCCAGTTTCTTTTCTTTGTCTTTTAGATGAGACAAGCTGATAGAAATGTCATAACGGCTTTGACTCACAGACCATGGAGCCTTAGTCACTTTGGAGACGGGAAGCCTCGCTTTGAATCTTTTTGGAAACACTATTTCATGATGGCAATGGATGTTATTCTAGACTGGAGCATGCACAATTTTCTATGGCACTTATGTGGCGTTTCAGTGTTTCTGGTACAGAAAAATTATGTTTCACAGTAAGTAGAAAGCCTTGACTTCAAGTAATATATCTTTCAAAGAACTGGGGAGTAAAAGGTAGACATGTCGACTTAGTCTTTGCACTGGCACCAAAACACAGTTTATTTTGACCATGAAATTCATATTGAACTTATCATATTGAAACTATGTGGAGCTTTTAACTTAAGGAGGTTTATAAATACTTTTTCACAATTATAAGCCAACTAGCATATCTGCCTGGCATTGTCTGTCACCTAGCAACCGCTGATTCCCAGTCACATGACAGAGGGCCACTTCACCTAGCCATAGCTCAGCTGCTTTATTCCTTTTCTTTCTGCTCTGCAAAAAAAAAAAAAAAAAAAAGGGGGGGGGGAGGGAGAGAGAACTGCCAGAAAACCCTTTTTATTGTAGTCACAGTATAATCATCTCCTCACATCATTTTTGTCTTGTTCCCTTTAGGGAGTACGTGAGACAGTGGTCATCTAAAGGGGTTCAAGTTGTTGCCTGGACTGTAAACACGTTTGCTGAAAAAATGTACTATGACAATGTTCTCCAGTGCAGCTACATGACGGACAGCTTGCTAGAAGACTGTGACCCACACTATTAGCATTGGCCTTATTTGATCCCTCTGCATTTCCTGCAGCAGACTGAGGTTCAAAAGCAATGGAACTTTTGGGATTCATGTGATCAAGGGGGCACAGATGCTCTTGGGATGGAATCATTACAATGCAGATGTGTCAGACTGTGTCCTTTCATCATGCTGGATGGCGATTTTAACATTACAAATCATTTTGAATCTTAGGGGGAAAGAATTGAAAATCTCGGTAAGAGAAAAACAAATCATATTGTACAAGGCTTTTGCAAATCATGATGTAACTTGAAAAACACAAATTAGTTGGTGCTTCCTGAAGGAATAGTGAGGGAAAGAGACACTTTGTACTCCTTTTAATCAGAAATGTGCTGCAACTATAACCAGACTATATGTACTTCTAGGTTGATGAGGCTGCAAGTTGTAAAGGAGAACAAAAATAGGATCCTTTGCTTGGATTTCTAAGGAGTATTAACCCTGAAACATGGTATCTTCAGAAAATCAGCGATGAATTATTGTGCCCTTTTTTTGGCTAACGATGCAAAATGTAAGGTTTTTGACACAGATCTAGCACAGCATTTGAAAGATGTTGGGAATGAATTGTATCCAGCTTGATGTTTATCTTTCCCCTTGCATCAAGGAGCATTGTGGCATTTGTGATTCCATTCCATCTCAGCTTATTGCAGCATACACACTTCCCATACCTTCCTGTTTTCCACATTTGTTTGTCATGGGCACATAACAGGAAAGTGTTGACTGTGGCCTGTGTCAACACACTGTGATGAAGGACACCCTTCAAGAGGTGTGGATGCCGATAATACTTGAAGTGTCCCAAAGCTTGTTGCCATGTGCAGAATTGCAGTTCCTTTGTCATTTTCACCTGGGGTCATTGTGCCTTGAGATGCAACAATGGTGTTGATGGAACTGAATTATTGTTAGTCATATGGTTGGGATCCCATCCACTCATAAATAGGATATATTCTAACTAACATTTTGAGACAAAGGGCATTTAAATGTTGGTCTATTTTACTACCCTATTTCCCCAAAAATAAGCCCTAGTTAAAGCCATCAGCGAGACAGACATATTTAGTACCTCTGTTGCAACACATGATGGACGCATTTAATTATGAACTAATAATAAGTAAAGGTTTCCCCTTGACATTAAGTCTGGTCGTGTCCAACTCTGGGGGGTGGTGCTCATCTCAATTTCTAAGCCAAAGAGCCAACATTGTCCGCAGACACCTCCAAGGTCATGTGGCCAGCATGACTGCATGGAGTGCCGTTATCTTCCCACAGAAGCAGTACCTATTATCTACTCACATTTGCATGTTTTTGAACTGCTAGGCTAGCAGAAGCTGTGGCTAGCAGCAGGAGCTCACCCTGCTCTTCCCCGAATTTGAACTGCCAACCTTTCAGTCAGCAAGTTCAGCAGCTCAAATTATAAATAAATATATTTGTAAATACCCAAGCAGGCACCTTCGGATGACAGTTTTTTGTACATGAATAAATGAAGATTGTCTTACATGAAAAAAATGAGACCTCTGCTGAAAATGAGCCCAAAAGTGTCTTTTGGAGCATGAATTAATATAAGACCCAGTTTATAATAAATCTAATAATATAATTATTTCTGGGGAAATAAGGTAATTTTCATGAGTTTGTTTCATTTTGAACTTTTGCATGAAGAGGGAACTGGGTAAAGGTAGAAAATATCTAGTTTCTGCATTGCTCAGTATCTTGTTTACAAAGCATGTGGCTATTTTGTCTGAGAATAGACACTAGGCAAGTTGGCAACCAAAATGCTGCTACACAAGAAAAGCAACGCTGATCCAGGTGGCCAATTACAACATTCACACTTGCCTCCAACAGAAAAGAGTTCTTTCTACCACCCTGGGCGTCATTTCACCAATATATAAACCTCGCTTGCCTAGTTTCCAACTGACCGCACAATCTCTGAGGATGCCTGCCATAGATGTGGGCGAAACGTCAGGAGAGGATGCTTCTGGAACATGACCATACATCCCGGAAAACTCACAGCAACACAGTGATTCCGGCCATGAAAGCCTTTGACGACACAAAAGCATCCCCATTGGCTGATTTAAAGTCTGCAGCTGCAAAGTCAGGGACAAGCATTTCTGTTTACAAAATGACATTTATTTTGCAAAAATGTCATTATCTCCCTCCCCATCTGTAGGTTCAGAAAGAGTGAATGGCATTTATGTAGGAAATACTTTTCACTGTAGTAAGAAGAGAGGTGCTTTTAAAAAATTGTGATCAATACAGCAAAAAAATTATTTGGCAGTTATCTTAAAAGTATATATATGCGGTTTATCTTACCTACAGATCAAGCACTTTAGAAGGAGAGTTTGCCTCACCTTGTTACACTGTATTTTCCCCAAAAAAGCATAATAAAGCAAAACTGCATCCCATTAAAGTGGATTTTTTTGGTAAAGTTTAATAGATATGTTTAGTGCAAATACCAAAGTTCTGGGTCAGAAGGGCTTCTTGGTGTTTTTTGAGGCCCTCGTTGACTTTCATGTGCTTTCTTCATCATCATCTATTTCCCATTCCGCCTCTTGTCTGGCTCTCAAAGCTAAAACTAAAGCTTCAGAAACCCCAGCATTTCTGGGTGGCTGGGCATCCTCTTCAACTCCTGCAGCGAAAAGAAAGGCAGGCTAAAGCCACGGCATTCTCATGCTTGATAAGAGACCTGTATTTCTGAGCGAATTATCAATCCTACGCCTGAGGAAAAGAAGCCTATCCACATGTGTATGCTTCTCCGGCTCTGGAAACCCTGCATATGAAGGACTCCAGAATTTGGGAAAGTCTTTATTCACCAAGATCGGAGCCAAGAGGATCCATCGTTGCAGGTAGAACTAGAGGCAAATCCTCATTGTCCTTTTCTACACAATTCCTCTGTGGATGGTGGGTTATCTCCACATCCTTTTTATTCCTAGGTCTCATGGTCAAATTCATCTTGCATTACACTATGCAACATGATTTTTGTTCCTGGGTTATACATGTCATTGGGAGGGACATCCTGTAGCACAGTTTGCTCTAGCTCTTCAATGAGTATCTCATCATCAAGCCTCAACCAATTCAACCTAGTTAGTGTCAGCCACAAAAACTGTCACAAAGTTTTTGGAGCAGAACAACTACTTTCAAACTAAGTCCCACACAATTAAACAAAATAACACTTTCAAACCAGGATCAGAAGAAAATAGCACATTTTGTTGCATAGTGCTATGTATGCTTAAATCATTCACATCTAAAAGCAGTTTACACCTTTACACTGTCCTCAGAAGTATTTTTTTCAATTCTGCTGCTATTATTTAGAGATGAATCGTTTGGCCTAGACCAGATTTCTCCAAACTAAGGCCCATATGGCCGTTCAAGGTAATTTACCTGGCCCTTTCCCTCAGTTTTAGACTTAAGGTTGCCCTAAGTCTGAAATGAATTGAAGGCACACAACAACAACAGCAACCATCCTAATTAACTTGACTATCTCATCAGCCAGAAGCAGGACCACACTTCACATTGAAATCCTGGTAGGTTTATCTTGGCTAAAATTGTTCTTATTTTTAAATATTGTATTGTTCTTTCATTTTTATTGTGGGGTTTGGGTTTTGTTTTTGGGTTGTTGTTTTTTGTTTTTTTTTTTTGCATTACAAATAAGGCATGTACAGTGTGCATAGGAATTTGTATTTTTTTCAAACTATAGTCCAACCTCGCAACAGTCTGAGGGACCATGGACTGGCCCTCTGCTGAAAAAGTTTGAGGACCCCTGACCTAGACTGGGTTTCACCTCCCCAAGTGAGCATAATGTGTGGACCCTTTCCCTAATTGGAGCCTTATGTTTGGGGATGATCCGGCTTCTGTGTATGACCCAGCTTATATAGTATATGCAGTGTTATTCACACGGGAAAGAAGTGGGTTTCCATTTTTTGCCAGGTGGGTGGCTTACCATGAGAGAAGCTGGTCATTTCAGATAGTCTGGAAGGCTAGAGATAAAGAGGAAAGAAAAAAAGAATGGCTTAAGTCAGACACATTTGTAAACATTCTTGTTTTGAAACCCTTCACTCCCATGATTTCAACTAAACAGCCAGGAAATAGGGAAAGTCTCCCTGCTTCTTACTTGTGCCAAATTAACTACAGGACAGTTGAAGGCTTTCATGGCCGGAATCACTGGGTTATGTAGGTTTTTCAGGCTGTATGGCCATGTTATAGAAGCATTCTCCTGATGTTTCACTTGTATCTGTGGCAGGCAGGCCTCAGAGGTTGTGAGGTTCTAGGTTGTGAGACCTCACAACCTCTGAAGATGCCTGCCACAGATGCAGGCAAAATGTCAGGAGAGAATGCTTCTAGAACATGGCCATACAGCCCAAAAAAACCTACAACAACCCAACTACAGGACACATTCTGGAATTTCTCACAGCCTCTTTTGGCACCTGAGCAGACTAAAGCAAAGCTGGCACTGAAAGCAGTGATCATAACTTCTACCATGTTCAATATGTTGTCAAAGAATTTCATGGCTGGAATTCATTGGCATGCTGCGAGTTTTTCGGGCTGTATGTCCATGTTCTGGCTGCATTCTCTCCTGATGTTTTGCATCTATTTGTGGCAAGCTTCCTCAGAGGTTTGTTCAGAGGTCTGTTGGAAATGAGGCAAGTGGAATGTATATCTATCTGTGAACTGTCCAGAGTAGGGGAAAGAACCCTTGTCTGTTTGAAGCAAGTATAAAGGTTGCAATTGGCAAGCTTGATTAGCACTGAGTAGTCTTGCAATTGCAAATTATATCAGTGTTGTTGCTTGGAGGCCTCCTGTTTGGGAGGTGTTCACTGGCGCTTGGTTGTTTGCTGTCTGGAGTTCCCTTGTTGCTGAGTGGTGTTCTTTATTTACTGTCTTAACACTGGTGTTTTTTTAACACTGGTAACCAGATTGTGTTCAATTTCATGGTTTCCTCCTTTCTGTTGAAATTGTCCACTTGCTTCTTGTTGTGTTTCATTGGCTTCTCTGTGTAGTCTGACATGATGCTTGTCAGAGTGGTCCAGCATTTCTGTGTTCTCAAATAATATTCTGTGTCAAAGTTGGGTCATAAGGTGTTCTGCTATGCCTGACTTCTCTGGTTGAAATCGTCTGCAATGCCTTTTGTTTTCTTTGATTTGTGCCTGCTGTATTTGGGGGTCCCTATGGAGACTTGTCCACAGCTGCATGGTATGCAACAGACTCCGACAGTGGTTAGAGGATCCCTCTTATCCTTTGTTGAATGTCTTGGTGTGTCTGTAGATTGTTTGTAGGTTGTGTTTCTTAACACCTCCCAAACAGGATGCCTCCAGACAACAGCAATGATTGAATTTGCAGCTGTATGGCTAGTCAATGTTAATCAAGCTTGCAAACTGCAGCTTTTACACTTGCTTCAAATAGACAAGGTGTCTTTCCCCCACCCTGGACACTCCACAGAGACATATACATTCCACTTACCTCATTTCCAACAGACCTCTGAACAATCCTCTGAAGATGCTTGCCACAGATGCAGGGGAAAAGTCAGGAGAGAATGCTACTGGAACAGGGTCATACAGCCTGAAAAAACTCACAGCAACCCAGTAACTTCTACCATTTTAGGTAAAGGTTTCCCCTGACATTAAGTCCAGTTGTGTCCGACTCTGGGAGTTGGTGATCATCTCCATTTCTAAGTTGAAGAGCCAGAATTGTCTGTAGACTCCTCCAAGGTCATGTGGCCAGCATGACAAGGAGGCTGGCATGGGCAAACTTTGGCCCTCCTCTAGGTGTTTTGGACTGCAGCTTCCACAATTCCTAACAGCCAGAGGAAGGGCCAAATTTTGATGATACTTGATCTAAGCAGTTAGGGATTTGTAAAGCTGCAAAGGAATGCACATTGTTCACAGTGAAAGAACTTGATCCAATGTGTGCGCACACAGTCTCTCTGGAGTATTCCCTCTTGCCATTATACCTCAGCATAAGAGTCTCTTTCTTTCACTCTTGGAGAGCTTTCAATGGAATTGGGCAACGGGAAGTGCATTGGATGGCCAGGCAGCTGGCGCACAAATGAGTGTCTCTGGAAGGAAAACAGAAAAACCAAGGGTCAAACACTTCAAAGAATTGTTTACACTGTAGGTTGCCATTTGGCACTGTGTAGGATTCCCAAGTCAATCGCTCTGCTTTCTGTACTTCCCCCAAATGCAAAACTGGCTAATATTGCAAGGCAATGATTTAGAGCCCCTTCCAAGTTCAAGGAGAACTCACTGCCCAAGGCCCCTCTTAATTCTTCCCAGCTCAGCAGCAGCAGCCCTTTAATTTAATCACCAAATCAAAGCCACGTGGTTTTCCAAACACATGTAATATGCATGTTGTGGGGAAAGGCACCCTTCTCACTGTTTGTGATTAAGAAGCAAAGCAACATTTCAAAGTCAAACGTACCTCTGAGTGCTTTCCCGGATTTGGGAGTTTAGATGCCTGTAGAGCACGCAACTTCTTCAGCAGAAACATTTTATCTTTGCCTTCCTGCAAGTCAGGAAACATAACAATTTGACATATTTTATATGGCACTGCTATACTCTTTCTTCTCAAAATGTCCTGGGTTCACATTACACCACACATAATGATAAATGTACTTTAATAAATCATACCTAGAATAATAAAATAATAGAGTTGGAAGGACCAAGTAGCAACAGTCAGAACTGACCACGGAACAACAGACTGGTTCAAGATTGGGAAAGGCGTACGGCAAGGCTGCATACTCTCACCCAACCTTTTTAACTTGTATGCAGAACACATCATGCGATGTGCAGGCTTGATGAATGCAAAGCTGGGGTGAAAATTGCTGGAAGAAACATTAACAACCTCAGATATGCAGATGACACCACTCTGATGGCCGAAAGCAAGGAGGATCTGAGGAGCCTTCTAATCAAGGTGAAAGAAGAAAGCGCAAAAGCTGGGTTGCAGCTTAAACATCAAAAAAACCAATATTATGGCATCAAGAATGATTGACAACTGGGAAATAGAGGGAGAAAATGTGGAGGCCGTGACAGACTTTTATTTCTAGGTGCAAAGATTACTGCAGATGCAGACTGCAGCAAGGAAATCAGGAGACGCTTACTTCTTGGGAGGAGAGCAATGTCCAGTCTCGATAAAATAAAGAGTAGAGACATCACACTGGCAACAAAGATCCGCCTAGTCAAAGCCATGGTATTCCCTGTAGTAACCTACGGATGTGAGAGCTGGACCTTAGGGAAGGCTGAGCGAAGGAAGATAGATGCTTTTGAGCTGTGGTGTTGGAGGAAAGTGCTGAGAGTGCCTTGGACTGCGAGAAGATCCAACCAGGAAATAAAGCCCGGCTGCTCATTGGAGGGAAGGATACTAGAGACAAAGTTGAAGTACTTTGGCCACATCATGAGGAGACATCAAAGCCTAGAGAAGACAATTATGCTGGGGAAAGTGGAAGGCAAAAGGAAGAGGGGCCGACCAAGGGCAAGATGGATGGATGGCATCCTTGAAGTGACTGGACTGACCTTGAAGGAGCTGGGGGTGGTGACGGCCGACAGGGAGCTCTTGTGTGGGCTGGTCCATGAGGTCACGAAGAGTCGGAGACGACTGAACGAATGAACAACAGAGTTGGAAGGGACCACATGGGCCACCTACTGTAACCCCTGCCAGGTAGGAAAAGCACAATCCAAGCACCCCTGACAGATGGCCATTCAGCCTCTGTTTTAAAGCCTCCAAGGAAGGAGTTTCCACCAGACTCCGAGGCAGAGAGTTCCACTGTTGAACAGCTCTTCTTACAATCAGAAAGATTCTTCCCCATCCGCTCCCTCATCCCATTGTGCTTCAGTATTTATATTTATATTTTAAATGTACGAAATGTACCAAGTTCGTATGAAATTGTGACTTTTATTTCCTGTGACCGAAATAAATGATTTGATTTGAAAGTTCTTCATAATGTTCAGGTAGAATAGTATTTCTTGTTATTTGGACCCATGGCTGCATTGAGTTCCAGTTTCCAGGGCAGCAGTAAACAAGGGCTGCTTTCTCTTCCTTATGACATCTTTTCACATATTTATACATGGCAATCATGTCTCCTCCCAGCTTTCTCTTCTGCAGGCTAAACATTCACAAGCTCTTTAAGACACTACTCATAGGAATGATTCATGGTCTCCAGACCTTTGATCCTTTTGGTCACCCTCTTCCTCTGGACATCTACCAGCTTAGTCAGTATCTCTTTTGAATTGTGGTGCATAGGACTGGACACAGTGTGATTCCACACCTGTGCTTGGGGGCTCAGCTGCTGCTCTGCTTGGCTGCCAGCCTGATCAAAGCAGATAAAGAGGCATCATGGCTTCCCTCAATTTGGGCACTAGACGACTTTGGAGGCAGCCCTACATCCCATTGGCTTTTTAAGCTGCTGCATCACACTCTTGGCTTGTGTTCAGCTTGTTTTCCATGAGGACTCCAAGATCTTTCTGACTTGTGGAGCCAGGCGTCACCCATTCTATATCTTTGCATTTCATTTTTTCTGCCTAAGGGGATTATCTTAGAGTTGTACTTGTTGAAATTCATTGTGTTAGTTTTGGCCAATCAGCTCTCTAATCCGTTAAGGTCATTTTGGATCCCAGACCTGTCCTCTATAGTATTTCCTCTCCCTCCCAATTTGGTCCCATCTGCAGACTTGATAAGCAGATTTCCCCCCTAACCCTTCATCCAAGCCATTAATAAAGATCCTGAGCAGGACTGGGCCTAGGACCGAACCCTCTTAATGGCACCAAATACGCACTTCTTCCTAGGATGAAGAGGAGGAACCATTGGAGAGAAGCACCCTTTGGATTCAAAATGAGCCACTCTTTTGAAGGAAAAGCAACAGCATTGCCCCAGTCCACAAAGGTGTTGCCACTCACTGCAGAAATCACCTTCCAAGGAAAAGGTGAAGGGAGTGGAAGACGAGAGCAGCTGGTTCCTTCTCAAAATGCTCCCATCATCTAGAAGTCCCTTTTCTAGATATTCAGCTAGAGTCTCCTGCAACTCCTGCCCATACGATGGGTCTTCCAAAGAACAAAAAAGAACAAGCCATGGCCCCAAACAATCTACTTACATTGACAATCTGCTCTTTCAGCAGTTTAACCATTATTTTCCGTCCGTCTATAATTTGCCAGTAGAGGTATGCGATAATCCTAAATCAGAAAGGAAAAAAGTCAGCATTTTATCTGGAAGCAAAACATGTCCCATTTTCTAATCATCGGCTTAATTTTATAAAGTTGTGTTAGTATAGGTAAAGGTTTTCCCTGACATTATGTCCAGTCATGTCCGACCCTGGGGCGTGGTGCTCATCTCCATTTCTAAGCTGAAGAGCCTGCGTTGTCCATAGACACCTCCAAGGTCATGTGGTCGACATGACTGCATGGAGCGCCATTACTTTCCTGCTGGAGCAGTAACTTATTGATTAGCACCGAATAGCCTTGCAGCTTGAAAACCTGTCTGCCTTCTGCCTGGAGGAAGCCTGTGTTGGGAAGTGTTAGCTGACCCTGATTGTTTCCTGTCTTGAATTCCCCTGTTTTCTGGGCATTGTTCTTTATTTACTGTCCTGATTTTAGAGGTTTTTTAAAATACTGGTAGCCAGATTTTGCTCATTTTCATGGTTTCCTACATGAATATTATTTGAGAACATGGAAATGCTCGACCACTCTAACAACCACCATGTCAGGCTACAAAGAGAAGCCACTAAAATCCACATGAAGCATGTGGACAATTTCAACACAAAGGAGAAAACTCACAGTATTATGACTGAGAGGATGAAGAAGAAGTGCACACTTTCGATTAAATTGTGATAAATCCAAACCACCCAAGCAGAGCCTGGATAACCAGAGAGTTTTGACACCCAGCCAGATATGGCCTCAAAGATCGTAGGGAGGCCTCGGAAAGGACCACACGCCTCAGAAGGCTTCCGCCTGGGAAAATAACAGAAAAGGTTATTTTAATATTTTTTTAAATGTTTAATGTATTGATTTTTTATTAGGCAGGATACCAATATGAATAATACTCATGGTACAATATTATCATTGTTTAATTATAAATTGGAAATGGGGAACACATTGTCCTGATGTCAGAATTATCGAGTGGGAAGAGACTACATTAGCCACCCAGTCCAACCCCATCCTGCCATGCAGGAAAAGCACAACTGCTGGACTTCAACTTGTCATGTTCATAAACTGTTCTATAAATACAAAGGAGCTGTTTAATATAAATGACGCATCTTGCATATCATTGTCTGGTATCTCGTAACAATTTACTGCTCTTTGTTTACAAGCTTGAGATCTAAAGTTGGTCCTGGGGAAGGAGAAGGGCAGGAGAAAGGCTGTTTATTATTGTTGTTGTTGTTGTTATTTTAATCCGGTGGTACAATGGGTTAAACCCTTGTTCCAGAAGGACTGAAGACCAACAGGTTGGAAGTTCGAATCCAAGAAGAGTGTGGATGAGCTCCCTCTGTCAGCTCCAGCTTCCCATGCAGGGACATGAGAGAAACCTCCCACAAGAATGGTAAAACATCAAAACATCCGGGCATCCCCTGGGCAATGTCTTAACAGATGGCCAATTCTCTTTCACCAGAAGTGACTTGCAGTTTCTCAAGTCGCTCTTGGCATGAGAAAATAAAATTATTATTATTATTATTATTATTATTATTATTATTATTATTATTATTTTCAGGCCAAAAGCAGCTAAGGGAGAACAACTCATATCACTTTAAAATATGCACTAAACAGTTCCAAGACACTTAGCTTTCTTTTGTTGAAGAAGCAAACTCAGAAGAAGGCCAAGAAGTCTACAGAAGGACAGGGCAACAAACAGCTCCCTGAAATCCGGAACTAAAACCATGAATATACCTCTTAAGGAGGCATGGGCAAACTGTTAGGAGCTGTGGAAGTTGTAGTGCAAAATACCTGGAGGGAAGGCCCAAGTTTGCCTATGCTTGCTCTAAAGGTATTGGAAATGCAGCAATGCTTGGGTGAAGAATTGTGAAGAGATGGATAGTTAGAAAGAGCCGAATGGTGTCCCTTGAATGCCTACCTATCCTGACCCCTCTGTGATGTAAAATAAGCCTCTTAGGCAAGTATCTTCATCTCCATCTCAAAGATCTTGTAGTCTTCATGGAGAACAAGCTAAGTATGAGCCAAGAGTGTGATGTAGCAGCTCAAAAAGCCAATGGGATTCTGGGCTGCATCCAAAGGAGTCTAGTGTCCAGATTGAGGGAAGTCCTGGTGCCTCTCTATTCTGCTTTGATCAGATCTCTTTACCTGGAATCACAGCCCTGGGTGAAGCAAGTCAAGAGGGATGTTGACTCGATGCTGAAAGCGATCCATAGGTAAAGGGTGACTAAAAGGATAAGAGATCTATAGACCATGAATCCTTCTGAGGAAGGGCTTAAAAACTGTTTATCCTGCCGAACAGAAGGCTGAGAGAAGACATGATAGCCATGTATAAATATCTGAAAGGATGCCCTAAAGAAGAGGGAGCAGGCTTGTTTTCTGCTGCCTTGGAAACTAGCACTCAATGGGTTCAAACTATAGGAAAGAAGATTCTGCCTGAACATTAGGAAGAATCTCTTGATCATACAAAGAGCTGTTCAGCGGTGGAACTCTCTACTTCAGAGTCCATTGGAAACTCCTTCCTTGGAAACTTTCAAATAGAGGCTGTATGGGCATCTGTTGGAGGTGCTTTGATTGCGCTTTTCCTACATGACAGAATGGGGTTGGATAGGATGGCCTTTGGGGTCTCCTCCAACTCCATGATTCTGTAATTTCTTCTTCTTCCAACGGGTCCTCACTCAACCTTCCAAGATATAGCTAGACCCAATCAGCCCCCTGAGCAACTTTCCTCCAAGCCATTGGCATGTTTCTTCCTTACATCAAGACCTCTAACCGCAGCATGCACTCAAATGAAAGGCCCTCAAACAGAGTGAGCAACTGATTTGCTGTTACCTCCAAACGGCAATGGCGATGACAGCAAGGACTCCCACGAAGGAGGGGAAGAACAACAAGAAGACAAAGATGGTGTTCATCTGGGAGGCTCTCCAAGCTTTGCGGGGTGGCTGGCAGTTCATCGTTAGGCTGACCTTTCAGGACAAAAGAGGGAAAGTGTGCCATGGGAACTCCATAGGAACTCTGTTGATCCCAATGTGATGCAATCTCCCCACACTAGTCTTGCAAAACCTAGCTCCCTTCAGATACAGCGGACTGCAACTCCTGCTATCCTCCAGCAGCAATGGCCACACAATGGGAGTTGCAGTCAAGGGCAGCAGGATGGGAAGGACTTTGCTTGAGAAACATCTCTCTCTGAAACCCAGGAAAAAGGAGGTGACCATTGAGTTAAAGGCGACCAACATAACTCAAGGTTGCTGTGAGTTTTGGGCTCAATGCCCATGTTCCAGTAGCATTCTCTCCTGACATTTTGCCTGCATTTGTGGTTAATGACATCTTCAGAGGTTTGCTGGAAATGAGGCAAGTGGAGTGTGTGTGTGTATATATGGAATAATGTCCAGGGTGGGAGAAAGAACTCTTGTCTGTTTGAAACCAGTGTGAATGTTGCAATTGGCAAGCTTGAGTAGCCTTGCAGCTGCAAAGTCAATCAGTGAGGGTATTTGCATAGAGGTAGCCTGGCCTCTGTTGCCTGGAGACATCCTCTGTTTGAAAGGTGTTAACTGGCACTTGCTGTCTGGAATTCTGAGTGGTGTCCTTTATTTACTGTCTTGATTCTGGTGGTTTTTTTAAAATACAGATAACCAGATCTTGTTCATTTTCATGGTTTCTGTTGAAATTGTCCACATGCGTTTTGTGGATTTCAATGGCTTCTCTGTGTGGTTGTCAGAGTGGTCCAGCATTTCTATGTGACGACCATCATGTCAGACTACACAGACAAACCACTGAAAGGAGGAAACCATGAAAATGAACAAAATCCAGTATTAAAAAACACCAGAATCAAAACGGTAAATAAGAAACACCACTCAGTAACAGGGAAACTCCAGACAGCAAACAATTAAGTGCCAGTCAACACCTCCCAAACAAAGGATGCCTCCAGGCAGCAAAAGCTAGGCTACCTCTATGCAAATACCTTCACTGATGGACTTTGCAGCTGCAAGGCTACTCAATATAATCAAGCTTGCTCACTGCAACATTCACACTTGCTTCAAACAGACAAGGGTTCTTTCTCCCACTCTGGACATTATTCCAAAGGTATATTATACACTCCATTTGCCTCATTTCCAACAGACCTCTGAAGACGCCATTAGCCACAGATGCAGGTGAAACATAAAAATAGAATACAGCCCAAAAAACTCACAGCAACCCAGTGAATTCTGGCAATGAAAGCCTTTGACAACACATTCAACATAACTCTATTTACTGCGGAAGAAAGTCTCCTTGAAATTGGGACAACTTGCTAAGTCAATATGCACAGAATTGGGATAGACAATAGAGACCATAGATCCCAGTAAGCAACCCCCTGATTTCCCAAATCCCAGTTGAATATTCATGCCGCTCTCTTGACGAAGACATAGCTCCATATAGTGATTTCAAGCCATTACTTTTTCTTCTTCCCTTGGAGCCCTTAAGGGGATTTGGGATGGTTTCCCCTTCTCTTATAATAAACAAGCATAAGAACAAATTAAATAACTTAAAGCCACACAATTAAAATCATTTAAAACATCAACAACTATATTTACAGCAACCCCCCCCCCCCAAAAAAAAAAAAAAGCTTTTTGACCCTTCTGTTCCCTTTTCCCATGGGACTATTTCGTTCCTTCCACATATACAGATTTGAGAAACCAAATAAGTCTCATTCAAACAAGTTTCTTATGTCAGTAAATGGGGAAAATGCATTCATGCTATAAGTATAAAGAGAATGAAGAGCGGAAGCCAGTGCCATCAGTTGAGGGCCCTTCCACCTATATAATACTAATATTGTGCTATGATAATAATATATTGTATATACATATAATATGGATAATAATATTATAATGTAATACAATATAACACATAATACAGTATAATAATATTAATTATATATTACATGTAATATGACTAATATTACAGTATAGTGCCATAGTATAATATAGTAATATATAATGCTAATATTGTGCTATGCTAGTAATAGAATACATTGTATGTACATATAACTTGTAAGTCACTCTGAGTGCCTTCGGGGTGAAAGAGGGCAGGGTATAAAGGTAGTAAATAAATAAATAAATAATAAATAATAAAAGTATTTACTTATTTATACCCCGCTTTTGCCTTTCCCCCTAAAGGAGACTCAAAGCGGCTTGACATAAAAGCACTAGCATATAATTTAACATACACAGACATGCAAACATTAAAACAGAATTAAATAAAAACAGTATTTTAAAAATTCACAGTTAAAATCAATTAAAACATATTCAGTTAAATGACGGTTTGAGCTGTATGCAAAAAACCTCCTTCACCCCAGTAAGACTGTAGATTGAATAAACCTTGAGCTTTAATCAGCATGGAATTTACACATGAGACTCCAGTAAAATACAGCCTACCTTCTTCACACAAAAGATGATGAAAAATGAGATCATTTGAATCGCTGGGAGCAACGGCGAGAAGAAAATGCCAATCCTATTGGGAAGAAAAGGGCAAGAAGATCTGAGGCCAATTTCCATTGGTCCAACATTTGTTTTAAATAAAAGAGGCAAATAAAAAGACCTGATATTTGAGATCCTTTTTAAAAGTATAATTTAGAACTTTGTACAACAGCTTTTAAAAATTAATCAATTACCACTATAGTTCCAAGGCCCTCAAGGTAGTTTAGTACTGTATTTATTTATCGTGTCAGAAGCGAACTGAGAATACACTATAATGTATAGAAAAACTACAAAGTTAAAAACTTGGCATTAGGCTAGATTTCCTTGGACCAGAAGCTGGCCACTTGGAGTGCCTCTGGTGTCACTGTGAGAAAGTCCTCCATGGTGCATGTGGCAGGGCTCAGACTGCATTGTAGTCAGTGGTCTGTGGTTTGCTCTTCTCCACACTCGCATCTCATGGACATCGCTTTGAAGCCCCATTTCTTAAGGTTGTCTCTGCATCTTGTGGTGCCAAAGTGCAGTCAGTTCAGTGCCTTCCAAGTCACCCAGCCTTCTGTGTGCCCAGGTGGGAGGGAGGTTTCTCATCCGGCATCAGCCACTGATTGAGGTTCTGGGTTTTAGCCTTCCACTTTTGGACTCTCGCTTGATGAGGTGTTCTTGAGAGTGTCTCTGTAGGTCTTAGGAAGCTATTTCTTGATTTAAGTCATTGGCTTGGTGGCTGATATCCAAACAGGGGATGGGCTGGAGATGTCAATACCTTGGTCGTGTCATTACAGACTGCTACTTCCCGGCGGATATCAGGTGGTGCCATACCAGCTAAACAGTATAATTTCTCCAGCGATGTAGGGCATAGACATCCAGTGATAATGTGGCATGTCTCATTAAGAGACACATCCACTATTTTAACATGGTGAGATGCATTCCACACTGGGCATATGTACTCAGCAGCAGAGTGGCAATGCACAAGGGCAGATGTCTTCACTGTATCTCGTTGTGATCCTGAGTGTGCCAGTCGGCTTTCGTACAATATTATTTCTAGCACCCACTTTTTGCTTGATATTCAAGCAGTGCTTCTTGTAAGTCTGATCACGGTCCAGAGTGACTCCCAGGTATTTTGGTGTGCTGCAATGCTCCAGTGGGATTCTTTCCCAGGCAATCCTCAAAGCTTGAGATGCTTATCTGTTCTTAAGATGAAAAGCACACGCCTGAGTTTTAGATGGATTAGAAATCAGCTGGTTTGCCATGTAATAGGCAGTAAGAACACCTAAAGCTTTGGAGAGCTTCTGTTCAACCATTTCAAAGCTCCCTGCTTGAGTAGTGATGGCATAATCGTCAGCACAGATTAAACTCTCTGTCCCTTCTGGCAGTGGCTGGTCATTTGTGTAAATGTTAAACACTGGTGGAGCAAACACGCTCTCCTGAGGCAGACCATTTTCGCCATCTGCTTCTCTGGCCCTGGAACTCAACAAAAAAGCACCTGTTTTGTAGCAGATTTCCTATGAAGCAGGTGAGGTGGTAATCCTTTGTAATATTATACATTTTTATCAGGAGGAGGAAATGGTTACTGACAGGTCTATGAAGACAGTGCCTGCTGTCTTTCAAAACAAATTATCAAGGCAGAACTGGATCATATGAGTCCACACTGCCATATAATCCAGTTTAAACCAGATCATCTGGATTTTATATGGCAGTGTAGAACGCACCTCAATTGGACTCTGACAAAGGGGTTTTGGAGCAGTATTATTAACGTGTCATTTTAACTCACCATGTTAAAGTTTGAGAATAGATCAAATCCAAAACGTTCCGAGCGATATCGAATTCAGGCACGCCCAGTTTTTTGCAGCATTTAGTCCCGATGATTCTAATAATGGCACAGAATGAAAATGAATTGCATTTTTTGCCAGAACTCAAAAAAGAATTTGAATGTTAATTTATTTCATGTATAAGCTCACCTTCATAACTAAGAACCCAAAAAGTTAAAACACCCTAAAATATATCCAGGTTCTGCAAGTACCAAGATCACTGTCTAATCCAGTGGTTCTCAACCTGTGGGTCCCCAGATGTTTTGGCCTTAAACTCCCAGAAATCCAAAAAGGTGGTAAACTGGCTGGGATTTCTGGGAGTTCTAGGCCAAAACACTTGGGGACCCACAGGTTAAGAACTACTGGTCTAACCACTCCTCTTTGGGCAGAACAAGCATGTCTGAAGAGTTTATTCATAAAAATCATCATCATCATCATAAAATCAAAGCTATGCAGTTTTATATAGGGTGACTGTTTGAAGCTTTAGAAGTTTTCAAAAGTTTTAATCGGAAGAGACTAGTTGGCAAATACCGACAGTTTAACCGGACTAAAATAACTCAAAGTAGATCCATTTGTCTTTGAGCTAAAGTATCTCAGGATTCCAGATTTTTTTTTCAGGTAGGCTTTTAAAGAAGGATTTAAAGATCAATTCAGGGGGTGTTGTGGGTTTTAACTGAATATGTTTTAATGGTTTTTACCTGAATTTCTGAAATACCGTTTATATTAAAATTTGTTTTAATGTTTGCATATCATAGAATCATAGAATCAAAGAGTTGGAAGAGACCTCATGGGCCATCCAGTCCAACCCCCTGCCAAGAAGCAGGAATATTGCATTCAAACCACCCCTGACAAATGGCCATCCAGCCTCTGCTTAAAAGCTTCCAAAGAAGGAGCCTCCACCACACTCCGGGGCAGAGAGTTCCACTGCTGAACGGCTCTTGTATGCTGATGTTTTTATGTTAAGCCACTTTGAGTCTCCTTCAGGAGAGATAAAGGAGAGTATAAATAAATATAATAATAGGGTAAACATAAATAGGCACAGAAGTACGACACGGGCGCAAAGAAGGGAACACATACCGTCGGAGAAATTCGCCAAAGAAGGAACCCAGGAGGCAACAGATGAAATCAGCCACAAGCAACCTGTATATATCCTGGCCAACCAAGGTTTCCCAGCACTAGGAAGATGTGGAGGGGAATAATAAGCAATGAGAAAACAGAACATCTCTCCCTCACACTGAGTAAAGGGACACCAGGATATTAAAGAATTGGGGTAGGGTGTCCACCTTAGGGGATTCTGCTCCACTTTGGGACAGATCAGACTTCAATACAAGAATTATCTGGATTCTCCGAGGTGTGACCAGCAGTGGGGACAATATGATTTCAAATAAAAGCTCTCCAGGGAGAAAATGACCCATTTAACATATTGATTCGAATCTAATGCTCACCTTTTGGCACTAAATAACATTGCCAATAAATGAGCGTGCATTATTTTTGCATCATATCATCATCTTAGTGCTGAGCCAAAGCCAAATGGGAAAATACTTCAGGAGCTGCAGCTAGAGCTTTTCTTTGAGGGATATTCATCTCTAATTTCATGGCCAGGATGCTATGCAATGCTGGGATTTGTAGTCTGGTGAGGCATATGCATATTTTGGCATAGAAGGCTCAGGCCATGTCAAACTACACCCCCCATGATTCCATAGCATTGAACCAAAGATGTTAAAGTGTGTTCATTCTATAGCAGAGACACACCCCATAGTTTTCTTTTCAGTCGCTGGAAGATTTGGTGTTCTGTTTCTAAAGAAGGAATCCTAAGCAGGCAACCATTGTAATGCACACCTTTTTTGGCCAAATGACAAAGAGTGCACTTTTTGCCAATCTGCATGACATTCGGCAGCAAATGCCTTTTCTTTTCCTTTTCTCTCTCTCTCTCTTTGGTTTCTGGGTTTTGAAAATGGAGGTGCGCATTAGATTCAATGACACATGACACTCGAGTCAATATGGTAGTGCCTGCAATTCTGTGACCTAAGTCTGCATAACAAGGTTATATGGATACATGTGCTGTTTTATGTTTATCACACCAAGTCTGGTTCTGCCTCTCCCTGCACAAGGCCCTCTTCCCTTTGCCTTCACCCTAACTGAAGGCAACTAGCCTGAGAGCAATGGCACCAAGCCCCCCATGGCCTCATCATGCCCAGGGAAGAAAACAGTGGCTCCTGGGCTTTGTGTTTGTTTCTTTGAAGGGATAGTTGGCCACTCCAGTCTTACCTCTGCTTTGGACATGGCCACTTTGTTAAGCCAGTAGTTGCAGAGGATTCCAATGAGAGATACTTTCAGAATGATGTTCCTGCAAAAAGGGAGAGGTAAGCATGAGAATCCAAGCAGCGCAACGCTGCAGCTGTTCTTCTTAAGAGCTTGGAGATCAGAACGGCCATTTCTGCTCATGTTGTATCCTCTTCTTTGACAACAATATTGGGGGAGAAGTGCTGGAATCACATTCCTGTTTTTGGAGCAGAGGTGAGCAAATGCGCAACTTGCTGGTGGCATCTTATGATTACTCAGAAAGGCCGCCAAATGCACTCTAGAAAGTATAGAGGGCATTTGTATCAGGTTTGGAGGCCATCATCCCAAAATGTCATCTAATGGGCATGGAAAAGGTATTTCCACCATATTCAATCAATCAATCAAGACTTTATTGCAGTCCAAACACCCAATTGGCTCAGCAGTTAAAGGTGCACAAATGCAAACAGATTAATAAATTGAAAAAACTAATTAAACACGGGATGGTGTGTTTTGCCTGTTGACTTATGGCAACCCAATGAATTTCACAGGGTTATACTGGGCAAGGAATGAATGCTCAACACTGGTTTGGTCAATATAGTAAGCTTTCTATAACAAAACCACCAAGTGATATTTCGATAAACAAAAGCGAAGAACAACAAAACAGAAGAAGGTGATGTTTCTTATGTATTACAGTGAAAGTAAAATGGCCGGGACGAACCATACCTGATCATGGCGGTATAGATCTGGTGCCTGGGATGAGCGAAGCTTTCCACAAAGCCGAAGAGGGATAACAAGAAGGGCACCATGTGATTGATTAGGCTCACAGCGACTGGCAGCACCAGCGTTGCGGCTTCACTTTCCAGGTCAGTTTTCTTCTGGTCTAGAAGGAACTTTAAGGGCAAAATTCCAGATCAATGTTTCAAAGCAGCTCTAATCCGAATCCATCCAGACATATGGGCTACTGCTCTCTATCTAATGGGGCCATGGTAGCACAGAGAGTTAAACCACTAACTGCAGAAAAACTTGCTAATCGGAAGGTAGGCAGCTTCAAGCCATGGGTGGGACACCTATTGAGTTTTAGTCTAATGCACACAGACGACTGATGTTTGCCCATGTCTGGAATAATAATAATAATAATAATAATAATAATAATAATAATAATCTTTATTTATATCCTGCCACCATCTCCCCAAGGGGGACTCGGGGTGGTTGACATGAAGCCAAGCCCAAAGACACAACATAGCAAAATAAAATACAATATGCAAACAACAATAATCACATCACAATAAAATACATACAGTAACAAAATAGAGTAGACAAAGCAAAGTAACATAATATAAAATCGAACACAATGGGTGGTCCAAATGGACAAGGTAAAATGATAAAACCCTAGATGAGGTAGAAATAGAAGAAGGTTATTTGGGAGGAGCCCAAAAGGATAAACAGTGGGGTTAGGCTTTCAGTTTATGACAGGGGAAAGTGCATCATAAGGGCAACACTGTAGATGGAACAAACAGAAATGGGATAGATGGTCAATTTATATATACTTTATTTATATAAATATAAATTTTTAATATAAATATAATTATTAATATAAAGTACTAATATAGGGTTGTTGTAGGTTTTTCGGGCTATATGACCATGTTCTAGAAGCATTCTCTCCTGATGTTTCGCCTGCATCTATGGCAAGCATCCTCAAAGGTTGTGAGGTATATATACTTTATTTATATTCCGTTCTAGCTTTCCAAGGGGACTCAGCAGATTACAGTATACACATATATAGGCAAACATCCAATGCCTTTTTATAGAGTGAACAACAGTGACATACAATACACAAACAGAGGCAAAGGTTTCCTTTTCCATCTCCGGCATCTGGAGGTGATGCTCAACTCTGGTCATGGAGAAGTGCTCTTGTTCTATTTTCCATGCCGAGGAGCCTATTATCCATCGACCCTCCTGGTCGTGTTTTGCCAGCATGTCTGCATGGGCAACTTTTACTTTCCCAACTAGGCAGTACCTATTTATCTACTCACAATGTAGGTTTTTGAACTGCTAGGTGGGCAGAACACACGGAGGGCTGAAATTTGCTCATGCCTGCCCTATCTAACCTTATCTTTCCTTCTTTCGTATTGATTATTCCCCCTATACTATCTGACAAAATCAGTGTTTATATGTGTGTGTGTGTAAATTAAAAGATAGTTCCACTAGGCCTTACCTGTAAATTGACAAGAGAGATGTGATAAATGCCAGCGCATGAACCAACAGCAGCGCCCAACGAAACAAACCAGGCCACAGCATGGACTGCGATGCGGGAAAGCCTCCGACTTAAAGGAAGCTTCGACGTTCCAGCATTTACTTCTGACAAGGTCTCCTGGAATGAAAGCCATCATCAAAAATTTTGGCTTGTTGTGGAAACAAGGATTGGACACAAAGCCCTTTTCCCCTGATAATGACTCTTCCAAGAGTTGATTTCCCTTCTTTCCAATGGGTAGATTTCTCTCACTTTCTGATATCTCAGACCCATTCCTAACTAGGAGTCGCTTGTAAGTCAGATGTTTGTAATTTGCGTATTTCAGAAAGTAACTCCTTAAGTCTGCCTCCCTTTTCATGATAAGAAAAGAACCACTTTTAAGGATTTGCTTCTTTGTGACACAACACCGACCAAGATGGAAACCAGAGGGGCTCCTGCTCATCCTTTCTGGCTCTAAAGAGCATCCAACACGCACGAAGACAGATCAAAGTCTAGTCCAGCAATGTTGTTGTTGTTGTTGTTGTTGTTGTTGTTGTTGTTGTTGTTATTATTATTATTATTATTACTATTATTATTATTATTATTATTATTATTATTATTATTATTATTATTATTAGAAACACAACAAGATCACGATGATGGTATTATTATTTGTACCCCACTTTTTTCTCTCTAAAAAGAGTCAAATTGGCTCACTGTAAAGCCAATACAATACAATTCAAAACCTAAAAATATACAAACCTTAAAATAGAATTAAATATTAACAGAATTATTACAATTAAAATGCTTAGAATCCTCTCCAATGAGTGAAAGCGGATCTCTAGAGCCAGGGCCAAAGGATAATCCAGAGTGAACAAAGTAATCAAAGTCTTAAGCGTGAATTTTAAACTTGTATCCTTTGTCTAATCTCTATCCTGTGCATTGAATATGTATTTTAATAGAAATAATTTTAATATGTATCTTTTATGGAACTACATTTTAATATGCGTGTTTACAGAATTTTTGCAATGTTTATGTGTTTTGACTGTTTCACAAGGAGAAGTGGGTAAGAAATAAAATAATAATTATTATTATTGTGATTATTATTAAAGAGTGAGTTCCTAGGTCAAGAAGAGCAAAGAGAACCAAAACCATGCTTTTGATGTTTTGGGATGAACAGTTGCCTTTGCAAATTGGGTCTCTCCACTGAGGCTCATTTGCACAGTTGAGAGGTCAACCTGAATTGGTTATGAATGTTTTCAAGACAGACCTTTATTTGAGTACTCAGGTTTTTCTGCTTTAACTTCACAGCATTTGCATTGGTGATATTAAAGTCCCAGACGCAGAGAAGTTTGGCGGCATTTGCAGAATACATCTGTGGGCTGGAAAAGTTCTTGAGGAAGGACTTTGCCATGCTGTAAATACAGCAAAACACGGAAAAGATGTTGAAGGAAGAGAGGGGGAAAGGTTAGAGATCATAATCATTCCTATACATAGCAACCCATTCTCCTCCCATTCCCACTGATGGAGACTATCTTAACATGTAGGTGAGCAATAGGTAGTTTACTCAGAACTGTCGTATTACCATACGATGGGATGCCTGAAGTATCGAAGTGGGCGCCCTTAGAATGCTTGTATGAGAAGGAGTTTGATCCCAATTAGTGGAAGGACATGAAGGACAAAGGCTACTATTGTATTAAATATCTACATGATATAAATGGTCAACTGATCCCCATAAGGAGGATAATAAAAACTGGATAAAAGTATTAGGCCTAAATAATAAACTTAAACAGGGGAAATATGGGGAATGTATAGACAAACAAAGTACCTGCAGAGTATACTCATAAAAGGGGAGAAATCAGATAAAGGATTAGCCAGAGCAATATATAAATTGATGATAAAAGAGGATGAATATATCGTAAAAACACTACAAAATAAATTGCAGAAAGCAGCCCTCCTCACAAAACAAGCCATAGAGAAACCAAGGAAGGGAGTTAAGAAAATAAAAATGGAGAAGTATAATGAGTTAGAAAGAAAACTGATTTGGAAATGGTACAGGTCACCAGCCCAACGATTAAATATGGGAACAGGAATAAGCTCAACATGCTGGCCTTGTGGAACAAATAAAGGATGGTATGCCCACATGTGGTGGCCATGCCCAAAGACAATCATTTATTTATTTACCATATTTCTACCCTGCTGCATGTCACCCCGAAGGGGACTCAGAGCAACTTACACTTTGGCAATGACACATTACAACACAAAACATCCAAATACAACACACTGAGCATTGAAATCAAATAATATATAAATACAATTAAAAACAATTAAAACATAGCACCTAATCCTGCAATTGTTGTCCATACTACTTCCTTTATGTCAATTCTGTAAATGTATCTTGCACTGTGGTTATGCTACTCCCCAGATGCCTGGTTCCACAGCCAGATCTTGACTGTTTTTTTTCCCTGAAAACCAGGAGGGAGGGGGCCAATCTGATTTTGCTAGAAAGGGAGTTCCATAGCCGAGGGGCTAACACTGAGAATGCTTTGTCTCTCATCCCCACCAGTCTCACCTGAGAAGAAGGCAGGACAGCAAGAGCCAATCCAGCAGATCTTAATGTTTATTTATTTATTTATTTATTTATTTGATACACTTGTATACCGCTAATATCTCAGCCTAGAACGGCGACTCATTGCGGTTTACAGCAATTAAAACAATCTCCAATTTAAAAACATATACACATACAATAACAAATTATTGGGCCACCAATAATAATCCCATATATCTCGAGTTGAAATCACAATCCAGAATTCGTTGTCCATGTTTCCTGTCCTTAGTCATCAATATTCGAATTGCCACAGATTAGCCGAATGCTTGTTTGAACAGCCATGTTTTGAGTCTCTTCCTAAACACCATCAGCGAAGAGGCTGATCGTACCTCTATAGGGAGGGTGTTCCAAAGCCGGGGGGCCACCACAGAGAAGGCCCTATCTCTCGTTCCCGCCAGCCGCACTTCTGAAGCTGGAGGGATAGAGAGAAGGGACTCTCCGGAAGATCTTAGGGTCCTGGTGGGCTGATAGGCTGAGATACGTTCGGATAGATAAGTTGGGCCAGAACCGTTTAGGGCTTTAAAGGCCAATGCCAGCACTTTGAATTGAGCCCGGTAGCATATCGGCAGCCAGTGGAGCTGGTTCAGCAAGGGAGTTGTATGCTCCCTGCACCCCGCTCCTGTTAGAATCATGGCTGCCGCCCGTTGGACTAACTGGAGCTTCCGGACTGTCTTCAAAGGCAACCCCACGTTTGAGCTGGATCATAGGGGGAGATACTTTCAGACAAGTAAGCTGGGCCAGAACCATTTAGGGCTTTATAGGCTAAAGCCAGCAGTTTGAATTGTGCTCAGTAGCAAACTGGCAGCCAGAGGAGCTGTCATAACAGGGGAGTTGTATGCTCTATACACCGCTCCGGTGAGCAATCTGGCTGCTGCCTGTTGGACTACCTGAAGCTTCTGAACAGTCTTCAAAGGCAACCCCACATAGAGCGCATCACAGTATTATATGCCTGATGTAACGAGAGTGTGGACCACCATGGCTTGGCTTCCCAAGGTACGGGTGCAACTGGAGCACAAGTTTTAATTGTGCAAATGCTCCCTGGCTACCGCCAAAACCTGGAGTTCCAGGCTCAACTATGCATCCAGGAGAACTCCCAAGCTGCAAACTTGAGTCTTTAGGGGGAGTTTCTCCCCATCCAGCACAGGCTGTAACCCTATACCATGTTTGGCCTTTCGACTGACTGGGAGTACCTCTGTCTTGTCTGGATTCAGATTCAATTTGCTTGCCTTCATCCAGATCGTCACAGCTGCCAAGCACCAGCTCAGGACCTGAACAGCCTTCTTAGCAATGGGTGGAAAGGAATGATAGAGTTGCATGTCATCTGCATACAGATGGCACTGAACTCCAATACTCCAGATGATCTCTCCCAGCAGCTTCATATAGATGGTAAACAACATGGGGGACAACACTAAGCTCTGCGAGACCCCACAGGACAAAGGATGTGGGGTCGAGCAGGTGTCCCCCAATAACACCTTCTGAGAGTGACCGTCCAGGAAGGACCGGAGCCACTGTAAATAATTTTCTGGGAAAAGATAGTAAAACAATCAAAAAACAAAAATTGAAAAAACTATTTAAAACACCAATTCAGGTAAATATGGTCTTTATGTTAATGGGAATACCAGGAAATGAAAAGATTAAGGCAAAAAACCAAAATGTATTCAGAGCAGTGAGTTTAACAGGAAAGGCAGTAATAGCCTGGGGGTGGAGAGACGAAGAAAACGGAATATGGAAAATGGGAACAATTACCTGTTTGATCAAGTCCAATAGGACATAATGGCATGTATAGTTTGAGTGGATAAAACAGAAGGAATTAAAGAGAAATGGGTGACTTATATGGAATAGATAGAAAGTGGTGAAGCCAATATAGATAGATTAAGACAATTGTGTTCATGGGTAAAGATAAAGATGTAGAGCAAAATGTGGTAAGGGTATGGGGAGCACGGTGGCAAGGGGGGGAAAGGGGGGGAAATGTTGAAAGAAGAATAACTTTGTAAAAGAGATGAACAGATAATATAGAAATACTCCATTACTTACAATGTGTATACACAATAGCTGTTTATTACCTGTTCACAGATTGTGATATTATGTTCTTAATAAAGACAGACAGACAGAGATATTACCGTACGATGATCAGTAAAACGGACCCTTTTCCTTGATGAAACAAAACAAAGGCATTTTAATTTAAAGCAGGGAAATGACACCATACCTGTAGAGCAAGCTTAGGAAGCAGAGAATGAAAAAGATCCCCATGGTGAGAAGATAGGCTAGTTGCATGTAATAGGGAGGCATGGTCTCATTTTTCACAATTGTCGTGTTGGTATAAAAGCCATAATAAAGCACAGTATCTTTAAAATAGCCCTGAAACAACAAGACAGAGTCAGAATGCAAATGTATCGCAAAACATGTCATAGAATCCTAAAGTTGGAAGAGACCCCCAAGGGCCATGCAGTCCAACCCCCCTTATTCTGCCCTGCAGGAAAAGCACAATCAAAGCACTCCCAACTGATGGCCATGCAGTCTCTGTTTAAAAGCCTCCAAAGAAGGAGCTTCTAGTGGACTCTGAAGCAGAAAGTTCCACTGTTGAACAGCTCTTTGGTGTACACAATAGTCTTGTGCATTTGTACAGAATCTCTATCAATTTCTTTATGTTTCATTCATATGGCTCCATTTTCGTTTTTGAGCGCCTCTCCTGAAAATGGGAACCTTTCCGAATGGGCGTTTTTGTTCCGCAGCCAAAAATAAAATAATTTTCAGCCCATTGGTGGCAATAGGCAGGCTTCCCCAGGCTCCCCTTCACCTCAGTTTTAGGGCTACAGGGGTGAAACTCGCCACACATGGAGGGCACATATACCACTTTAGCCCACCAAGATTTATAACATTTGGGTCATCCCCCAAATTTTAGGGATTTTTTTTCTTTCTATAAATAAAATCTCCTTAAAAGCATGTCCTCTTTCCCCCCACTGGCCTCACCCTCAAACTTCTCCAGGAGCAGCAGCAGGAGGGAGGCATGGCAGGAAGGGCGCCATTCCTTGCTTTCAAATGTCAAAGATGCTTCACACAGAACACACACTCCAGTGTCCAGTTCCACTATTTCTTTTATTGGCGGCTATGGGGGAAATCCCCCCTTCCCATCATTTTTGGCAGTGGCATAGTTTGTCCTTATATCCTTCACTGCGACCTGGATCAAAAGCATCAGAGCTACTTAAGATAACACTCCTCCTGTGATGCTTTCCTCTCCCTTGGCAGAAGAGAAGTGGGTTTAAAGACAGAGCTTAAGACACCATTCCTTCTGTGATCTGTGAAGCGATGCAGACAGCAAGCGAGGAAGACCCAACAGGCAGGACTCAAGGGGTAAATACTAGCATGTGGGCCGTGGGCCAGGTGAGAAGTGCCATGTGGCCTGAAATTCCCCAAATCCTCCAGGCCAAATGGAAGATTCTGAGAGTTGTGATTCAAAAGCAATATTTCTGGGCTCTGGAATGAGAACAGAAGCTGTAAGCTCCACCGTTAGACAACTGCAAGTTTGATGGCCAGCTCCGTATTGCTTTTCAACCACTTAATGAAATGAATATCCAAACCCAGTTTTGACCCTGGTTTTTCTCTACTTACGGCTCCTGTAAAGAACTCCAGCCCAATGAAGGAAAGGTTATTCGGTGAGGCTGCGACGAGCTGAGGAATCGTAATAAAACTGAAATTCACCAGGAAAGAGAAAAGGTTCACCATCAAGAGCCAGGTCAGAAACACAAAATAGGACCGAATGCTGGTCCCAAATTTGCCACCAATGTCTTTGAGAATCTTCTGCCAAAGTTTGAAAAGCTGAAAGCAGTCGCTCACAGTATTTTTAAACTGCCGGAAAGACTAGAAGAGAGGAAAGAAGAGCTTGGACTTAATGCTAATCATCACTCAATCCCGTGTTTTGTTTTTTCATTGCTCTTTTTGTTACTCTCATAAAATTAAAAATTCTGCACAGGATGCAATCTCTATTTTTCAAAGTTTTTGCAGTTTAATGAACTTTTTTCACGTTCCTGATAGCACCAATAAGGAAATGACATTTTTTGAACAAACATCACATTACATAGCATTGTGCAATAAGAACTCAGTATATTTCTGCTGTCTTTTCACACTGCTTTGCTTCTGGTGGTTATATTTATTGAACATAATGGGTTTTGTTGTTGGCTGATTCGGTCACCTGCAACGCATTTCATGGCATATGCAGGAAAGCTTATCATAGTGTGTGGGCAGCATCATTACACTATATAACAAAATGATATTTGTTCCTGGGTTGTACATGTCATTTCCTAATTGGTCCGATCATAAAAACATGGGAAAAGTTTATCAAACTGCAAAAACTTTGTTTCTGCGAGAGGGACATCTTGCAGCACATTTTGCTATAGATTTTCAATGAATATCTCATCACAGAGTCCCAACAAAGTCAACATTAACAATCTCATTAAAACCTTTTCTTTTTGCCTAAAGCCATGCCATGCTTACCAAGGCTGCACTGTAGAAACATTGGGTGCAACAGTTAATTTGAGTATGACCGCTGAAGGACTTTTTGGTTTTCTCCAGCAGAACATGATTCCTGGGAGAAAGAGAATAGCAAACAAGGAATACATTTTTAAAGTTTGGTCTTGTTCCAAAAAATAACAAGTGTTGAGAACATTTTTTTCACTACTAAATAGTCAATTTCATAACCTTTAAATCAGTGTTTCTAAACTTTCCTAATGCTGAGACCTCTTAACGCAGTTTCTTATGTTGTGATGACTCCCAACCATAAAATTATTTTGTTGCTCCTTCATAACTATAATTTTCCTACTGTTATGAATTGTAATGTAGATATCTGATATGCAGGATGTATTTTCACTCACTGGACCAAATTTGGCACAAATACCCAATATGCCCAAATTTGAATACTGGTGGGTTTTTCGGGGGGTGGGGGGTGGGTTGATTTTTCATTTGGGAGTTGTAGTTGCTGGGATTTATAGTTAAACTACAATCAAAGAGCATTCTGAACTCCTCCATTGATGGAATTGAAAAAAGCTTGGTACACAGAACCCCCATGACCAACAGAAAATACTGGATGGGTTTGGTGGGCATTGACTTTCAGTTTTGGAGTTGTAGTTCACCTACATCCAAAGAGCACTCTGGACTCAAACAATGGATCTGGACCAAACTTGGCCAAATATTCAATATGCCCAAATGTGAACACTGGTGGAGTTTGGAAAAAATAGACCTTGACATTTGGGAGTTGTAGTTGCTGGGATTTATAGTTCACCTACAATCAAAGAGCATTCCAACCCCCACCGATGATAGAAATGGGCCAAATTTGCCACACAGATCCCCCATAACCAACAGAAAATACCGTTTCCTGATGGTCTTTGGCGACCCCTCTGAAACCCCCTCGTGACCCTTCCCCCCAGGGGTTGCAACTGCCAGGTTGAGAAACACTGCTTTAAATGATTTGATGTATTGTAATGAAGCCTTGCACAAGGGATGTCTCTCACCAGCCAAATACTTCTGTTCTTTAAGTTAATTTATTTATTTACCGTATTTATATTCCTCTCTTCTTAAAGGGAACTCAGGCTGGATAAAAGAACACACATATACAGCAAACATTCAATGCTGTTTATACATTGACAAGACAGTCAATTCTACATAGATAGAGGTATATATAGGCTTTTCCCATCATCGGCATCTTGGAAGCTGTGCTCGGTTCCAGCCATTGGGGGTGGGGGTGCTGTCGCTCCATCTTCCCTGCCAAAGAGCTTGTTTGTAAATTTCCTCCTTGATCAAATCACTGATATTTTTCTGGCATTTCCTTATGAGTGCCTTAAATACCTCCCCGCTTTTAAGCGGTACCTATTTATCTACCCACATTTTGCTTTTGAACTGTTAGGTAGGAAAAAGCTGGGCTAAAGGTCAGGAGCAAACCCTGACCTGGGTTTTTCTTCAAGCCTTCGTGGACCACCTATAAGGACATTTTGACCTCCCCAAGGGTTCATTAACACGGTGTATCTCCTTCCTCTCTAAACATGTTGTTGTTGTTGTTGTAATTTCTTGATCATTGAAGTTTGAAACACTTCATAAGACTTTATGTAAAACATAATCCAAAACTACCCTCAAATAATGTTGAAAGTTCTGGAGCAAATTGTAGTAACTCCTTCCAAGCAACATCAATTGCATATTTGAAAACATCAAGTTATATTTAAATGTTCAGATCGCATTTTGCATTTGCTAATGTCACGAAAACAGTTGTCGTTTTCTAATGAGCATTAAATAAAAGAGAATGCACTTTTGAAAACAGTATAGATGTTCAATGTATTGTCAAAGGCTTTCATGGCCAGGATCACTGGGTTGTTGTAGGTTTTTCCGGGCTATATGGCCATGTTCTGGAGGCAATTTTTCTCCTGACGTTTCGCCTGCATCTATGGCAAGCATCCTCTGAGGATGCTTGCCATAGATGCAGGCGAAACGTCAGGAGAAAAATTGCCTCCAGAACATGGCCATATAGCCCGGAAAAACCTACAACAACCCAGTATAGATGTTTCGCCTCCTTTCCAACTAAGGCACTTATGGATTAGAGCTGCAGGGAGAGGTGGCCAATACAATTATTATTATTATTATTATTATTATTATTATTATTATTATTATTTATCATCATCATTCATGTTACCTGATATTTCGCTTTTCTTTCATTGGTTTTGGAATCTTCTGGATTGCTTTAATCCTTTCACGTGTGGACATGGCTATGAGCTCACCAATTAATTTTTCATCTGCAAAATATACAAGTTAAGCATTCAGTTAGCTTTCAAAACAGGAAAAAGGGCATCAAAACATCCCTTCCCTTCTTTCTTTTCCTCCTCACTGGCTCCGGGGTGTCATAATTATAATCAAAGCATGCCAGACAACATTACAAAATCTGAATCAGTGTCTCACCTGTTGCTCCTCTGGTTGAAGTTGGCAAAGAATGGAAAATGTGTATTTTTAAGAAGCTAAAAAACCAAACGATGAGCCAAAAAGCCCTCCCAACAGATGGCCTCCATTCAAAAATTTCCAGAGAAGGAGACTCTACTGGACTCTCAGGCAGTCTATACTTCACCAGAGTTGGAAGGGATTCTCAAAGGGTATCTAGTCTAACCCCTTTATCAGCCAGGCAGGAATACACAGTTAAGCCCTCCCAACAGATGGCCATCCAGCCTCTATTTAAAAACATCCAGAGAGGTTTAATCACAGAAGTGGAGTGCTGCTGCTGTTCAAGTGTAGGGACTGTTATGATATTTATAATTTACACAATTTGTTGATTGACCTGCAGTAATAGTTACCACTAAAAGGGATAACTTTCTCATTCAGAAAATAAAATTAAGTTTGTGATGGAGCAGCTATATAGGAAGCTACACAAGAATTTAATGTAGGACATAAGACATGTAAAGGAAAAATATCCTAACTTCGTTTACTGTATACAGTAAAGATTGTATGAAATATATAATTTCAGCTTACTTACTGTATCCTAATTCTGTTTTAACCAGACTGTTACTATTTAATTGTTCTTTAAAACTTTTGTAATGCACCTTTTCAACTTGTGAAGTGTTAGCCACCATGAATCCCCACGGGGAGAAAAGTGGGGTATAAATAAAGAGAATTATATATTATATGTATAGCCACTTTGAGTCTCCTTCAGGAGAGCTAAAGCAGGGTGTGTGTGTATATATATATATATATATACACACACACACGTGCGCGCGCGTAATTTTATATGTATAGTCGCTTTCAGTTTCCTTCAGGAGAAATAGAGTAGGGTATAAATAAAATAAATTATATACAAACACACCCACATAATATGTATAGCCAGTTTGAGTCTCCTTCAGGAGAAATAGAGTAGGGTATAAATATAATACATACATACATACATACATACATACATATATATATATATATATATAAATCTCCCTGAGGGGACTCAGAGCGGTTCCCAGGTAAAAATCACAGAACATACAAAGTAAAAACAACATAACCATAAGATTAACAAAACAAAATATGCATAAAAATTGTTGCCATAACACACATATATTAAAAGTAATCCTGCCTGTTCAAGGCAATTTAAAAAATGTAAAAGACCGGGCCAAGATTTGTGCAAGCCCAAAAATTCTAGGGGGCCCAGGAATTAAATGCAATGCTATGGCAGGCAACAATAATATTAGGTACGGATCTGTGGCTGTTCATTCCAGGGTCGACTAGAGGAAATGATCTGGGTAATTGGTAGGAAGAATAAGGCCGTATTTGACAATGTATAGGGATGAGTTAGAACTGGCCATTTTCAAAGGCTTGTTGAAACTACCAGGTCTTCAAGCTCTTACGAAAGGAGGGGAGGGATGGAGCCTGTCTTATTTCCCTTGGAAGAGTGTTCCAGAGGCGGGGGGCCACCACTGAGAAGGCCCTCTCTCTCGTCCCCACTTGAGACAGTAGTGGGACCGAGAAGAGGGCCTCGCCAGAAGATCTTAGAGTTCGCGCCGGTTCATAGAAGGAGATGCGATCGCGGAGATAGGCGGGGCCCAAACAGTTTAGGGCTTTATAGGTCATGACCTGCACCTTGAATTTGGCTCGGCAACTTATCGGCAGCCAATGAAGCTGTTTTAATAGGGGTGTTGTATGCTCCCTATAGTTTGCTCCAGTAAGGAGCCTGTCTGCCGCCCGTTGTACCAGTTCAAACTTCCGGGCCGTCTTCAAGGGCAGCCCCATGTAGAGCGCATTGCAATAGTCCATTTTGGATGTAACCAAGGCGTGGACCACCCTGGCCAAGTCAGACTATATAATTATAGAGAGAGAGCATGGAACTCTTATAAGGGTTTGGTTTGACCTCCAGTTTGACAATAAAGCAGAATGATCGTGTCACAAAAGTGTGTCCCCAACATGGAAAGTTTGGGAAGCTCTGCACTACAGAATAGAATAGCCATAGCTGACTTTTCCACACTTAGTATTTATATGAAGTACCTTCCACTTCAGAGCCAGAAGAAATAGGTATCTGAATGTTAAAGGTTCGGGAAGAACACTGAGTTGGGAAAACAGAACCCTCTCTTTCCTGACCGCTAACACTACCAGAATCTGGATTTAAGAAAACGGTAGTGGACAAAGGGCTTTCACCCCAGATACGTTTCTTGTGCAGCCATTCCAAAGAATCAAAAGGTTTGGTCTTCGAAGCACTACTTGCTTTCTCCATATCTTGCACCATTCATTGTTCAGAAGGAGGTGATCTATATTTGGACAGTGACTGTTTCAATACAGTAAGTTATGTGAAAAAAGGGACTCTTTCAATTCCTTTGGTCAAAAATGGTTCCATCTTAGCTTTGCAAGAACTATAAAAGTTGCATTTCACATCAAAATAACTTTTCTTGTACTATGCCACCAAAGCCAGCAGCAGAAAAAAGGATCACGAATGTTGTTAAGAGCACAATATCACTTCCCCATGACTCTAGCTATTTGAAAGATAGTGATCCTCATGGCACTTATGCAACAATTCTAGAAAAAAAGCGTTCTTAACTGGACAGTGGCAGAATTCTAGAATCAACATACCTAACAAGCAGGAATAATCATTGCATCACAGCTCTACTACACTACACTGTTTTGGGGGCAAATTACACTCTGAAAATGTTCTGTTCCTGGTTTGAAAGTGTTATTTCCTGATTAATTGAGCAGGATTTACTTTGAAAGTAGTTGTTCTACACCAGGAACTTTGTTTTTGTGGCACAAACTATGTTGAATTGGTTGAGACTCGTTGACGAGATCTTCATTGAAGAGCTATTGCAAAATGTGTTATAGCAGGGGGTCCTTCCCACAAAAGCCAAGTCTTGGCGGTTTAATAAATCTTTCCATGTTTTTATGATAGAACCAATGAGGAAATAATGGTATTTATAACCCAGGAACAAGAATTATGTTATGTAGTGCTATTCAACGATGTCACTAGGTTTTACCTCCATTGGATGGAGCAGAAGGTTTCCGTGTATAATGGTGATTCGGAGCATTACTGTCCACAGGTAAAGTCTGTGCAAATTCCGCCTCATAGTCAAATGAAGGATTAACTGTTGAAGACAAAAGAAGAATGCAGAACTAGTATAGCATGCGTCTCCTCCTGAATGCTTGCCAAAACACACAGGAGGGCAAGGGATACAACTCGGTCTGAAATGTTCTCGTTGAAAGTGCTAGATGTTCATCAGCAGATATTTATCATTCTTATTATGAATGGAACAGCATTGACACATGTGAAGCTGCATATGCAGTATGAAGCCTAGACTCAAATGTATTACTGTGCAGAAACCAAGGCCTATGGGTCCTATTGCCCTCAAACTGCCCTCTTCCCACAGGCATTGGATGAACCAAACACTGGCTTGAGCTCGTATGCTTATTGTTGATGAAAGGTTTCCATATTGTCTCCCCTACTGGCTGTTAGGAATTGTGGGAGTTGAAGTCCAAAATGCCTGGAGGGCAGGCTGAAGTTGGCCCAGGCCTAGCTTAAATCCATATGGTATATATATCTGATACAGGTAAACTTTTTGACCAACAGAAACTTAACAGTTTTTCAGTGGAAGACCCCAGAGGCCACCCAGTCCAACTCCCTTCTGCCATGCAGGGAAAGAACAATCAAAGCACCCCCAACAGATGGCCAGTCAGCCTTAACAATAACAATAACATTAACAATAATAATAACAACAATAATTGGAGCAACCTCAGGGCCCATCCAGTCCAACTCCCTTCTGCCATGCAGGTAAAGCACAAACAAAGCACTCCCAACAGATGGCCATCCAGTCTTTGTACTAATAATAGTAATAGCAATAGGAGCAATCTCAGGGGCCATTCAGTCCAATTCCCTTCTGCCATGCAGGAAAAGCACAATCAAAGCACCCTTAACAGATGGCCATCAAGCCCTAATAAATAATAATAATAATAATAATAATAATAATAATAATAATAATAGGAGCAACCTCAGGGGCCATACAGTCCAACTTCCTTCTGCATGCTGAGAAAGCATGATCAAAGCACCCCCAACAGATGGCCATCAAATCCAACCCCCTTCTTTCTACCATGCAGGAAAAGCACAATCAAAGCACCCCCAGCAGATGGCCACCCAGCCTTTGCAACAGCAACAGCAACAACAACAATAAACAGAGCTGGATGGTCATCTGTCAGGGATGCTTTGAATGTGATTTTCCTGCTTCTTGGCAGGGGGTTGGACTGGATGGCCCATGAGGTCTCTTCCAACTCTGTGATTCTATGATTCTAACAACAACAACAACAACCCCAGTGTCCATGCAGTCCAACGTCCTTCTGTCATGCAGGAAAAGCAATATCAAAGCACCCCCAATAGATGGTCACCTAGCCTTTGTAATAACAGTAGAAACCCAAGGGCTCCTGGGAGCACACTTTGAGAACCACTACTTTAGGGTATTTAGACTTTGAACCATAAGATTATCCCCCCCCCCCCCCTTCCCGGATACAAATACATTGGCCAAATTAAGACAGTTTAATTCAACAAAGGAATCAATTCAAGGGGGTGCAATTCAAGAATGATTTAACAGTGATTTTTATTTTTGGCATTTCTTATGGGACTGGGGGCCTCATAGATAGTATATAAATATATATTGTGACATTCAACTTTTTGACATTAAAATCAGACTGTACAGGGCAGATCAGCTGCAAGAACACTAATGTCAGGCAACAGGATATATTCTCTGAGATTCTCCCCAAAGACACTTTGAAATGAAGTGACCCTGAATTCGATGCAGGAGATTCAAATCAATTAGTTCTTTTATTCTCTTTTATGGATGCCATGCTAATTGGAAGGTTGTTTAGACCAAGTTAATGGCCTTTGAGGCTTCCTCCACATGAGTTAATAGGAGTTCACCTTGGAAACAATAAGAATGATATGTCATCAGGATTTTAGGGATGACACACAAGGGGCAGGGCCAACAAAAGATTGGGAATCATGGATTTAACTGTGTAATCTCAACAAAGTCAAGCCTGGGTAGTCCTTGGATTGTGCTGCAGTCTCACTAGCCATAGTCCATGAGGTTAGAATTGCAGTTGGGTGTGAATCCTCAGTCCTCAACCTGTCTCTCCCCATTCTCTCTTTCTCTCACACACATACACACTACAGTTACATACCATGTGCATTTCTATATGGATTTGAAGTGGGTGTTCCAAATGAAGAATCTCTTAACCCGTACTCGGTACCGGAATCCAGAATCCGCATTGAGTTCATGGGTATATGAATGGAGGGAGTCTGCCTCCGTGTCCCTTCCTCATTGTGCTCTCCATAGGAATGGTAGGGAGAGGAATCATAAGGGTTGTAATGGAAAGAAGTGCTTCTTTCAGCAGATCTCCTGCGCAAAAAGAGATTATTATTATTACTATATTTATTGTATTTACTAGCCATCCCCTGCCACGCATTGCTGTGTGTTTTGTGTGTGTGTATATGTGTGTGTATATGTGTGTGTATATGTGTATATGTGTGTTTGCATATATGTGTGTGTAGTTTTGTGTATGCATTGTAATGTGTGTGTTTTTGGCTTTTTAAGTCTCTTCTGCTGTGTTTTTCAGTGTTTTATGAGTGATGGTCACTCGTTGGCCTGATAGGTGCATTGTGTCCAAATTTGGTGTCAATTCGTCCAGTGGTTTTTGAGTTATGTTAACCTCACAAACAAACATTACATTTTTATTTATACAGATTTATATACTGCTTTATCTCTCCCAAAGGAGGCTCAAAGTGGCTCAAAATTATTTATTTATTTACTATTTTATACCCCGCCCTTCCCAACCCCAAAGGGGACTCAGAGCAACTTACAAGTAGGCAACAATTTAATACCGCATGAACAGACACACAAATAAAAACATATACATTAAAATCAGAAAGTTAGAAACATCTAAACATTAAAACCACTAGATAAAAAACCACACAATCCAAACTCATAATCTACTTATTGCACTGAATTATTGTTCAAAGACTTGTTCCCACAGCCACGTTGTTAATTTCTTTCTAAATGTCAGGAGGGGGCTGATCTGATTTTGCTTGGGAGGGAATTCCACAGCCAAGGGGCCATCACTGAGAAGGCCCTGTGTCCCACCAACCACCCCTGCGAAGGAGCTGGGACCGAGAGCAGGGCCTCCCCAGAAGATCTTAACCTCCAAAGTAGTTGATAGGAGGAGATACACTCGGACAGGTAAGATGGGCTTGAACTATTTAGGGATTTATAGTCTAAATCCAGCACTTTCAATTGTGCTCGATAGCAGACTGGCGCACAAGTTTTAATTGTGCAAATGCTCCCCTGACCACCATCAAAACTTGGAGTTCGAGGCTCAGAGATGAATTCAGGAGGACTCCCAAGCTGTAAACCTGTGACTTCAGAGGGAATGTAACCCCGTCCAGCACAGGCTGTAACCCCATACCCTGTTCGGTCTTGTGAGTGACCAGGAATACCTCCGTCTTGCCTGGATTCAGATTCAATTTGTTGATCCTCATCCAGATCACCACAGTGACCAAGCACTGGATCAGGACCTGAACAGCCTCCCTAGCAGCAGGTGGAAAGGAGTGATAGAGTTGGATGTCATCTGCATACAGGTGGCACCAAACTCCAAAATTCCAGATGATTTCTCCTGGCGGCTTCATGTGGATGTTAAACCACATGGGGGACACTATTGAACCCTGTGGGACCCCAGAAGATAAAGGCTGTGGGACTGAGCAGGTGTCCCCCAACACCTACTGAGAATGACCGTCCAGGAAGGACCAGAGCTACTGTGAAACAGTGCCCTCAAACCTCATTCCTGTGAGGCGTCTCAGAAGGATACCGTGGTCTACAATAGCGAAGGCTGCTGAGAGGTCCAGGAGAACCAACAGGGACACACTACCTTCTGTTCAGTTCTCTGCATAGATCATCCACTAAGGCGACCAAGGCTGTTACAGTTCCATGTCCCGGCCTAAAGCCAGACTGCAACAGGTCCAGATAATTATGCTATTTTGGAACAGAATTCCAGAAAAGTATCTATAATGAAATAAAAAAGATTAGCTCACATGTCAGTGAATCTGAATTGGAATATGATCTGTGAGAATCCTGTTGTCTCTACTTTGTTCTGGTTTTTCATTGGTTGATGTTGATTGGCCTTACCCTACATGGTTTGTCTCCAACATTGGTTTCACCTTATGTAAACTTTTTTACTCATCTTCACCCATTACTCTCATCAATTTTGCCTCACCATACATTCTGAGACTTCTTTGGTCAAGAACCCAATAATTGTTCTTTGGAAGGAGATAGGACTTGGTACCTAGTGAGAAATTACACTAAAATAAGGCACAAGCAAATAGGGAATATGCCTTCCATGCAATTGACTGAGGTTCAAAGGAGATCTTATGCCCTAGGAAAAGAACCAAACAGTGCAATCCTGAATGCACTACTAACATCATGATCCCATGCAACCTATCTTCAGATAATTCTGCACAGGAAGTTATCTATCTTAAGCCCGTAGTCATAATGGACTCTGCTTCAGACTTACATTCGGTCCATCTCCAGTGTTTCCGCATAGTGATAGCCGGGGTCATCTGCCTCCAGGGACTCTGAGGAAGGATACTTTGCATTCTCAAAGGCTTTGTTGTAGTGAAAAGTCATGGTGTCGGCAAATCTTTATCTCTGTAGGACCAAGACTCTGAAAACCTGTTCAGCAGATTGCTTCAGTTCCTTAATGATTCCATTATGGACCTAATTTAAGACAATATAATCGTAGTAATAATAATGAGAAAACATGGAAGTAGCTTAGAAGGGGAGCTCTAAAAACGAAACTGAAGGCCTGATTTTGCTGCACAAGAACAAGCCTTACAAGTCGGGGTGAGCTCCCAGCTGTCAGCCCTAGCTTCCACCTACCTAGCAGTTCGAAAACATGTAATACAAGTAGATCAATAGGTACCGCCTTGGCGGAGAGGTAAAAGGCCACTTCATGCAGATATGCAGGCAACATAATCGGAGAAGTCTATGGCAACAGACTCCTTGGCATGGAAAAATGGAACAAGAGCACCTCCCCATGGCCAGAGTTGAGCATTGCCTCCAGACCCAGGAGATGTTAAGAGAAGATATTTATCTCTGTTTGTGTATTGTATTCATTGTTTCACTGTGTAAAAAGGCACTGAATGTTTGCCTTATATATGTAAAACTGTAATCTGCTCTGAGTCCCTCCGGGGAGATAAAGCAGAATATAAATAAAATGTATTATTATTATTATTATTATTATTATTATTATACTGCATAAAAAGATATGAAGAGTAACACAAGAAGAGTAACTGCACATTTGATTGTTTTTGCAACTTGGGGAGATGCAAATACCATTTGAAGTCTCAGTTTCGCAGGTAACTTTTCATGCCACCATAAATAACTTGAGACAAAGGTCAGTGCTGACAGGTACGGTATGTATTTTTTCATAATGACGGAGCTGCCATATTATGTGACCAGGAAATAGCTGGTGGGAAAAGCCCAGCAGGGTATTGAAAACACTGTGGGCATCTAACCAAGGAGATCCACAAAACAATTTTTCCTCCAGGATTAATAAAAGAACTGCAAGGCAAACTATAAAGCAGACTGTTCCTGGACTGCAAATGGCGACACTCCTAGCCAATGGAACATTTGATGTCCTGAACTTTGATCCAAGCTGTCCGAAGGCTGCCAGTTAAGGAAGAGTAGAGTAAAAGGGGACAGGATGGGAAGGGATAGATAGATACACAACTTACATTTCCCTTTCCCCGTTATAACTAATACATCACCTTGCTAGCCTCCATGGGTATGAAAGATCAATCAGAAAATAAGACTTAAAAATAATACAGAGAAACTTCAAGCCCTAGATATAACAAAATTACCCTAGTTGAATGACTGGCATCACAAAGGTGAACGTTATGCTTTGTGACAGGTTCTTAATTTACTCCGAACTGGAAAGGTAATACTGACATGATCCTGCGACTGGTTCCATATTATAATTTAATGAGAGGTATCACTTTCAAGCACCTCACTGTTGAGTTGAGAGGAGAGGAGAAAGAAAGAAAATTAAAATGAATTATTGGGATTTAAAAAAAATAGACAAAGCGTCATTACCAAGGGCAAGGGAAAGCTTTCCCCTTGACATTAAGTCTAGTTGTGCCCAACTCTGGGGGATGGTGCTCATTTCCATTTCTAAGCTGAAGAGCCAGCATTGTCCATAGACACCTCCTAGGTCATGTGGCCAGCATGACTGAATGGAGCGCCGTTACCTTCCTGCCAAGGCAGTACCTACTGATCTACTCACATTTGCATGTTTTCAAACTGCTGGGTTGGCAGAAGCTGGGCTTAACACCCCGTTCCTTAGATTCAAACCACCAACCTTTCGGTCAGCAAGTTCAGCAGCTCAGCAATTTAACATGCTGTGTCACCATCAGTAAAGTCGGTCGCAATTGGAAAAGGTTTTTCTAATCCTATCTATAACTGTTTAAAACCAGCAGTAGGAAGCTTTGATTCCTTCATATATTTTGGAAAACAACTCCCATCAGCTCCAGTCGGTATATCCAGTGATGATTCCTCAACGTGGATTTAACCACACACATATAGCATAGCCATACATCCGTTTGTGAAGAAAGTCTCTCATGATGCAAAGAGACATCTGCTAATACTGCAGAGGCATCCCAAGTCTGATAAGTGGCGCAAAGCCAAGGAATCCTGTTTGCAAAAGGAGAGCTGCAAATAAAAGCGCTTTACTGTTTGCATAGCAACACTGCTAAAGTTATATTGCTGTTTAATATGTATTGATTATGTTCTTTCGAACATATGACTTCACTGGCTCGTGTATTTTAACTGCATATGTTTATTTTAATATGTTGTTAATAGACATAATATTTAGAAGTGGTATTGATAAAGACCATTGGTGTCCGTCCATTTCTGGAGGAAAGAAACACATCTCCAGGCTAAAATGTTGTAAAGCAATGCTTTTGGGTTGGAAAGATTAGCTGTTTACAAGAAATATTGCTTAGAGGACGCCCAATTGTAATTACTGTATATACTCGAGTATAAGCCTAGTTTTTCAGCCCCTTTTTTAGGCTGAAAAAACTCCCCTCGGGTTATACTCGAGTCAAGGTTATTCATTATTTTACTCTGTTATTAGTATTATTTTTATTTCATGTATTATTTTACTCTATTATTATTACATTTACAGTATGTTACTCTATTATTATTATTATTATTAATATTAATATTTTACACTATTCATGATTATTATTAGATTTATCATTTTACTTTATTAGTATTGCATTTATCATTTTACTCCATTATTACATTTAATATTTTACTCTATTATTACTGTTATTATTGCATTTCCATTATTTTACTTTGTTATTATTATTACGTTTATTATTTTACTCTCTTCATTATTGTTGGAAGGATACGTAAGTACATTTACATTGAAGAAGTTTAGAATAATGATTTAATCAGAGTTGGGCAGTCTTATCTCAAATTACAGTTTTATGTAAATATTCAAAAACATTTCACCTCCTGATGCCTCAATTAATGTAATTTTATTTCTATCTATTTTTATTTTGAAATTTACCAGTAGTGGCTGCATTTCCCACCCTCGGCTTATATTTGAGTCAATATGTTTTCCCAGTTTTTTGTCGTAAAATTAGGTGCCTCGGCTTATAGTCGGGTCGGCTTATACTCGAGTATATGCGGTACTCAGTCTTCAAGGAGGCTCTTTCCGTGTCCCCAAAGAGCTTTATATACTGGGTTGCTGTGAGTTTCCCAGACTGTATGGCCATGTTCCAGAAGCATTCTCTCCTGACGTTTTGCTCACATCTATCACAGGCATCCTCAAAGGTTGAGAGGTCTGTTGGAAACTAGGAAAGTGGGGTTTATATATCTATGGAATGCCCACCAAGAAAATCCAACAAATGCTACTTTCCATAAAGGACAAGAGGGATCCTCTCACCTCTGCAGGAGTACACTGTATACCATGCAGCTGTAGACTAGCCTACAAAGGGACACCCAAACGCAGCAGCATTGCCCAAACACAAATCAAAGAACACAAAAGGCACTGCACACTGATTCAACCAGAGAAGTCAGCCATAGCAGAGCACCTGCTATTTGAGAAAAACAGAAATGCTGGACCACTCTAACAACTACCATGTCAGACTACACAGAGAAGCCATTGAAATCCACAAGCATGTGGACAATTTCAACAGAAAGGAGGAAACCATGGAAATGAACAAAATCTGTCTACCAGTATTAAAAAAAACTTTAAAATCGGGACAGTAAATGAAGAGCAACACTCAAAAAGCTGGGGAATTCCTGACATGAAACAATCGGGGCCTGTTAACACCTCCCAACAAAGGATTCCCCCTGGCAGCAACTAGCCAGGCTTTGAAGCTGCAAGGCCATTAAATACAAATTAAGCTGGCCAATTGCAACATTCACTTTTTCCTCAAGAAGACAAGGGTTCTTTCTCTCACCCTGCACATTGTTCCACAGATATATAAACCCCAGTTGCCTAGTTTCCAACAGACCTCACAGCCTCTAAGGATGAATGCCAGAGATGTGGGCAAAACGTCAGGTGAGAATGCTGCTGAAACACCCTGGCCATACAGCCCGAAAAACTTACCGCAACTCACTGATTCTGGCCAGGAAAGCCTTCGACAATACAACCTTGGCCTAGCAACACAAGCAAAAGACTTTTTAAAAAGTTGAAAAACAACTTCCTAATGTCCTGAAAGATCTCTCCAGATCTCTCTCACCTGAAGCCTAACCCTGCCAAGACACAAGTGTGTGCTTTCCATCTACATAACCATGAAGCCAACAGGAAATTGAAAGTTACCTGGGAAGGCCAAGAGCTCAAACACTGCTCCGCCCTCAATATCCCAGTGTCACCTTAGATTGAACACTAACATTGGTACAAATTATTATGATTATTATTGTTATTATTCTTATTATTAGTATTATTATAAAAGGAGTCCCCAATGGCACAATGGGTTAAACCCTTGTACCGGCAGGACTGCTGACCGAAAGGTTGGCGGTTCAAATCCGAGAAGTGGGGTGAGCTGCCATCTGTCAGTTCCAGCTCCCCATGCGTGGACATGAGAGAAGCCTCCCACAGGATGCTAAAACATTTGGGCATCCTCTGGGCAACATCCTTGTAAATGGCCAATTCACTCACAACAGAAGAGACTTGCAGTTTCTCAAGTTGCTCCTGACACAAAAATATTATTATTATTATTATTATTATTATTATTATTATTATTATTATTACTTCTACTACTTTTGCAATATGCATGCATATAGATAATGAGATAGCTTGGAGAGAAAGCAAAGGCATCATTCTCTCAGCCACCAAAGTGAAACAGCTTTGGGTTTATTTTAGTATTTTGGATTTAGGAATTCTGGATAAAAGATACTCAACCATTGCTTGGAAATATGAAATTTGAACTGCTCTGTTTGAGGACCTTTATCTTGCTAAATAGCTCCCCAGACTATTGTCACAAAGTTTGTATTGAAGTCATATGCCTTTATTATTATTTTATTACTATGTTTATTTATACCCGGCTTTATCTCTCCCGAAGGAGACTCAAAGCACCTTACAATTAAAAGCATGACCACACAATTTAAAGTATACAAATTGGCAACCATTAAGACAGAATTAAATATAAGTGTTAAAATTCACGGTTAAAATCCATTAAAACATATTCAAAGCTAAAAAAAAATCATAGCACTCCGACTTGCTCTTCAAAAATGCCTGCATTTCTAGGGAAATTAAATATGCTTTAATTTGATCTGGGACAAAACTTAATGTATATCTACTGGATAAGACTGGTAAAGGAAAAGAATCTAGATTGGGCATGGGCAAACTTTGGCCCTCCAGGTGTTTTGGACTTCAACTCCCACAATTCCTAACAGCCTACCGGCTGTTAGGAATTGTGGGAGTTGAAGTCCAAAACACCTGGAGGGCCAAAGTATGCCCATGCTTGATCTAGAACAAACTTTTAACAAAACTTTCTTTCCATCCTACAGTTCCAAAAAAGCAACACTTCAACAGGCAGAGTTTAAGATCTCAAAACACCGAAAGGAAAGCAAATTGACCCTGGCCTTTTTTAAGATCACAAGGGGGGAAAATAAAGTACAATAAATGGGAAAAGTACAGTTCTTACCACTGGCTTGGACAACTGGAAAGTACTGTTCGAACTGGTTGTTCTACCATCCCGTCTCTGCTCTTTCCCTGAACCTCAGAAGGTTTATATCCCTATTGACATTAGCAATCATTAATCGGCTGTCCAGAGATCTTTTTCCTCATCAGCTGGGTATATTTCACTTCCTTATTGGCGAAATAGTCAAAGGTGGCTTCAAAATGTTTGTTTCACAAAACAAGACTTCGGCCAAGGAAAAAGAGCACCCAGAATAACAACCGCATTTTTTCCTATAAAACCCAGGATGACACAATCTGTCTTGATATGGCAATGAAGCTCATTTAAGACACCTTTCAATGGAGAAGCCATATTAAAGGCCAGTTGCCTCAAGATGTTGTTGTTGTTGTTGTTGTTGTTGTTGTTGTTGTGAACCTCCAAGATGTCCAACTTATGGTGAACCTATCTTGGGGGTTTCTTGGCAAAATGTCATCAGAGAAAGTTTGCATTTGCAAACTATGATTCTGGAGATGAGAGTTAGAATCCTGGCTCATCCATAGACATCTCTGGGTGATTTGGGGTGAAGACCACGCAGGGATATCTATGGATGAGCCGGGATTCGAACCCTGGTCTCCAGAGTCATACTAGTTGTCATACCGGCTGGTAGAATCCAGAAGTTGCAGTCAAACTTCTCCAAGTCCTACACATAATTATTCGGTCTGTGAGATCAGTGTAAACAATGGGTTGCTGTGAGTTTTCCAGGCTGTATGGCTACATTCAGCCCAAATTACCTGTCCGAACGCATCTCCCCCTATGAACCATTACGGAGATTAAGATCCTCCGGGGAGGCCCTGCTTTCCATCCCGCCATTGTCACAGGCACGATTGGTGGGGACGAGAGACAGGGCCTTCTCAGTGATTGCTCCCCAGCTATGGAACTCCCTTCCTGGTGAGATCAGGTTGGTCCCCTCCCTCCTGTCCTTTAGAAGGATGGTAAAAACTTGGTTGTGGGACCAAGCTTTCGGGACACGGCAATGAAGCGGCAATGGGAAAGATGACAGGGCCAATCGGATTTGATGCGGATAGCTAGGACGGTTTTAAATGGTGTTATTTTAAATGGTGTATTTTGATATTTTGATAAATGTTTTTTAATGTTTATGTATTGTATCCAGGCATTGAATGTTTGCCGTGTATATGGTGTGCCCTATGAGTCCCCTTCGGGGTGAGAAGGGCGGAATATAAGTGTTTTAAATAATTAAATAATTCCAGAAGCAATCTCTCCTGATGTTTCGCCCACATCTATGGAAAGCATCATCAGAGGCCTTGAGGTCTACTGGAAACTAGGCAAGTGGGGTTTATATGCCTGTGGAATAATGTCCGGGGTGGGAGAAAGTACTCTTATCTGTTTGGGGCAGGTGTGAATGTTGCAATTGGCCACCTTGATTAGCATAGAATGGCCTTGCAGCTTCAAAGCCTGGCTACTTCCTGTTTCAATACTCATTACGAAACTAGGGGGTGGGGGAATATAGTTTCTAAAGTGCTTCCAAAATTGGATGGGGTCCGTATCATAACTATAACTAGAGGGGATGTGGTCTTAAAAGGGGGATTTTCAGAGATGTTCCCAATGCCCATATGTCATGATTTACTGCCATATTGACCTATTTCTGCAGTAGGCCTATGTTTACAAGAAATGCTGATTGTTTGAGAAATAATTGCTCCAAAGAAGAAGTTACTATTCAAGGCTAACAGTATATCCGGACAAAACCAGCTAGCTGATGGCTAGTTAGAATCCCCAAGTTTCCCAGTCGCTCTGAAGCCATGTTTGCAATAGACTAACAGATAAGATACAGTCATGGTCAGAGAACAATGGACTATAGTTATGTTACCGTAGTGCCATTGCTAGGATCCCGCGTGTGCTATAATGTAAATCAAAATCATAAACAACTAATGAACAAGTGTATAGCTAACTTAGACCAATGAAATTATTTGTCTTTGGAAACGAATGAAAATGCATATTGCATTTACTATAAAAGCTCTGGAGCCCAATTGGGGGTTGTGACAAACCCTTTGATTGCACCCCCGTATGCTTGTTTGTTGTTATTGCTATGGCAATAGTTTTTTGCAGTTTAAAAGATTCAACTTTCGTGGTGTCCATCCTTGCCCTCCCCATTATAAAGGAGGCTTCTGCCTTTTTGGGAAATATTTTGGTTTCTTTGCCCCTACATAACAACTACTTTTTTGTTATTTTTCGTTAAGTAACTGTGTCAATGGGGAACTTTAGGGGCGCTTTAGAGGTGACTTGGAAGGCGCTGAACAGACTGTGCTCTGGCACCATGAGATGCAGAGCCAACCTTAGGAAATGGGGCTACAAAGTGGAATCCACGACATGTGAGTGTGGAGAAGAGCCATGAGCTACTGCAATGCAACCTGAGCCCTGCCACGTGCACAATGGAGGACCTTTTTGCAGCGACACCAGAGGCACTCCAAATGGCCAGCAACTGGTCAAAGGACATTTAATAGAATACCAAGTCTGCAAACTTTATGTTTTGTTTGTTTGTTTTTAATGCAATACAACTGTTTTGGTTCGCTCCTGACATGATAAATAAATAAACATTGAAAGCAAACAAAGACAAACTTAATGTAAGGCAGCCCCCTTCAAATTGCATTGTATGGTTGCTGTAGACCAGGCATGTGCAAACTTGTTAGGAATTGTGGGAGTTGAAGTCCAAAACATCTGGAGGGCCATAGTTTGCCCATGTCTGCTCTAGACTAATAATAATGCAGTTCAATTATGTTACATTGAGTCTACACTGACTATATAATGCAGTTTCCAACTGCATTAAATGGAATGATAGATGGGGGGCATAGTTTTACTATTTTACTGTATAGCAATAATACCTTTTTATTTAAAGTATGATTTCTATGATTCCCCTGGTTACTTGAGAGTGCCGATTAACCGAGAGTCGAGATATGTTTGGTGAGGAGGAATGCACACTCTTGGGCAGAGAAGGCGAAAGGCCTCCTAAAAATTCCCACCATTCCATCGTAATTCAAATAGTACCAAACTGCCTTCAATGTCCAATGTAGATGCACCTGGTTGTTTGGCAAATAATTCTGTGTAACACAATAATTTTTTGTTCCTGGGTTATAAATGTCATTCCCCAATTGGGTCTATCATTAAAAAAATGGGGAAAGTTTATTAAAATGCAAAAAAAAAAATGTCTTTGCAGGATGGACATTATCCTACAGTACATTTGGCTCAAGTTTTTCAATGAATCTCCCATCGAGTCTCAACAAAGTTTGTGACACAAAAACAAAGTTCCTGGAGTAGAATTACTACTTTCAAAGTATGGACTGTACTACTAAAGGAAATAACACTTTTAAACCAGGAACAGAACATTTTATCAAATTGTGTTACATATGGTCAAACTTTGGCCCTCCAGGTGTTTTGGACTTCAACTCCCACAATTCCTAACAGCCTAGGAATTGTGGGAGTTGAAGTCCAAAACACTCGGAGGGCCAAAGTTTGTCCATTCCTGGTCTATAACAACTATATAATGCAATTTGAAGGGACAAAGCTGGCCCATGCCTAAAGAGGCTGCTGTTTGTTTGCCGGCCTCATAGCTCCTTGGAGACAGGAATGCAAGCAGGAATACAAAAAAAAGGCTTCCACAGTTGGCAAAACTCTTCCCAGCAAAGCTTCAAAGTCTCCTTTGCAGGGAGTCTTCCTCCAGGAGAGAGACCCAAATGCATTTATTTCCAGGGGAGAGAAAGAAGGAAAGGAAGGGTCTCACCTTTCCAAAGCCGTCCCGTCTGCCCTGGGCTCCTGGGAAGCGGATCCTGGCTCTGGATCCTCCCCCAGAAAGAGAGCCAGCCTTGCCACCTGTGGCACTTTGCAGCATTTCCTTCACCTGCGTCCCGCACAGGAGGCTTGCACTGCCTGCCTTTCTTTCCCCTCTGCTTGCTTTTGCACGCATGCTTCCAATCTCTTGCTATCTGGTAGCAGAGCTTCTGTTTTCAGGACTCCATCCCTTATTACAAGTGGGGTATATGCTTTTGTTTGGTGTGTTGTCAAAGGCTTTCAAGGGCAGAATCACTGGGTTGCTGTGAGTTTTCGGGCTGTCTGGCCATGTTCCAGCAGCATTTATTTATTTATTTCCTATATTTATACCCCGCCCTTCTCCCCCCAAAGGGGGACTCAGGGCGGCCTAACAAAAGCATAATACAATGCTAGCATCATAAAAAACAACCACAGTACAATCAAAATATTAAAAATTAAAACAATTAATTAAAACACATCCATTAAAATCGAAATCCAAAAACCAGTCCAGGTCAATTCATTGCCATAAGTTGTGTGATCTTCTTCCACTTGCTGCTCACTGATCAAACGCTTGGTCCCATCACCAGGTCTTGATTTTCCTTCTAAAAGACAAGAGGGAGGTGGCCAATCTGATATCTCTAGGGAGGGCCTTCCATAGGCGGCGGCGGCGGCGGCGGCGGCGGCGGCGGGGGGGGGGGCACTGCTGAGAAGGCCCTGTCTCTCGTCCCCATCAACTGTGTTTGCGATACTGGTGGGATTGAGAGCAGGGCCTCTCCTGAAGATCTCAAACTTCATTATGGTTCGTGGCAGGAGATACGTTCAGACAAGTAGTCTGGGCCAGAACCATTTAGGGCTTTAAAGGTGAAAACCAGCACTTTGAATTGTGCTCAGAAGCTGATCGGTAGCCAGTGGAGTTGGTGCAACAAATGAGTTGTATGTTCCCCATACGTCAATCCAGTGAGCAACCTGGCTGCCAATCGTTGGACTAGTTGAAGCTTCTTGGCAGTCTTCAAAGGCAGCCCCACGTAGAGTGCATTGCAGTAGTCTATTCAGGATGTAACAAGAGCATGGACCACCATGGCCAAGTCAGACTTCTCAAGGAACACAAGTTTTAATTGTGCAAAAGCTCTCCTGGCTACCGCCGAGACCTGGGGTTCCAGGCTCAGTGATGAGTCCAGGATCACTCCCAAACTGCGAACCTGTGTCTTCAGGGGGAGTGCAACCCCGTCTAACACAGGCTGTAACCCTATCCCCTGTTCGGCCTTTCGACTGGACAGGAGTACCTCTGTCTTGTTTGGATTGAGTTTCAATCTGTACGCCCTCATCCAGACCGACACAGCGGCCAAACACCAATTCAGGACCTGCACAGCCTCCTTAGTGACATGTGGGAAGGAGTGATAGAGCTGAACATCATCCGCGTACAGATGACATCTGACCCCAAAACTCCTCTCCTGACATTCTCTCCTGACGTTTCGCCTGCACCTGTGGCTAATGACACCAGGGCCGTAGCCAGAAAATTTTTTTGGGAGGGATTGAAATTTTCGGGGGGGGGGGGGTTGAAAATTTCAAGGGGGGGGGGTTGAAACCTGCCTCCTAGCGCACGCTGAAGCAAAGAGCACAGCAGAGGGCAGAGCAGCCTTCAATAGCCTGCAGCTCTGCCCCTGTCAACCACCTCCACCAAGTCTGGCCTCCTTAATGAGAACATTCAACACACACACCCCAACTTGGTTGCTTCACTACATCGGCTACTGCTGCAAGTAATGACAGTGGGAATAAATTGTCAATATTTGCCTGAGATAGTGCTTGCAGTTCTTTTTCTTTCTTTTTCATATTTAATTACTTATTAATCACCCTCCATCCGAGAATGCTCTAGGCGATTTACAGCTAAATTGTAAAAGATAAAATACATACATACAGAAATTTAAAATTAACAGAGATTGAATGCTCTAGTAAAAAGCCGGGTCTTAAGTGCTAGAGTAAAAGGTCCTAAGTCACGCATGGCTCTCATATAGGGTGGCAAGAAATTCCATAAGGCAGGGGCAGAAATAGAAAAAGTCCTGCGTCTGGTACTTTCCAAGTGCACTTCTCTAGGACCCAGTATATAGAGTAAGTCACGTTGGGCTGGTCGTTGCAACCTCCGATGATGGGAGAAGGAGAGGCGGTCCCTAAGGTATGATGGACCCTGGCCGTAAAGAATTTTAAAGGTCAGAACTAACATCTTATACAGGCCACGGTACTCAATTGGAAGCCAATGTAAATGTTGCAGCACTGGTGTTATATGGCATTTCATGGGCGTTCTTGTGAGTAAACTGGCTGCCGCATTCTGAACAATACAGAGCTTTCGGGTCATAGACATAGGAAGGCCAACATACAGGGTGTTGCAATAGTCCAGCCTAGACGTGACCCTGGCATGGATGACAGTTGCCAGAGCCTCGTCAGATAGATAGGGTGCCAGTTGCCTCGCTTGTCGTAGATGGAAAAAGGCCTGTTTGCTGGCAGCAGCGACCTGAGCTTCAATTGTCAGCTGCGAATCCAGGACGACACCCAAGCTCTTAACAGTGGTCGATGGAGATAGGGTGGCACCATCGAAGGTGGGTAACTGATGAGTTAGACCTGCCGGGCGGCCATGCCAGAGAATCTCAGTCTTCGCCGGGTTCACCTTCAGTCTGCTAGCACTTAGCCGGTTCGACAGAGCCTCCAGACATAAGGTGAAATTGTCTGGAATTGATGTTGCTCTAGGCTCCAGGCGTAGAAGGAGTTGGGTATCATCTGCATATTGATAGCAGTCCAGGCCGAAACTCCGAGCCCAAATTAGCAAGGGGTCTAACGTAGAAGAGGAGAGAGAACTGCACCTTGGGGGACCCCACATAGGAGGGGGGATCTATAAGGGACTTGATCCATGTACTCCACGCATTGACTCCGGTTCCGGAGAAATGAGTTGAACCAATTAAGGGCCTGACCGCGAACTCCGGACATGGCAAGATGGTGAATCATTAGATCGTAGTTGACGGTGTCAAACGCTGCAGTAAGGTCGAGAAGTACCAATAGCGCAGATCCACCGTTGTCAGACTGGCGACGGAGTTCATCCGTAATGGCAACCAGGACTGTCTCCATCCCATGGTCCTGGCGAAAACCTGACTGGAAAGGGTCCAGGCCAGCTGTGTCATCCAAGAATTGTTGCAATTGTCCTAGCACAGGACGGTAATTGGCAAGGGTCATAGGATCCAAGCTAGGTTTCTTTAACAAGGGACGAACCCTTGCCTCTTTTAGGTTGTCCGGAAAAAAACCCTGTTCAAGAGAGCCATTGATTATACTGCACAACGGATCGAGTAGACCTTCCAAGCAGCTCTTGATCAGCCAAGAGTGGCACGGATCAAGAGAACAGGTGGTTGGTTTTGCAGTGGCCAGAATTCTGGCGACATCTTCCGTGTCAAGCGGTGTAAATTGATCGAAGATAGGCCCGCTAAGCGGCCACAAGGTCTCCAGCTCACTCAAAGTGTCAACTGTGGGGGGAGTTCCTGCCGAAGCACGGTAATTTTTTTAGTGAAAAATTTCTGGAATGCCAAAGCTGTAATAGGCATAGTTGTTGGGTTCTGGATTAAAGGAGCCGGACTAGTTAAGGCATGAACAATTTTGAATAACTGTGCTGGGCGCGATCTAGCAGAGGCTATTAAGAAAGAATTATATGATTTTTTAGCATCCTTGATGGCTGACTCATAGGACTTGCGAAAAGCCTTAAAAGTAGACATTGACACTTCATCAGGTTTCTGTCGCCAACGATGTTCCAGTCACTTTAGTGCTTGCTTCATCATCCGTAGCTCGTTAGTGTACCAAGGGGAGCGATTCCGGTGAGGATGGAAGTAGTGTCTGGGAGCAATCTCATCAAGGCAGCCAACAGACTGGAGGGACTCCTAATTTTTTGCATCTCATAGACTTAGCATGGGGATTTAGTTAACCAGTTAAAATTCATAAGTAAACCCGGTTTTTTAAAAAAATTGAAACATTTCGGGGGGGGGTTGAACCCGTAACCCCTCCCCCTCGCTACAGTCCTGAATGACACCTTCCGAGGTTCTGTTGGCAGGAAGGCAAGTGGGGTGTGTGTATACCTGTGGAATAACATCCAGGGTGGGAGAAAGAACCCTTGTCTGTTTAAAGCAAATGCGAATGTTGCACTTAGCAAGCTTGAATAGCACTGAGTAGCCTTGCAGATGCAGAGTCAATCAGTGAAGGTATCTGCATGGAGGTAGCCTGGCTGTTGTGCCTGAAGGCATCATTGTTTAGGAGGTGTTAACTGGCACTTGATTGCTTCCTGTCTGGAGTTCTCCTGTTTCTGAGTGGTGTTCTTTATCCCTCGCCTCATCCCCTTTCCCCTTTCACTTTCCTTCCTTCCTTCCCTACCTTTTTTCATTCTCCCTTTCTTTCCCTTCTTCTTCTCTTCCTCCCTTCTCCAGCTCTGAAAGGGCCTCCCTCGCAAGGTCTCGACAGCAACAGGACTCTCTTGGTGGCTCTTTCCTTCCTTTCCCCTCTCCCCTCATAGACACTTTCTTTCCCAGTGACACCACAGAGGGGCCACTCCACCCAATAACAGCTAAAGCTTATGACACCACAGAGGGGCCACTTCACCCAGAAGTCTGTGACACCAGAGGACCACTCCACCCAGCAACAGCCAAAGCCGATGATCTCACAGAGGGGCCACTTCACCCAGTAGCCTGTGACACCAGAGGGCCACTCCACCTAGCAATAGCTGAAGCCTGCAATCTTGCTGAGGGGCCACTGCACCCAGCTACAGCTGAAGCCTGTGACACCACAGAGGGAACACTTCACCCAGAAGCATGTGACACCACAGATGGGCCAATCTCTCCAACAACAGCCAAAGCTTGTGATACCACAGAGGGGCTACTTCACCCAGAATTATGTGACACCAGAGGGCCACTCCACGCAGCAACAGCCAAAGCCGGTGATCTCACAGAGGGGCAACTCCACCCAGTAGCCTATGACACCACTCCACTTAGCAACAGCTGAAACCTGCAATCTCGCTGAGGGGCCACTGCACCCAGCTATAGCTGAAGCCTGTGACACCACAGAGGGGACACTTCACCCAGAAGCCTGTGACACCACAGAGGGGCCAATCCACCCAACAACAGCCAAAGCTTGTAAAACCACAGATGGGCCACTTCATCCAGAATTTTGTGACACCAGAGGGCCACTCCACTCAGCAACTGCGGAAGCCAGTGATCTCTCAGAGGGGCCACTCCACCCAGAAGCCTGTGACACCAGAGGGGCCACTCCACCCAGCAACAGCTGCAGCCGGTGATTTCACAGAGGAGCCACTCCACCCAGTAGCCTGTGACACCAGAGGGCCACTCAACCTAGCAACAGCTGAAGCCTGCAATCTTGCTGAGGGGCCACTGCACCCAGCTACAGCTGAAGCCTGTGACACCACAGAGGGGACACTTCACGCAGGAGCCTATGAAACCACAGAGGGGCCAATCCCCCCAACAACAGCCAAAGCTTGTGACACCACAGAGGGGCCACTTCACCCAGAATTCTGTGACACCAGAAGGCTACTCCACCCAGCAACAGCTGGAGCTGGTGATCTCAGAGGGGCCACTCCACCCAGCAACAGCCAAAGCTGGTGATTTCACAGAGGGGCCACTCCACCCAGTAGCCTGTGACACCAGAGGACCACTCCACCTAGCAACAGCTGAAGCCTGCAATCCCGCTGATGGGCGACTGCACCCAGCTACAGCTGAAGCCTATGACACCACAGAGGGGCCAATTCACCCAGTAGCCTGTGACATCCAAGGAGGGGGTCTCCACCCAGCAACAGCTGAAGTCTGCAATCTCGCAGAGGGGCCACTCCACCCAGTTACAGCCGAAGTCTGTGACACCACAGAGGGGCCAATTCACCCAGAAGCCTATGACACCACAGAGGGGGACTCCACTCAAGAACAGCCAATCCTTTGTCTAGTAACAGCCTTTGTGGTGCAAAGACATAGATAAGGCAGAGGAGCATCCACACAGGTGTCTGTCTACCATTTGTTGCCAACCAGTCAAAGGAACAGGCGGGCGGAGACTGACGGCGGGAGGGCCCGCCCTCCACCTCCTCCCCGCTCCTCCCATTGGCTCCGGGCGGAAAGGGGCGGAGAAACAAGAGTCCTCCCTCCCTCCCTCCCTCGCTCCTCCCATTGGCTTCCCCTCCCTCGCTCCCTCCCACTTTCGCTCCTCCCATTGACCCCCTCCCTCCCTTGCTCCCTTTCTCGCTCCTCTCATTGGCTCCAAGCGGAAAGGGGAGGGGAAGGCGCGGAAGCCAAGATCCTCAACAAGAGCCCGCCCTCGCTCCTCCCATTGGCTCCCTCCTTCTTCCTTCCCTCCCATTGGCTCCCTCCCATCGCTCCTCCCATTGGCTGCCTCCCTCCTCCTTCCCTCCAGGCGGAAAGAGCCGGAAGGCAGCGCGGGGCCGGCGGACATGAGCTGGGCGCGGGCCGCCCAGGATCCCGGCACCTCTGGCCGGGAAGAAGAGGAAGGCCGGCAAGGTACGCTAGGCTGAACTGAGCTGGACCATGGGGCCGTGTAGACCAGGCCTGGGCCCTCCCTCCCTCCCGCTGTTTGGGACTTCAACTCCCACAATTCCTAAAAGCCTCAGGCCCCCTCCTTTCCCCCCTCAAAACACCTGAAGTTGGCCCAGACCTGGCTTATAGGATTCTTGCTGCTATAAACATGTAACGCAGTATTCTCTCCTCGTCATTATTATTATTATTATTATAACAACTAGATTTGGTTGTTTGAAAAGGGCATCGTTTGTTTTGGATGTTATGAATGGACTCATTAGAAATTGGCGCAGATCCGATGGGCTTTGCAGTAGTCTCTGGATGTGGTTGAAGGTACAGCAAATCCCATCATCCAGGGTCCTCCCCCCCCCCCCCCCCCCCCCCCCAAACTGCACCAGAAGTTTAAGGGGGTCATGGGGTATGTGTGTGCCATGTTTGGTGCAGATCCATGGCTGATAGAAATAAACGATGGGGAAAAATGGACAAAACCTTGAATGGTCGAAGACTGCTAGGCCTTGTTAAGGCCCTGTGTATTTATTTATTTACTTTACTTGTATACCGCACTCTCTCAGCCCGCAGGCGACTCAGTGCGGTTTACAGCCAGGACAACATACAAAGTGCACAACATTAGCATTTAAAACAGTAACTAAAGCAACTACATCGATATAGCAATACAACAATACATCAATATAACATCTATACATCTATATAACTAATCCATCATGTCTCATCAGTAAAGTCATAATCCAATCTCCTCGTCCATTATTCCAAGTTCCAAGATCAATCAGTTGGTTGCACTGCTTAATTAAACGCCTGTTCAAAGAACCAGGTCTTTACTCTTCTCCTGAACGCCAGCAGGGAGGGGGCCGATCTAACGTCTGCGGGAAGGGCGTTCCACAGCCGGGGAGCCACCACTGAGAAGGCCCTGTCTCTCGTCCCCACCAGCCGTGCTTGTGAGGCTGGCGGGATCGAGAGCAGGGCCTCCCTGGACGATCTTAATGTCCTAATTGTAGTGACAGTAAATTGCAGATCAGATGTGGCAATCTGGGATAACTTTCTGGAGAAATATCCATGTTCAAAGGAGTCAGACAAGGCTGCATTCTGGCCCCTACCTTGTTCTTCCTCCCTCCCTCTCTCTCTCTATATATGGTTGCAGTTACATTTACAAAATGTACCTCTTGCAACTTACATGCAAATACAAATTAATATAATATAATATACTGTATATACATCTAAAATGTATAATATTATTATGTAATACAATATAATACTAATAATAATACAATACCATAATTATATATTTTATATTACATGTAATATTACTAATAATATTACAGTATAATGGTATAGTGCAATATAGTAATATATAATACTGATATAGTGCTATGCTAATAATACTGTATGTATATATATCTTGTAAGTCCCCTTCAGTTGGGGGTCCATCCCAGCAAAAATCCCAATGTATATGTGTATGTGTGTGTTCCACCTTGTCTCCTGTGCTATGCTTATAATATAATATGCCCATTCTGTTCGATTTTATATTGTGTTAATTTGCTTTATGTATGTTATTTTGCTACTGTATGTATTTTATTCTGATGTAATTTTTGTTTGCAGTCTGTATTTTATTTTGCTGTACTGTACCTTTGGGCTTGGCCTCATGTTAGCTGCCCCAAGTCCTCTTTGGGGAGATGGTGGCGGGGTATAAAGTTTATTATTATTGTTATTATTGTTGTTGTTTGTAACTTGGGGACTTTTCTGTATGTTCAATCTGTGGATATAGAGGGTCATTTGGAGATGCTCCAGAGAAGCCTTGGAATTCCTAAGCTCATTTCCTAATCCTTGCTGTGAGTTTTCCAGGCTGTCTGGCCATGTTCCAGAAGCATTCGCTCCTGACGTTTCGCCCACATCTATAGCAGGCATCTTCAGAGGTTGTGAGGTGTGTTGGAACCTGGGCAAGTGGGGTTTATACATCTGTGGAATAATGTCAAGGGTGGGAGAAAGAACTCTTGTCTGCTTGAGGCAAGTGTGAACATTGCAATTGGCCAGCTTGATTAGCATTGAATGGCCTTGCAGCTTCAAAGCCTGGCTGGTTGCTGCCAGAGGGAATCCTTTGTTGGGAGGTGTTAACGGGCCCCGATTGTTTCATGTCAGGAATTCCCCAGTTTTTTGAGTGTTGCTCTTCATTTACTGTCCCGATTTTAAAGGTTTTTTTTTATACTGGTAGCCAGATTTTGTTTATTTTCATGCTTTCCTCCTTTCTGTTGAAATTGTCCACATACTTGTGGATTTCAGTGGCTTCTCTGTGTAGTCCTACATGGTAGTTGTTAGAGTGGTCCAGCATTTCTGTGTTCTCAAATAATATGCTGTGTCCAGGTTGGTTCATCAGGTGCTCTGCTATGGCTGATTACTCTGGCTGGATTAGTCTGCAGTGCAGTTAAAAAAAACCCTCTAAAATCAGGACAATAAATAAGGAACATGGACATTCCACAGATATATAAACCCCACTGGCCTGGTTTCCAACAGACCTCACAGCCTCTGAGAATGCCTGCCATAGATGCAGGCAAAACGTCTGGAGAGACTGCTTCTGGAACGTGGCCATACAACCCAGAAAACTCACAGCAACCCAGTGATTCTGGTCATGAAAGCCTTCAACAACACATTAAATCCTTCTTCTCTTTCCTTCTCCCTCTATTGTTTGGATAGAGGTTTTCCTTTTTGATCCTCAGAGCGCATCACCCACCGTTGCCTTTCTGCAAGAGTTGCCCAGTTTCCAGTCAATGCGGAGGAGGAAACCCTCAATCAGAAGCTCACAGGATTATTACAGTTTAGTGCGGGTCACTTCTGGAGAGACCAACAACTTGTTGGATGGGGTCGGACCAAGCCCCACACGCCCACTTCGAGAATATGCCTTAACGATTGCAGAGAAACGGCGTTTAAGGTTTGACCCAATTTTTTTCTATGTATTTTTTTCCTGTAAGTGTTCTGGAATCCATTTTTGATTTAAAATGACTTTTGGGAATATATGAGGGTGTGTCAAAAAGTTTTGCCTCCTGTGTCATAAAAACATTATAAATGAACATAGAACAGCAGAAGTTGCTCCAGATCCTAGCCTAGTTTGAGTCTCCTTGTTAAAAACATTATCCAATAGCATCGTCCAGTCATTCAGTTTTTTCCTCTTTGTCTGTTATATTGTATCTGCAAATGCCTGCTCAAAAAGCCAAGTTTTGACTTTTTTTCAGAATGTTAAAAGGAAAGGGGCCAATCTAATATCCCTAGGGAGGGCGTTCCATAACCAAGGGGCCACCACTGAGAAGGCCCTGTCTCTCATTCCCGCCAAACGTACTTGTGACGAAGGCGGGACCGAGGGCAGGGCCTCCCCAGACGATCTTAAAGTCCTGGAAGGTTCATAAGGGCAGATGTGTTCAGACAGGTAAGTTGGGCCAGAACCATTAAGGGCTTTATAGGCTAAAGCCAGCACTTTGAATTGTGCCCGGTAGCAGACTGGCAGCCAGTGGAGCTGGCGCAGCATGGGAATTGTGTGCTCCCTGAGCGCAGCTCCTGTTAGCAATCTGGCTGCCGTTCGTTGGACCATTTGAAGCTTCCGGACAGTCTTCAAAGCCAGCCCCACGTAGAAAGGGTTGCAGTAGTCTATACAGGATGTAACCAGAGGGCGTTCCATAGCTATAGCCAGATGTGCTCCCGCAAAGACAAAGTTTTTGTAGTCTAATAAACTTTCCCCATGTTTTTATGACAGAACCCTTTAGGGAATGACACTTATTACACTTTGTAACACGATTTTTGTTCCTGGGTGATAAAGAACAAAAATCGTTGTTCCTGGGTCACCCAGGAACAAAAGTCGTGTAACAAAGTGTAATAATTGTCATGGCTTTCAAGCGTGTATTCCTACTAAAAAAGGGTTTGTGTATAATAAAAGGTCAGATCTGCGTAAATCTCTGCCAAATTCCACATTTCTCCTAAAACCAGGAGCAAAACAAGCCTCCGAAGGTGTGAAACAGGCATGGCCACAGTTGCAGGCCAAAGAGGATCTTACTGAACCCTCCAAAAAGTAACCGACCTTTCCGGGACTCAAAAACCTGATGCTCTTCTCATATTTTATTTCCTATTTTCAGAGATATCCAGGAAGCCAACAGGAAATACCTGTCAGGTTGGAATCAGTGGAGGCAGTCAAGCAAAAAGTCCCTGAAAAGAATTGTAGAGGATACCAAGGAACTGTCCTCCTATTTGGAGCTTTGGAGGCACGATATCCACAGCATTGAAGGTACCGTCATGCTTTTTCAAAGTTATTTATTTCTAATATCTTTATTTTTCCCAGCAGGTAAGAGGCTGAGTTTAAATATACAAATATTTAAACAGAATTAAATACAAACAGCACTTTAAAAAAATCACAGTTAAAATCCATCAAAACATATTCAAAGTTAGTAACCCGCCTAGAGCCACAAGGAGAGGCGGGTAAGAAATCAAATTATTATTATTAACTGCTATCGGTCTTAACACTACAGCTGCTCCAGTTTTGCACAGTTGTATTTTCTACCTTGAATTCTGCTATCTTCTACTTTTAGCTTATCTTTCTATCTTTAAACACCTAAAAGAAAATTCCCCAAAAGTCTTACCTCCCCCCCCCACCCGTTCTCTCTCTGTCCCTAAACCACAACCTAAACCAGCCAGCAGAGTTTTAATTATCATTTAAATAAAAGTCAAGAGGCGTAAAATGGTTTTTGCACAACATTCAAAGTATGATAGGCTTTGTTCCAATCAGACTACGCGCAAAACATCCCAAAGGCAGGGAGCTACAGATGAATTTGTATTTATTTTAAGCAATGTCTACTCTATTAAGACTGCTTGCTTTAGGAAAGTGTATGTGTTGTGTTGCACATCTAACAATCAATGCATTGTGTCTTCAAAGGCTTTCATGGCCAGAATCATTAGGTTGCTGTGAGTTTTCCGGGCTGTATGGCCAAAGTGTTCCAGAAGCATTCTCTCCTGACGTTTTGCTTACATTTATGGCAGGCATCCTTAGAGGTTGCGAGGTCTGTTGCAAACTAAGAAAATGAGGTTTATATATCTGTGGAATGTCCAGGGTGGGAGAAAGAACTCTTGTTTGTTGGAAGCGTGAATGTTTTAATTGGCCACCTTGATTATTTATTTATTTATTTACATCACTTATATCCCGCCCATATCAGCCCGCAGGTGACTCAGGGCGGTCTACATATCGGCACAATTCGATGCCATCAATACAATACAAAAGCAAAAACAATTAAGTGCATTTAGACAAAAAAAGACAATAACAATTTAAAAAGAGCTATATCCTCTCATTCCAATCCTCATCCATTTCATCGTCTTGGCCGTTCCTGGGTCATTCTCCATCTCAAGCTTGACTATTCCAGGGTTCCGAATGCCTGCTCGAAGAGCCAGGTTTTCACTCTCTTACGAAAGGTCAGGAGGGAGGGGGCTGATATAATATCCCTAGGCAGGGAGTTCCACAGCCGAGGGGCCACCACAGAGAAGGCCCTGTCTCGCGTCCCCGCCAAGCGTGCTTGCGAAGCAGACGGGATCGAGAGCAGGGCCTCCTCAGATGATCTTAACTTCCTGGAGGGTTCGTAGGAAGAGATGCGTTCGGATAGGTAGGCTGGGCCAGAACCGTTTAAGGCTTTGTAGGCTAAAGCCAGCACTTTGAATTGGGCCCGGTAGCAAACTGGCAGCCAGTGGAGCTGGCGCAGCAGAGGAGTTGTGTGCATTGAATGGTCTTGCAGCTTCAAAGCCTGGCTGTTTCCTGTCTGGGGGATTGCTTTGTTGGGAGATGTTAGCTGGCCCTGATTGTTTCCTGCCTGGAATTCTCCTGTTTTCCGAGTGTTGCTCTTTATTTACTGTCTTGATTTTAGAGTTTTTAAAATATTGGTAGCCAGATTGTGTTCATTTTCATGGTTTCCTCCTTTCCACTCTGGACATTATTCCACAGATAAACCACTGGTGTCTCTTTGGTGATTATTGCTAGAATAATAATCGGGGCCAGCTAATGACCTCCTAAGAAAGGTTTCCCTCAGGCAGGAAGCAGCCAAGTCTTGAAGCTGCAAGACTATTTAATGCTAATCAAGGTGATTGATTGCAACATTCACACTTGCCTCAAACAGACAAGAGGTCTTTCTCCCACCCTGGACACTCCCCAGATTTATAAATCCCACTTGCCTAGTTTCCAACAGACCTCACAACCTCTGAGGTGCCTGCCATAGATGTGGCCGAAAAGTCAGGAGAGAATGCTTCTGGAACATGGTCAGACAGCCCGGAAAACTCACAGCAACCCAATCAATTCATTCATTTCTAAATACCTCATTTCTTTTGGTAGGGAAATTTGGCACTGGGATCCAGTCTTATTTCTCCTTCCTTCGGTTCCTTGTGATCCTGAACTTGGTGATCTTTCTCCTTGTGTTCAGCTTTATCACTCTTCCGAGTGCTGTTTTCCAACATGGAATTGTCAATGGCAGCTACGTTAAAGTCTCCCCACAGGAAGCAGGTAGGCGCTTACTTCCTGCAGTGCGATTAGATATTATTATTTTTTTGCAGAAATGCAGATGTGTTTCATTCTTACCATTCTAATGATTTTTAAAAAATCAAAATCAAATCTTGTTACTTATAGACACACATTGCACGATTTATGAAGTCACTGGCACCAAGGGACTCATTTACTTCTACAATTATATTATAGATCTCCTGTCTGGCACAGTAAGTAATGGAATATACTCTCTTTTTTAGTTCAAGAAACATATGTAGAATAAGAAAAGAGGTTTCATTATTTCCCCCAAGAGTTTTCTCTTTCTACCTTTAAAGAAAAGTCCTGCCTTCTTAGTAGAATTTTTGTCTCATGAGCTTGACAAGGGTTGGCTTGACGTGCCTCCTTCCTCTTGACACGCTCCTCCCTTTCACCCTCCATTCGTGCCTCTTCGAATTCCACAGTACTGTTGGTTACAACTCACCTCCAGTTTCAACGCTCAAGGGCCAGATTACCAGTTCTCTCTTGGTGTCTATGCCACCATTTTTAAGGTTAGGTTTACGCCCATCTTTCAGTCTCTCTTCCTGTCCATCAACATTCTGTTTTCTGTTCTTGATTTGGAAGTTTCGTAACTACTTTGGGAGATGGTGGTCTTTGGACATTTGGACAATGTGGCATTCAGTCCAGCGAAAGTTGATGGTGGAGGATCATGGCTTCAGTGCTGGTGGTCTTTGCCTCCTTCCAGAACGATGAAAGTTGTCCACCTGTCTTCTTCCCAATAGATTTGCAGGATTTTTCAGAGGTTTATGCTGATGGAATCATTCCAGGAGTTGAGTGTGACATTTGTAGACAGTCCACGTTTCATAGGCTTATAAGAGCCGCCGCAAACTAGCGTCTTGGGAGAGCAAACTGTGCCAGCATGGCCGATGACGTCGAAGACTCCAACTCTTTCTCCACATTCGCGTGGTTTTCCCTTTGCTAGGGCAGCGATGCGAGCGTACTCTCGCTGTTGACAGAATTCAACAGCGAGAGTACGCTCGCATCGCTGCCCTAGCAAAGGGAAAACCACGCAGGCGCGGAGAAAGGGGCGGAGTCTTCGACGTCATTGGCCGTGCTGGCACAGTTTGCTCTCCCAAGACGCTAGTTTGCGGCGGCTCTAACAGAGTTGGGAGGACAACGGCTTTATAGAAAAGCATCTTAGTCTCCCTACGAATGTCCTGATTCTTAAACTCTCTGCTTCATTTGGGAAAACGCTGCACTCGCAGAGCTCAGATGTTGTATTTCAGTGTCCATGTTGACTTTTGTGGAAAGGTGGCTGCCAAGGTTGTGGAAATGGTCAACAATTTCTAATGTTATACCATTAAGCTGTATTTCTGGCATTGCAAAGGAATTGGCTGGTGACTGCTGGAAGAGCACTTTGGTTTTCTTGATGTTCAGTGAGAGGCCAAGCTTTTTGTATGCTTCTACAAAGGTGTTTAGAGTGGCTTGTGGGTCTTCTGAATGAGCACAGACCACATTATCATCAGCAAATTGGAATTCTATAACATATGATGTTGTGACCTTGGTTTCGGCTTCCAATCTGCTGAGGTTAAACAGCTTGCCATATGTCCAATAGATAGATAGATGATTTCTGCACCGGTGGATAGCTTCCCCTCCACACGGTGCAGTATCATAGGTGTCAAACAGTGATGTGTTATTGCCCCAAACTTATTCTCCATCTCCATCGCTATGATACTGTACCTTGTTCCCTATTGTATATTTGTCTAAATATTTGTGCTCACCTTTTGCAGGGTTTTCTTGAGATGACCAGCCTTTTCTATGGTTATTACACAGTCGATGCAATACATTTGGGCCGCCTGACATACCAAGTGCCGCTTGCTTATTTGCTCACCACGATGACCTACCTTTCATTGAGCTTCCTGTGGATTGTCAAGAGGTAAAGTGCACCTGAAGTGTCAGCTGTAATGACACATCATTGGCTTTTATGCTGTTTTTATTACACCTGCAGCTGAAATAATACATTTGAACTGGGAATAATCAAAAGTGTTTTTGACGATGTCTAAAAAAGGCTTTATATGTTTTTGCAAATGAGTAGATAAAAAAGACTAATAACAACAAAACCAAAGCTATAATGATATTTTTATTGCTGGCCTTTAAAAGCCACTAGCTATCCTTATGTTGAGTTGAGGATCAGAGGATTTAACCTGCATTTTAACTCTGAGTATCTTGTATTTTAATAGTGTTTTATCTCTTGGTTTTAACAATGTTGTTCCCTGCCTCGAGCCACAAGGAGAGGCGGGTAATACATGTGTTGTTGTTGTTGTTGTTGTTGTTATAGCATGTAGTAATAATAGTAAGTGCAGCATCTTGTAGGTGCATAATGCTCTGTAGGAGCTAAATTGTGATTCATGGCTTAAGTGATTTAGTAAAAACAAATTTCTTACAGTTATAGAGCCTTGTGTTACTACTCAAGTAATTTTATGTCCTATTTTCAAAAAAAGAGAGGGGGAAATGCTTAAACAGCTTTTGGACAGAGATGATTTGATTATTATGTTCATCCCACGCTCCTTTGTGTTAGTAAAAATCAAAAGAACTATTTCTGAAAACATGGTTGTAACAACAACAATTTTATTTCTTACCCACCTTGCTTTGTGGCTTGAGTTGGGACACAATATAATTAAAAGCACATTATCATAAAACATTATGTAAAGTACATATATTAAATGAATATGAAACACATATAGAAAAGTACACAGAACGAAGATTAAAATACAATAAAGAACGAACAAAACCTTGACTATAAGTATGTATGCTGGATTTCTGTGAGTTTTCTGGCTGTACGGCCATGAAGAATTCTCACCTGCTGTTTCACCCATTTCAATGACAGACATTTGCAGGATATTTCAGAGGTTTACACTGATGGAATCATTCCAGGAGTTGAGTGTGACATCTGTAGACAGTCCATGTTTCATGGGCTTATAACAGGGTTGGGAGGACAGTGGCTTTATAGATAAGCATCTTGGTCTCCCTATGAATGCTTGGGGGAATCCTTTGTTGGGATCTGTTAGCTGGCCCTGATTGTTTCCTGTCTGGAATTCCCCCGTCTTTTGAGTGTTGCTTTTTATTTACTGTCCTGATTTTAGAGGTTTTTTAAAAATACTGGTAGCCAGAATTTGTTCATTTTCATAATTTCCTCCTTTCTGTTGAAATTGTCCACGTGCTTGTGGATTTCAGTGGCTTCTCTGTGTAGTCTGATGTGGTTGTTAGCATGTCAAGCATTTCTGTGTTCTCAAATAATATGCTGTGTGCATCAGGAGAGAATGCTTCACAGCAACCCATTGATTCCAGCCATGGAAGCTTTCAACAACAGAATGTATTGTCTTTCAATATTTGGACAAAAATGAAAAAGTTAATTGCGTTTCTAGTCCACTGGTTCATTGCTCAAATCATGGGGCTCTTTTTCTTAGAGCCGTCGAAGGGTTTAAACAAAGCCTGGTGTGCAGCGATGACCGGTTTCAGAGCTACTGCAACAAAATATTTGCTGGCTGGGATTTCTGTATTACGGATGTCAATGCTGCACGGCTGAAACACTGCAGCTTACATTATGAACTGAAAGTGAGTATGTGCATTGAGCTCTCCTACCTATTAGCAGGCTAATAATGCATGCACTGAAATAAACCATTTTTTTCCTGTCAGGAGTGACATGAGAAACTGCAAGTCGCTTCTGGTATGAGAGAATTGGCTGTCTGCAAGGACGTTGCCCAGGGCACAATTGGGTGTTTTGATGTTTTACCATGCTTGTGGGAGGCTTCTCTCGTGTCCCCGCATGGGGAGCTGGAGCTGATAGAGGAGCACATCCGTGTTCTCCCCGGATTTGAATCTGCGACCTGTCAGTCTTCAGTCCTGCCGGCACAAGGGTTTAACCCAGGGGTCCTCAAACTAAGGCCCGAGGGCCGGAAATGGCCCTCCAAGGTCATTTACCCGGCCCTCACTCAGGGTCAACCTAAGTCTGAAACGACTTGAAAGCACACAACAACAACAACAACAACAATCCTATCTCATCAGCCAAAAGCAGGCCCACACTTTCCATTGAAATACTAATACATTTATATTTGTTACAGTTGTTCTTCATTTTAATTATTGTATTGTTTTTAAGTGTTTTTTGCACTACAAATCAGATATGTGCAGTGTGCCATAGGGATTCATTCATGCTTTTTCCAAATTATAATCCGGCCCTCCAACAGACCTGGCCCTCTGTTTAAAAAGTTTGAAGACCCCTGGTTTAACCCATTGCGCCACCGGGGGCTCCAGTGAAATAAACATGACAGTACCAAACAACCACAAATGTTCTTATGGGAGAAAAACTGAACTAGTGGTAAGGCAAACTTCCAGCAAAACAGTTAGTTTCAACCACAAGAGTCCTTTTTATGGGGATACGGACTAACTTTGTTTTATCTTTGAATATTTCCGCTTACAGACTGACTTGGAGGAAGAGAGGTTGAGGCAGAGAGTAGCGGAAAGAACTGCCAAAGAGAAGATACGCATCTATTGCTTGAGGATATTCTTAAATGCTGTAGTCCTTGCTGTTTTGTCAGCTTGTTTTTACTCTATCTATAGAGCAACTGTCTACTCGCAGGAAATTATTTCCAGTGTAAGTGACAGGCAAACATTGTTTATTGTGTTTAGATCTTATCTTGAGGCTGAGGTGCTGAAAGCAGTGTATGTAGTTTATTCCCACCACTGCCAACTTTTAATCTTACAATGAGCTTGAAAAATTAATTGTGCGTTCCTTACTTTGAAATATGTTGTTCTACTCCAGAAACTTTGTTTTTATGACTGCCACAAACGAGGTTGAGACTAAATGATGAGAGATTCATTGGAAAACTAGCAAACTGTGCTGCAAGATGATATCCCTCCCACAAAGACAAAGTTTTTTGTAATTACGTAAACTTTCCCCATGTTTTTATGATAGAACCAATTAGGAAATTACCTTTATAAACCAGGAACAGAAAAAGTGTTACATAGTGTAATAGATTCTGTAGGCAGTAGGTTAAACACATGTCTTTGTGTACTACACAAACCCCGTAATCACCTGTGGAATCGTTTTACAACCAATCAGAGACAAGCTGAATGTGCCTACCTCCTATACACAGGACAACAAAACTCGATTTGAAGATAACCTCCTTGTGCAGTACCTTCCTTCGATGGTGATCACAATGGCCAACTTCATTGCCCCCCTGATATTTTCAATGATCATCAAACTGGAGGATTATTCGCCAGGCTTTGAAATCCGGTTGACTCTGATGAGGTAGGAATGAAGACTCGTATTTCCATTCATGTGTTGATTCCTGATGCAATATCAAAGGAATCCTTTCCCATATGAGGTTGACACTCTGGTACTTTAGTTTGAATTGGTGGCAGCTAGTTTTAACTACTGATGGTTTTGCATTTTAAATTGTGTTATTTTATTTTATGTGTCAATAGTGGTTGTTTTATAATTTTTATGCGATACTGATTTATACTCATTATTGTTTATGTTATATTATTATTTCATGCATTTCTACCCCACCCTACTCCCCCTGAAGGGGGACTCAGGGTAGCCTCACACAAGCATCATATGATGCTATCAGCATATAAACAATTAAAAATTACATTTAAAACATTAACAGTAATTAGAAACACGTTATACAATTCATTAAACAATAAATCAAACATGCCAATTAAAACCAAATCCAAGTCAGGGTAAATCCAATTTCGCAGATATCCTAAGTTTTCTTTCCAATTGCCACTGTCCACTAATCCAATGCCTGGTCCCAAATCCAAGTCTTCAATTGTCTTCTAAAGGACAGGACGGAGGTGGCCAACCTGATGTCTTTAGGGAGAGAGTTCCACAGATGGGGGGCCACTGCCAAGAAGGCCCTTTCTCTCGTCACCACCAGCCGCATTTGCGAAAGTGATGGGATCGAGAGCAGGGCCTCTCCTGACAATCTTAAGCTTCATGATGGTTTGTAGCAGGAGATACGTTAGGTCAGGTAATCTGGGCCAGAACCGTTTAAGGCTTTAAAGAACCATTTAGGGCTTTATATACTGCACCGTAGCGTCTTGTAAGCCACCCTGAGTCCCTTTTGAGAGATGATAGCAGGATATAAATAAAGTTTTTAATTATTATTATGCCCTATTTCCATGTACCTGTTCTTTCTTTTCTAACCACCTTGCATCCTATAGTAGCTTGTGGCTTCATGTGTCATGTATTCCTCACTCCCATTTTGAACATATTTGTGTAGTCCACTTCTTTTCTGCATACCTTTTGACAAGAATGCATCAAATTATACACTTGCCCTCTTCCTTCTCCTCTTCTCCTTCCTTTACTACTTCTTCTCTTCCTCCTCTTTTCCTTCTTCCTCCTCTTCTTCCTTTTTCTCTTCTTCTTCTTTCTCCATCCTGTTCTTCTCCTTCCTCATCTCCTTCCCCTTTTTCTTCCTCCTCCTCTTCTTCCTCCTTCTTTTCTCCTCCTCCTTTTCTTCTTCTTTCTCCATCCTGCTCTTCTCCTTCCTCTTCTCCTTCTTTCTCCCCCTCTTCTTCCCGCTCTTCTCCTCCCCCTTCCCTTTATCTTTATCTCTGTCCCATCTTTTTCTCTGTAGGGATTCCAGGCCATTATCAATCACTTTCACAGATGCTCCTTCCTCTTCTGCTACCAGAGTCTTGTATTTTAGCAGTTCTCATGTACAAGTCAGAGTATTGAGAAGGGTTTCTCCTCCCTTGTTTCCCCTTTGAAGGTGCGTCTTTGTACGGTTGGCCAATATTGGCGTTCTCTTGGCCTCACTCTGGATCCGGATCAAGTCCTGTGCCGATGAAAAGTGTGAGGCCTGTGGATACAACTACCAGGTCTATCCTGTAAGTAATGTCAAGTATCATCATTCCTAGACTAAGTTTCTGGAAAAATTGGCTGTAGGAGCAAAGGCACACTGCAGGAACTCATTGGGAGCTAAATGAGATGTTTTGTAACTAGATCAGAACACTTGGAAAGCTTCTTTTAAAAAGTAATTCTAACCACAAACTCTTTATACTATAAACTGTCACTGTTTCTGAAAACTGATCAATGGTATTGTATAGCATCTTTTTATTAATCATTCATTAGATGTGGGTAACAAGTGTTAGGTAATTTCAAAAAGGAAAAAAAGTTTTTAAAAGTAAAGAGCAGCAATAACTGTCATTTTAGCAGATCAGAAGCTTCTTGAGCAGAGCAGGAGAGCGAATGAGCTTAAGCAATCCAGGAGCAGAGTCAAGCTTTAAAGGTTTTCAGAAGACTGTTGAAAGACCTACATTATAGGAAAGTTGGGACCTATCTATCTATCGACATGTTGTCTCTCTCTATACTCATTGGAGAAGAATACAGTGGAGACTTAGAAGCTTACTATGTGGCTCGAAACTGAATAAAGAAGCATGTCTCTGAGAAGTAGCAAGCCTAACAGACAGAAAATTGCAGGAGAGAAAGCGAGAGAGGCAGACAAAGAGAAAGGGATTTCCCTGCCTGTCTAGTTCCTTGATCCGGAATATAAACATGTGCAGGATATGGTTGAGTTCCAACAACAAGGAACTGAAAAAATAGAGTAAAATGCCCTTTAATGAAAAACTTACAGTCAGTGAAAAGCCTGATTTGTTTCAGTAATCCCACTCATTATATCACTGTTGATGTGCAACTTTTTTATGTCTTCATTACCAAAAAGATAACTTTGGTAAGGCACATATTACATGTGACTCAAGGTGTCCATGTTCTGGTTGGGTGCTCTGCGGTTGGGCCTCACCCTCCCATTGGAGAATGGGGCAGTTGTCTCAGGGAGGCAGCATTGGCCATCTTTCAGCTGTTTGGCCTAGACTCCATAGCCTTGCTCCTTTTTCTGACTTTTTCTGGCCTGCCTAATCAGGTCTGATGCTTCCAGTGCATTGAAAGACATTCCCATCATGGCCAGTGTCAAAATAAGGTTGGATTGTCAATGTGTCAACCTTTGTACCATGAAATGCAGAGGATGTGGCATTTTTCTTCTTTGCATCATGCAATATAATATCAATGACTGGCGTCTCCTCACTGTGGCTCTTGTGAACTTGGTTTTGGAGAATGAAGTAAGAAGCAGTATCAGTTTGGTGATTAGCTAATTTCCTTTCCCCTGATTTATTCTGATAATCCTCTTCCCTTTTCTTTCAGTGCTGGGAGTCTCGTGTTGGCCAGGAGATGTATAAGCTTATGATCTTTGACTTTATCATCATTTTTGCTGTTACAGTCTTCATAGACTTTCCTAGAAAGTGAGTGTGAAACTCAATGGGGAGGGATCTCTTTCCCATAGAATAAAACCCAAATATAAGAGTCACACACCCCCTTTTTATTAAAAAAAATTGGGTGTGCGACTATTATGTGAAGAAAAAAACCCTGCCTTTGATTCTCCAGTTTCTGGGTTTTTTTAAAAAAATCAAATGGCTTATCTATGAAAGTGGAAGAGGAGAAAGAATTATCCAGCCTCAGACAAACAGCTCAGATTCTTTTTGCTTGGCTTTTCAAAACTTCAGAGCCATTTGGGGCTGATTTTCCTTTCTTTCCTCCTTTCTTCAAAGGCAAGGCAGTTTAAAAACTATAAAATGAAGGTCTTTGAAGATCCACTCTTGTCTCCTCCCTTCTCCCTCCAGAACAAGGCAAATTAAAAAGCCTGAAAAGAGATTTCTGGGACTTGGATCTTCCCTCCTTCTTTTTGCAAATAACTCAATTCCAAGTTTTGTAAACTGCTTTGCTTGCAGAAGGAGAGAAGAAAGAAGAGTGGAGCTTCAGAGTCCTCCACTTAATATTTTTAAACTCTCTTCCCTTTGGAGGCAGAAGGAGGGAAAGAAGGAAGGGAAAATCAGCCCCAATTTCTTTTCTTTTTGGGGGGGGGGTGTGACTATTATGTGAGGAAAACAAAAACATTTTCAATATTGGCACCTAAAATGGGAGTGTGACTATTATGTGATGAAATTTGGTAGTTTTCTGTTAGCTTAATCAAAATACATGTTTCTTGTGACATCTGTAAAAATTTAGTTGGTGAAGATATATTAGCTATCAATTGTGTTTTCAGATCTTGGCTTATTGTAAAATTGTGTTTAGAATGTAACATTTCAGATTTAGTTTAGAAACAAAACCATTGAAAATTGTCCTTCCATACCCAGAACATGTGATTTAAATGAGTCTCAAGCTAAGCTCTAGTGTTGCTCCTCTATAGCAGTCTCAAGTAAAGGATGGATGTACTCCAGACGGGAAGAGAAGAGATGTAGTTGGATAGTGAGATATAAACTAAACTTGGAGGAGATATCCACTCATCTTAAAGAAGCCTACTGTCTCTTCCTACTGTTCTCTTGGTGACCATCAGGGCCGTAGCCAGAAAAAAATTTCAGGGAGGGTTGACAATTTCAGGGGGGGGGTTTGAAAATTTCGGGGGGGGGTTGAAACTTGCCTCCTAGCTCACGCTGAAGCAAAGAGCACAGCAGGGGGCAGAGCAGCCTTCAATAGCCTGCAGCTCTGCCCCTGTCAACCACCTCCACCAAGTCTGGCCTCCTTAATGAGAGCATTCAACCCCCCCCCCCCAACTTGGTTGCTTCACTACATCGGCTATTGCTGCAAGTAATGACAGTGTGAATAAATTGTCAATATTTGCTTGAGATAGTGCTTGCAGTTCTGGAGGGACTCTTAATTTTTTTGCATCTCATAGACTTAGCATGGGGATTTGGTTAACCAGTTAAAATTCATGAGTAAACTGGTTTTTTAAAAAAAATCTGAAACATTTCGGGGGGGGGGGTTGAATCCCTAAAACTACCCCCTCGCTACAGGCCTGGTGACCATGTATTAGATTAATTCATTATCTGGTGATATTATGGTCCAATAGCTTGTCTCATCTGGAGTATATCACATTGAAAAAAACTATAAATGCACTTCAAAAGTTTCTTTGATGCTAAGACGTTGTTTCTCTTAGTGGCTTGAAATAAGCTGTCGTTGTTCTAATTGTTATTAGATTGATGGTTACCCATTGTTCGGTGAAGGCCTTCCGGTGGTGTGGGCTGCAGGAGTTTGCCATTCCAGACAATGTTTTGGAAATAGTTTACGGACAAACAATTTGTTGGATTGGAACTTTCTACTGTCCACTCCTGCCTGCGATCGCAACAATAAAATATTTCATTGTATTTTACATTAAAAAGGTGAGTGGTCTTGTTTGTTTGTTTGTTTTGGGTTTTGCCCTTTCACCCACTTCCTCCCCACAAACATAACATCTGGAAGGTAAAATGTAAGGTCCAAGTGTTGTTGACCTCCAGGTCCCATTTGCTCTTACCAGCTGGACGTTACCTTAAAGGTTAGGTTGGGGTTGTATTTGCCAACCCATGGATACAAGACGGCCATAGATTACATGATATCTGTAGTAGTGGTGCTTTTTGACAGGCCCATGCTTATAAGACAAATGAAGGCTTTGTCCCTGGCTTTTGTGTGCCTCAGAGCCCAAACATTAACCTTACAGCACCTAAACAGAGGCACTTTCCTATCTCCAGGTCAGTCTGATGCATACCTGTAAGCCTTCAACGCGTCCTTTCAGGGCATCCAGTTCCAACTTCTTCTTCTTGGTGGTGCTCTTGATTGGCCTCATCTTAGCTTTCATTCCAGTGGGACTTAGCATGACACGGTAAGTCAGTCATCATAGTTTCAAATATTAATCCATGTAGGTAAACTTGCTATTACCGTGAAACAAAATGGACTTTGTACTTCATGCTAGATGTTGCCAAAAATCTTGAAATGTCCATTGACATGTTATGAGGGTGAATAGAATATAAGATGGAGGGACCATGTTCTTCCAGGCGTTGGATCACAGCTCCTTTTTTCCCCATAAGCTTGGTCAGTAGTCCTTCAAACAGTCCTTCAAAAGGGGTTGTGGGAGCCATAGCCCAATATATTTAAAGAGCACTTTGCTTACTGTGTCCAGTCAACCATAAAGGAGGTAGATAACTTCCACTTCTTGTTCTCTTTCTCCTCCACCCCTCCCTCCAACGGAACAGCATTCCCTCCTCAAAGGCATGTGGACCTTTTGTGACATTTGAGCATTCGTGGGACATTCTGCATCACACTGTCAGTCAATTCCCAGATGTATTGAGAGCAGTCCTGGATGGCCTCGCATCCGAAGCCTTTGCAGTGCCTTTCTTTATATTGATCTGGTGAGTGCAGCCAGGACTGACCTTGGTCTTTTCTTTACGTTGGCAAATTGTAGATGACCATAAACTGACAGCCTGCACCCAAAGTCTCCTATATGAGGCAGCCATCTCATTTGGCACTATCATAGGACCAGCCCCATTTGTTGTTCTCATGGGCGACGGCTCTAGCTGTTTAATGCTGTTTATCTGTGTTTCCTTAATGCCACAACTGGTGGGTAGTTTCAATATGAGGTTCTTCTGTGTGATGTTTGATAAGTTTTTACATTGTTGAACATTTTTTATGTGTGTATCCTCCAGCATAACATACAGTGTTTTTGCATTTTAAGTTTCTACATGAAACATGGTAAGATCATTTGTTGCTGGGAGCATTTTTCTGTTAATTTCCTTGTTCCAGCCCTGAAAATATTCCAGGGTCAAGCCATTTCCCAAATTCTGTTTGGTGCTCTTTATCTGGAGATGGGATGATTCTCAGATGACCAAATGGGAGACCCTTCAGAATATATTTCTCAAGAAACGTTTCATACTTCAATGTATTGTTGAAGGCTTTGATGGCCGGAATCACTGGGTTGTTGTAGGTTTTTTTCAGGCTATGTGGCCATGTTCTAGACGCATTCTCTCCTGACGTTTCGCCTGCATCTATGGCAAGCATCCTCAAAGGTAATGAGGTCTGTTGGAACTAGGAAAAAGGGGTTTATATATCTGTGGAATGACCAAGGGTGGGACAAAGGACTCTTGTCTGCTGGAGCTAGGTGTGAATGTTTCAACTGACCACTTGATTAGCATTTAATGGCTTGGAAGTGCCTGGGGAATCTTCTGTTGAGAGGTGATTGTTTCCTCTCTGTTGTTTTGCTGTTGTAATTTTAGAGGTTTTTTTAATACTGGTAGCCAGATTTTGTTCATTTTCATGGTTTCCTCCTTTCTGTTGAAATTGTCCACATGCTTGTGGATTTCAATGGCTTCTCTGTGTAGTCTGACATGGTGGTTGTTAGAGTGGTCCAGCATTTCTGTGTTCTCAAATAATATGCTGTGTCCAGGTTGGTTCATCAGGCGCTCTGCTATGGCTGACTTCTCTGGTTGAAGTAGTCTGCAGTGCCTTTCATGTTCCTTGATTCGTGTTTGGGCAATGCTGCGTTTGGTGGTCCCTATGTAGACTTGTCCACAGCTGCATGGTATATGGTAGACTCCTGCAGAGGTGAGAGGATCCCTCTTGTCCTTTGCTGAACGTAGCATTTTTTGGATTTTCTTGGTGGGTCTGTAGATAGTTTGTATGTTGTGTTTCCTCATCAGCTTCCCTATGTGGTTCCCTTGATGTATGGCAAAAACACTTTTCCTCTGGGTGGATCTTTGTCTTTACACTCGTGGCTTGTTCTCGGTCTTGCAGCTCTTCTGATGTCTGAGGTGGAGTATCCATTGGCCTGTAAAGCCCAGTTTAGGTGGTTCAGTTCATCTTGGAGGAGGTGGGGTTCGCAGATTCTTTTTGCACGGTCTTCCAAGGCTTTAATGGTGCTTCTTTTTTGACTTGGGTGATGGTTGGAGTTTTTATGTAGATATCTATCTGTTTGTGTGGGTTTTCTGTAAACGGTGTGACCCAATTGTTGATCTGGTTTGCGGATGACTAGGACATCTAGAAAAGGCAGTCTTCCTTCATTTTCTTTTTCCATGTGAATTGGATGTTTGGGTGGATGCTGTTAAGATAGTCCAGAAACCTGTTTAGTTCTTCTCCATGGCTCCAAATGGTGAAAGTGTCATCCACATATCTGAACCATATAGTGGGCTTTTTGTTGCTGTTTCCAGGGCTTGTTTTTCAAAGTGTTCCATGTAGAAATTAGCTATGACCGGGCTGAGAGGGCTCCCCATAGCTACTCCATCTTTCTGTTCGTAGAATTCATTGTCCCATTGAAAGATGGTGGTGGGGGTTGAAACAGTGAAACAGAGCTGTGATGTCTTCTGGGAACTTCTGGTTGATTAGTGTAATGGTGTCTGCTACCGGGACCATGGTAAATAGAGACACCACATCGAAGCTGATCAGTTTGTTGTTGGTATTTAGCTTGAGATTGCTGATTTTTTTCTATGAAGTGGGCTGAGTCCTTGATGTAGTGTGTAGTGAGCCCAATATGGCTTTGTAACTGTGCAGCAAGAAACATCACGAGAGAATGCCTCTAGAACATGGCCATATAGCCTGAAAAACCTACAACAACCCAGTTTCATACTTCCACCTTAATACTTCCACTTCCTGCAGCTCTGGTTTGAGCAGAGAGGTGTTTGCTGTTTGTTAGACTTCGTATTAATTTAATTTTATTTAAATGCCATAGAATTCTAAGATTCTTCAGTTTGGATTCCCCTCCAAGTCCTGTTTTGAACAACTACCAAACTGCAAAGTTTTGAGTTCACCATATCAAAAGTTGTCTGTCGTGTCTGACTCCACTTGACTTTTATTCCTTGAACTCAAAAGAGAAGCTTCATCATCAATACATTGTAAGCCATGGTGCACAACTGGATATACAAGCTATCAACCATTTCCCCCCCCCCCCCCCAAATTGGGGCAGACTATAAACCTAACCAGCAATTAGCAGTTGACCTGGCAAAACTCACTTTTCCAAAACGTAGCCAAGTTTTGACAGCCCTTTGCCTTCAAAGCCAGCACGCAGCCATGTTCAATGGCCGATCTCATGCCATATTGGGGAACCAAGAACACAAACTATCATTAGGGGACAAAATATGGAATGAACTTTTAGTCTGTAAATGGTATTCTTGTGTTTAGGACCTCTGCTTTTCTATTAAATCTGATGAATCCATCTCCTCGTGTATTTGTTTTCTAGATCGCGTTTTATCCATCTGTGTTAATGTGCACTGTTGTATTCTTCCCCCATTTATTCGACAGCCTTGTTCTGTTCTATCTCATGGCCTTGGCTGGTGCACATAAACGAGTTGTTAATCAGCTGAGGGAACAATTAGTGATGGTAAGTTCTAATCCAGTCCTGTGATTTCTTTATTCTTTCCCTACTCCATTGAAATGCACCGATAGCCTTAAAATTATGAAGACGGAATGGATTAACATTTTAAAGACCCTTTTCTCTCTCCCCAGTTGGTTACTTTTTTGCATCATTTCTATGGTGCTCTATTTTGGTTAAGCTTTCTTTTGGATCTGATTGCTCACTGTAGCATTTGGAGGCTGTAGAAAGAGCTGTGCCATAGAAATGCTGTCATGAATTTTGGCCTTTAATAAAAATTATGGGACTGACGAATGGCTGCAGGGAAGTCTTATAAAACAGCTGATTGGATCTCTAGCAAAATTTAGACAAATTACTTTTTTCAAAATCTCTGTTGTGAATGCTGAAGTCCTAGACCGAATTTTGTTTGTTTGTCCCAACTACAACTGGACTAATTGAATACATGGGATACATGTAAGTTACATGAGGTGAATGTAAGACTGTGGCATAGGCAGAATTCATTGATGTTCCACTGATTCAATAAGTCTCCTCTAGTTTGGATTAACAGAGGGATTTAGATTCTCATAAATAACATTTCCAAGCTGTGTTCCTTGCATGAAAGTGTTTTCTACCCTGTAAAAGCGCTTCTGGTTGTCAGCCACAACTAAAAAAACGGCAACAAATGCTAACATTTATATTCATATTTATAGTCATTTATATTATAATAATAATTAGTATTATTACTTGATCCTGAAGCAATCTTTTTAGTCACCTTGACACTGACATTGCATTGTGCAGATTGAAGGACCTGAACTTGTATTTATGATATCTTTCCTTCTCATTGCCTTAGGAGAGCCGGGACAAACTCTTCTTGATCAGGAAGTTGACTGAAGCCCAGAGACTTGGCTGAGAAAAAATTCATAACCTTTTATTTTCCTAGCGATTTTTGGAACGGCTACTTAAAGGACCACAGAAAAGTTGAACCTTGAGCAAATAGAGATTCATTGTTGCCGAGGAAGGGTTTTTGTGTACCTTCGGCAACATGGGCCTTTCTCCTTGTTTCAATGTGCTGAGAACAGTGGGTTCTTTCTTATTTTCTGGCTTTTTACAGCCTTGCTGTGTTCTCTTCTATGCATAAGTGAGTGGTTGATTGACTCAGGGAACTCTTACGCTGAGCTGTTATACTTGTCATCAAGTATATGTCTTCCTTTTTTATAAGCTTCCCCCTTGTAAAGAATGACGAACCTCTTAATGACTCTGCCCAAAAAAAACTACTGTATTGGGGGCCTGTGTGACAATATCTTTCACTCTATACATTTTAAGCCTCTATTTTTCAGGGGCCTTATTTTTGTATTATGTATTGCTTTCTAGAGTTGGAAAGTTGCTTGTAGAAACCTTTGCCACAGTATTATAGTTGTTTTAATCCAAATGGTAGCAGAAGCAGGGCTGCAAAGTTAAGTCATATGGTGACGTGGGTCCAGAAGAACATCTATTTCTATGTTTCTCAGTCTCCTCTAGCACATGTGTGCAACTCGCTATGTGTAGTGGAAGGTCATGCATGGGGGAGGGGCAGATACATTGCCTGTCAATAACTCAAGGTTGTGTGGATAAATGTGTCTGAAGATTTGTTGGGGAGCAAACTTTGCATATATATATATATATATCTCCAATTTTGAACAAGAAGCATCAGTTGCTGTTGCTGTTAGCTCTGGTTTTATGGTGGGTAACTTACATGTAAATGAAAGAGCTTTATGTTGAATGGATATAAACGCATTCCAATTATATGCTTACAGTGGTTGAATCCAGACTTTTGCTCATGCTTTTTATAGTCAGTGAAATCAAGGGGATTTAACATGCCTTCTTGATTTTAGCGTACAGTATGTGCTCTCACTTAGTCTTGATCCAACCCTTGGTCTTATTTAAATTCTTTTAGGAGAGTTATAATAATGGCACTGATGGCAACTCAAAAGTTGTATTGAAAGAGGACAATGGGCATTGATATAGACCAAAGCTTTGAATCAGAAGCCTCCCACAGCAATGACTTTCAAGCCTCTACTCACTGACATAAACTGAAGCAAAATGCTGTTGGCTCATACTATTTAGAAAGCTTAAATCACTGCGTAGAAGGAAACAATCGGACAAGGAAGGAGAAATGGGTTTCCTGCATAATGTGAACACAATGCTTTTACTATATAAGATGTATTACTTTACTCAGTGTTGCTCAAAATTGTCTGGAAACTCAAGTCATTTCACTTGCAGAAGCAAAGTTCAATGAGAACAAGCCAACCAAATTCCTCGTTAGTCTTAATTACTAAGAAACTAACTTTTGTACATTATTAGATTCCTGTGTTTTCATACTCTGGATAAGCATTAAATGATGATATATCCTTAACACTTTGTTCTAAATGGACCCATTCTCCTGTGATTTAATGAAACACAGAAATAACTGTATTTTTTCTAGGCCAATTACTGCATTCTGTATTTAACTTGAATTTTGAAGAGAACTTGAAATGTCCTGTGGAAGATATATATATATATAGAGAGAGAGAGAAAGAATACGTAGTTTAAAGAACACTGTTACTTTCAGAGTCTGACATTTTTTCCTAGCAATTTTGAGAAACATAAACGTTTTAAAGGGTGTAAAATATGTGTTAATAAATATGCTACAGAAGTTTTAATGAAACGAGTTTATTTGTATTTATTTTGGGCTGCGTTCTAAAGCACTACCAAATCATAGCAACTAGATACAACATGAAACATTGAAATGGTTCCATGCTTCAAAATAAAAATAAAATAAAATATGTGTGTCTTTATAAAAAAGCGACAGATTCAAAACAAAGGTAAATATTTTTGGCTGATTTCGAGGGATGGAAGATAAGCTGGACTTCTAATGTACTTTTCCATTTTGTGTGTTTCTTCCCCCCCCCCCTCCCCTCCGAGTCAGAGATGACAAGATTTAATGTCAAGGGGAAACCTTTACCTTTACTATTGAATCAATAGAAGTTATAAAATGCTGACTTACTAAGCTGATATTCTCATTGATACTAACAATTAGATTTCAACCCAAAGCAAATGTGTAAATGTGACATAGATTGCTTATCAAGATTGCCTATCAATAAATACCTGAGGTGAATGTAAGACTGTGGCATATGCAGAATTCATTGATGTTTTAAAAAAGATAAAAACCCATTTTTGAATTCTTACTGCTTGTTAGTACTCAATGGTAAGTATGCGAACACTGCATTAAATTATGCAATGAGAAGGCCAAATTAATAGTTGTCATGCCATTAAGTTGGGAGGAAAAAACCCAACAGATTATATGCGGTACTATTTTAAGCTCTCTGTAGGTTTCATATTTTGGAAACAACTAACATGATTTGGGGAAATGAGAAAAATAAACTATTTTACTGGTACAGATACCCTCAGTTCCATGATCTGTGTTTGTTCTCTCTTCATCAGTCATCCTGTAAAATAATAAAATGCTCCATGTCACAATGCCCAGGTTTCCAAGGGAGAAAAGGGTTGGCAAGGGCTCTATCTCATAGTACTGAAGTGAAATAAACAAGGCACAGAGATGCTGTCCTAAAAAAAGCACTTTGCTTCCTGCTTTGTTAGAGGATGCCATCAGCTGTATGCAATACATCTGACTTGCAAGAACACCACATTTAAAAAGCTAACGCATTGCTCAAAAGTAGAATCAAGCCAAAGGGCTTACCTCTGCTTTCCACTGTCTTGAAAAACGATGTCTTGCCACGTAGTGTTGCTTTCTGGCATGGCTTTCAGAACTCTTTCAGGAAGCATTTCCATGCTAGACTCCGTGTTGTCAGCGTTTTTTTCGGCAGTTCCATTCTAAAGGGAAAATAATGTATAGGTACACTGTCCAAATCTATTTCATGGGGGAAAATAAATTAAACCTCCTGGGCTGTCATAGCAGCTATGAGATACCTGCTGGACAACCACTTGGTAGTTTATGAAGAACAGGTTAAGCAAAGCTATGCTGGCTTCCTAATACCCCTGGGTGCAGGTTTGTTTTATTATAACAGGATGGAGCCGGATCTGTGTGTCTGATTCAAAAGGAAGCTCCCTCCCCCCCCCCCCCCCCCCCCCCACTGCTGCCTTGCTTTCTTGCACTGAAAGTAATGGTTGGCAAGATGTTGCTTCTCTTTCTTGCCCACAATGCTTTATCAAGGCCAGAGGATAAAGACAGTCAAGAAAGTAAGTCCTAATGGTCAATAGGTGTAGGATCAGAAACCTCTGGGGGGTTCTAGTGTATGGGCCTCGGCAGACTTGTGGGCTGTGGGAAGAGCCCAGAGGTAAATGAAATCTGGGAGGCCTTCAGAGTGTCTATGCTAATAAATCATAATTGGGAAACCATTTTAAAAGAAGATACTGGTCCCATGAGGCAGCTTTCAATTTTCCTTAAAAACCTAGGGTGAGTTGGTATCAGACCCAAAAAGTATGAATAATTAAATAAGAACTATTTACCCTTTGTTTGTTTAGCCCAGTTAATGATGCAGCACTTGAGCTACTAGATGCAGATGACATAGTAAATAATTCTTCCGAATTGTCACTTTCCAGTGTCTCTGAAATAGCTGGGGCTAAATCCTGCTGTTGAAGGGATTCATTGACACGGTCAATCAATAGCTCTGAACAACTGCAACCATCTGCCATCTTGGATGGGATATACATCATTTGCTGATTATGGGACTCTCCTAAAGCAATATTCTGCATCTTTGTGCAACTGACAGGATCTTGAACTACGCTGCTATTTCCTAATTCGTTCAGAGAGGATGGTGGATTCAAAAGAGAATGTGTGCTTTGATTTCCATCAGTTTCATTTGTAGTCACAGGCCTGTTCATCAACATATCAGCTGGCGGATTTCGGTCCATTTCCTGGCAAAGTTCATGCAGAAAAGATGAGCCATGCTTTAACACGGCAACGGGGCCATTGTTGTGATCCTCTTGAACACATGCTGCATATCTAGTGGGCTTATCTACCATGGCAGGTGCCAGAGTGGCATCTTCCGGGACTCTAAGGTGATGGAGGCTACAACCATCCAAGGAATTATATTCCTGAGTAAGAACGCCAGAGATGCAGGCCTTATCGTATTCAGAGTTTTGTTCAGAGACTGAATCACAGGTATTTTGCTCTCTTTTTTGAGGACAGCTCTTTTCAGAATTTCCCAGGAGCACACTTTTTGGATTCCCCTGATCACCTATGCAAACACCGTGTCCAGGAAATACAACGCACCTAGAAACTGCTGTAGAATTGTCGTGTTCATCCATCTTTTTTCCAGTCATTGCAAGTTGGGTACTTATCACTGCAGTTGTTGGCTCTGCAGAGTATTTGGTGTTATCATTTTTTGATAGTTTGAACTTTTGAATATTTTGGGAGCGGAGAACTGGCCTTGGATCCAAACACTTGCTAGCTTGATTGGTTTTGCTTGAAGCTTTTTCAGCAGGTCTGTGAGAGAAGTCTTCTGTTTCCATTTTCAATGACTTATTGAAACATCCACCAGAACTGGGTGGGTTTCCCTGAGAAAGTGAAAAGGTCTTTTCTTGAGCATTCAGTCTCCTCTTATCTTTGTGTTCAGAAATAACTGACAAAGTGCCAGAGACAGAGATTTTGCTTTTAAGTATGTCTTGACAATGCCCTTTGTTTTCTCCCATTTGCAAACCTGAAACGGAGGAACCTCTATTCAGTGAGTTTCTAGCAGTAGGTTTAGGAAGAGGTTGAGACAAAAATCTCTTTGATTTAGCAGAGTTGCTGGAGATGTTTGGAAGTTCAACCGTCCTCTTTACATCTTCCCTATTTTTTCTTGCTTGCTTAGCTCTGAAATGCACCAAAAGATGAAAGTTTTAAAACATCTCATCACTTTACCTTTCTTTAGAGAAGCGCTCCCTAAAAAGCCAGGAAGAAAACTAAAATTCAGATTACTTTCACACTGCAAGAGATACAGATAGTAGTTGCATCCCCAGTTACACAGCAATGATTTATTCACTTACACCAGAACAAAAATATTCTACTGGTATGCCAGCAGACAAACTGCTGGCTTTGGAGGAAACAATGAAGGCAGACAAATACACATTGATGGTAACAGAGGTTGGATAGGGCCTATTTTATATAGGAAATTCCAAATTCTAAACTGTGTTATAACACTGGGAAAAGTGGAGAGAAGCCCCATGTATATGGACAGACCTGAGCCAATCAGCAGTCATGCATGGACCAATATGCTGACCTTAGAAGGGACATCTAGCCTGTCCCCATTTCCCCTCCAGCAACCCAACAAGAAAAGCTATTACAGTGATTAAATGACATTTACATAGAATCATAGTTGGAAAAGGCCACATGGGCCATTTTCCCCATTCCACCATGCAAGAAATGTACAATCAAAGCATGCCTAACAGATGGCCATCCAGCCTCTGCTTAGAAGCCTCCAAAGAAGGAGTCTCCACTAGACTCCGAGGTAGAGTTCCTACTTACAGTCAGGAAGTTCTTCCTAATGTTCAGGTGGAATCTCCTTTCCTGTCATTTGAACCCATGTCTCTATTGAATCATATTATTATTATTATTATTATTATTATTATTATTATTATTAAATCTTATTTATATCCCACCACCATCTCCCCTCAGGGACTCAACGCGGCTAACATGAGGTCAAGCCCAGCAAATACAGTAAACAAATAAGACACATACAACAAATAATAATTAAAATTAAAATTAAGATCACAATAAAATTAAAATAAAGTACAGCAATAAAACAATAACATACAAACAATAAAAGGAAATTAACGCAATGGGTTATAACACCAGGTATGAAATAAAATAAGATTAGGGATAAGGAGTTAATCAGAATGGGCTGGGTCAAGATGCAAAGAAAAAAACGGGACACAGGACAAGATAGGATAACATAAGAGAATTAGCTGGTAGCATGCAAAGGGGGGAGGGGCAAACTATGGGGTTTAATTACTCACTAGGAATAAGGTGAGGTGTATCAAGAGGACGAGTATATGCTGGGACAGCCATGGTATGGGGTTATTGTTCATTCATCAAAAGCAAGGCAGAACAGCCAGGTACTCAAGCTTTTCCTAAAAGCTGACAAGGTGGGGGCCAGCCTAATCCTAGTCTCCGGGGCAGCAGAAAAGAAGCCTTCTCCCCTTTCCATTATGACATTTCAAATACATTTTTTTTAAAAAATGCAAATGGCCTAATGTTGTCAAGTGTGCATACCTCCTTGCTCCATGCTTATAGAAAAGTGTAGAAGAAAAGTGTTGCCTGCTGCTATTATCCAAAGTCTGGATGCTTTTGACATCTCTTCTCTTTAGAAATGAGGCCTCTTCCTGAGTTGTTCCGAGTTTTTCTGAAGGGATCTCAGAAATCTCCAGGGAGAAAAACAACAGCAATTCTTGCTCAAGGTATCTTCTTTCCAAATAAATCATTACATAATTGCCCTCACAAACTCTGAATAAACACACTGCAGAACTAAAGCAACAGCAGTGAAAATACTGTTCTTATATTTGTTGGAATGCAAATTATGGGGTTCTCCAGATTTCTTGGTGGGCAGAGTTAAAACACTATTTATTATTAATATTATTTACTTCATTTCTTGATCCTGGAAGGGACTCAAGGTGGCTTACAAATCCAGCAAAAATTTAATGCCGCACAGATAAACAATAAACACATCTCATCAAAATATAAAACAATCTAAACATATAAGCAATTAAATTACATATCAATCAATCACTCACCATCATGCATTGAACATTTGTATCAATGGCCTGACCAGTGGTAAAACATGATGGTAACTGTGATTATAAGGCACATGGGTTACCAAGAATTCAAAATCTTTGACTTTCACATGTAATGATTGCAGTTCCCCTAATGTTTTACTAAACTCTTTACTGTAGCCCCAAATACCCGGAGGACCAAACATTCCTCAAATTGACCCATTTCACTGTCTTTAACAGACTTTTTCATTAAGAGTCAAAGTGAAAGAAGTGATGTAAACTAATTTGTAACATGTGATACTGTCATCTAGCCCCCACAGATATACATACTGACACAATTCTGTGTCGTAGGCAGAACAACTGTATAGCAGATGCTTCAACCAGGAGCACTCTCTGTACAATGCAGGAGGAACATAAAGGAACAGTAAATGTTAATTCTGTAAAAGAGTGGGACTCGATACGTACTGTAGCCACAATAAGCTTGGAAGCCGATGAAACAAGCCTCTCAACTTCTTCCGGTGACATAAATGGGGTAGCAGTTCTATGTAGACTTTTTTGAGAGGGTCTGTGAAGCCCTTTTTGCCTAATGAAAGATGAAATGGCATTTCATTAATTCTAATAAAAGTTACAGCAAGAGATTCTTTTTCCAGAGGGAAGAGTTGATTTCTGTATATAGAAGGCATATAATCATATGCATGCATTCTTTCAGGGTCCCCTTAGTGATGACAAGGCCTCATACAATTAGCCACTGTTTGGCCCAATGAATTACCTCATCCAGAGTACTCCAAATTTGTTCAGTGTACAACATTTCAGTTGAATGAATGCCAACACTACCCACACTATATTACTCTTAGGCAGAATAAAGCAGTTTGATGCAATTGCTTTACTCTGCCAAACAGTGTGGCTAGCTCTCAACAGAATAAGGTATTGCCTAACTATACATTTGAGAGCATCATCATCATCATCATCATCATCATCATCATTATTTATACGCAGCTTTATCTTTCTCGAAGGGGACTTAAAAACATAAATGGGGTAATAGTTCTATGTAGACTTTTTTGAGAGGGTCTGTGAAGCCCTTTTTGCCTAATGAAAGATGAAATGGCATCAGCATACAATTTAAAGTATACAAATATACAAACATTAACACAGGATCAAATATAAATAGTATTAATAAATTCTCAGTTAAAAACCATTAAAATATATTCAAAGTTTTAAACACACACACACACATATATCTACCAACCCCTCTAATTACAAAAAAAAATCATGTTAAGGGTTTTAATTGTTTATTTTGATGTTCTTAATATTTAATTCTACGTAAATGTTTGTATATTTTGGGTTTTAAATTGCATTGCATTGGTTTTACTGTGTGCTGCTTTAAATCTCTTTTTTAGTGAAAAAAGTGGGAAAATAAAAAGAAATAAAAATAGTACACAAATATTTTTCAAAAAGATCTGATAACATTCATGGATGTATATTACTGATTCTGCACATGAAAGCATTCAACAATATATATTATTGTTTCCTATCTCACTAGCAAACAAGTAGGGGAAGAATGGTTTCCATCAATTACATTGGTTCAGAAAAAATGATTCTCAAGTCGCTCCTGACACACACACACACAAAGCAATATGTCATACCATCGCACATTCTTTACATTTTCTTCATTCTTTCTCTCTGGTACGTAACTCTACAGAAAAAAAAGACAGGCCACATCATTAGCATAACCTGGTTTGCTGTTAAGTGTGACTTAAAACAACTCTTAGACAAACTTATGTGGGGTAATTTTGTTTTTTTCTTGCAGTATTTGCTCAGAGTGAATTGACCTTGCTTTCCTCTAGTACAGTTGTATGAAATCCTGTTTTAAGCATTACCCGTGCCATCTTTTTAATACGATTTCCCAAATCCTTTTGCTTTTCTGGAGCTTTCTGGAGTTTTCTGTGACAGTCTTCAGCAGTGCCCATAAAGGCACGAAGGGATGGTTCCAATTTAATGTTGGAAAAATCGTGCTCCTTCTGGTCAGTCAAGCAAGCAGGCTTCTACAAGAAAATTTTTAAAAATTAGCTCACAGTCTGAGGGAAGTGTATAGCAAATCATCAGCAGAGTTGAGAAGACTTGGTCTTAAAACCACAAAAAATGGAGGAGCTATGACAATTACAATATGTAACAAAATTTGAAAAAAAAAATGTTCTGTTCCTGGTTGGAAAGTGTGATTTTTCATTTAAGTTCTTACTTTGAAGGTAGTTGCTCTACTCCAGAAACATACTTTTTGTGGCTGAATTGGTTGAGACTCTGATGAGATATTCAATGAAAAACTAGAGTAAAATGTGCTGCAGGATGATGTCCCTCCCGCAAAAAAAAGGTTAAGCAATTAAATCAACCCTTTCTATGCTCTTATGGCAGAACCAATTAGGAAATAACATGTGTAATCCAGGAACAAAAATTGTGTGACATAATGTAACTATACAGTGTATAAGCCACATAGCAGCTAGAAAATGCTTACCCCATACAAGCCTTCGGTGTCATAATGGCTGATTCCGCATGAAGTGAAGGAATCTTCTTTTCTCTGCACATCAATGTAATATTTTCTAGGGGGAATATTTTCAAAAGCATGTGTTCTCATTAATAATTCTGCTACTGTGTTAACAATTTTAGAGGAAAAAGAAAAGCCAGGTTGCCATGCTGCTCTCAAGTCAGGTTTTAAGGATGAATTTTAAAATGTCCTGCATCTACTGTATTTCTAATTTTGCTCTATTTTAATATGCATATTTATGTTATTGAATGTTTTCATTATATATTTCAACTATGTTGTGCTCCACCTTGAGCAGTGCGGAGAGGCAGGAAAGAAATGAAATGTGTTGTTGTTGTTGTTGTTGTTATGATTATTATTATTATTATACAACCCTTGAGTCCAATTTTAGTAAGATACTAGCAGTTTCACTCAGGTGTTGCTGGGAGTGCTGCCCGCTTGTTTTCTCCCTTCTCCAGCTCTGAGAGGGCTTACCTCACAAGGTCTCCATGGCAACACTCAGACACAACACAATGTTTCCATGGCAACCTGGGCCTCCTGTTGGCTCTTCCCTTCCCCTCAGACACATGCCATCTTTCCGAGTCACCTAGCAACAGCCAATACAGTGACCACTTCACCAAGCAACAATGCAGTGGCATCTGAGGGCTACTTCACCCAACAACAAAGCAGTGACATCAGAGGGCCACTTCACCCAGCAACAATGCAAAGACACCTATGGACTACTTCACCCAGAAACAGCCAATTTGGTGGCATCTGAGAGACACTTCCCCTAGCAACAATGCAGTGGCACCAGAGGGCCACTTCAGCCAGCAACAGCCAATCTGAGGCATGAGGCCAACTTCCCCTAACAATAAAGCAGTGACATCAGAGGGCCACTTCCCCTAGCAACAATGCAGTGACACCTGAGGGCCACTTCACTCAGCAACAGCCAATCCGGTGGCATGAGGCTAAGGCTTCCCTTAGCAACAGTGCAGAGGGCCACTTCCCCTAGCAACAGCCAATATGGTGACATCTGAGGGCCACTTCTCCTAGCAACAATGCGGTGGCACCAGGGGGCCACTTCACTCAGCAACAGGCAATCCGGTGGCATGAGGCCAACTTCCCTTAGCAACAGTGCAGAGGGCCACTTCCCCTGGCAACAATGCAGTGACACCAGAGGGTGGCATGAGGCCAACTTCCCCTAGCAACAGTGCACTTCACCCAGCAACAATGTAGGGGCACCTGAGGGTTACTTCACCCAGCAACAGCCAATCTGGTGGTGTGAAGCCAACTTCCCCTAGCAATAATGCAGTGACATCAGAGGGCCACTTCATCTAGCAACAACCAGTCCAGTGACAACATGGAGGGCCCCTTCCTCTAGCCACAGTCTTTGTGATACAAACACACCCACATACTTTGACTTATATAATAATAATAATAATAATAATAATAATAATAATAATAATAATAATAATGTAGTGGTGTAAATGCCCCAAATCTTCCTCCAAGTACATCAATGAGCGCACGAATCCCTCCTGAGCTGCAGTCTCTGTGTATGACTAAGGCGGCCTTTTCCTAGGACAGGCCTGGGCCCACTTCGGCCTTCTCGCCAGGAGTTTGGGATTCCAGCTCTCACAATGCCGAACAACCTGGAGGGATGGCCGAAGTGGGCCCAGGCCTGTGCTTCGTGCTCTTGCGCCTCCTCCCTCTTTCTTTCGGGTCTTACAGGCGGTGGGCGACCGCGCGAGCCAGGCCCCCTTCCCACGACGCCATGGCCTCCAAGTGCCACCGTTGTTTTGGCGTCGCCAGGGCAACCGCCACCCTCGAGATTGACTACCCTTTTCCACCAATGGGGAAACGAGGCTCCGGAGACGCGTGACGGAAGCGGCCAATAAAAACCCAGCAAAGGAGAGAGCGGCGGAGCCCCTCCCTGTCATGAAATCCCACTTCAGGGATTGACTCCCCTTTCCACCAATGAAGAAATGAGCCTCCAGAGGGCGGTAACCTAATCGGACAATAGAAACCCACCGGAGGAGACAGAGGCGGGGCTTCTTCGTGGAAGAGAATCCCAACACTTTCGGGAAAGGTTTCGTCATCACTGTGCGCCGGAAGGGAAAGAGAAGTATGGTCGCTGCTGCTGTTTCTTCTCTTCGGCTGTGTGGTACGGAGGGGCCTTGTTGTTGTTGTTGCTGCTGCTGCTGCAGAGAAGTTTCTCAGGATTCCTCCCTGCCAGGATTCTCTCATTTTTAATACCTTTTGAGCTTTGGGCTGTGACACTCTCTCAGCCACATCCCAGCATTAATTTTAACTATTATTATTGCTGTCTTGAAAGCTGCTCTTCAACTAAAGGAACCTTCCCGAATGAATTATCTGGTTTTGAGTTCGCTCATTGCTTTTCATCCCCGAGTAGAGACAATAATCCTAAACCATGAAACTTTCAGCTTGTTTTGTAAATAATAGTAACGGCGTTGACATGCATGCATCACGTCAGGCATCACCTTCGAAGAGGCATTTCCCTTCCCATCAGAGCAGGGCTTCTTCAGCCGCAGAGCCCTTTGTGAAAGAAAAGTTTCTCGTGGAACCCCCCAAAAAGTTTATATAAGATATTATATATTACATTATACATATATGTATATGTATATATATATATAAGGAAAACGTAAAGGTTTTCCCCTGACATTAAGTCCAGTTGTGTCCAACTCTGGGGGTTGGTGCTCATCTCTATTTCTAAGACGAAGAGCCGGTGTTGTCTGTAGACACCTCTAAGGTCATGTGGCCGGCATGACTGTATAGAGCGCCGTTACCTTCCCACCAGAGCGGTATCTATTGATCTACTCACATTTGCATGTTTTTGAACTGCTAGGTTGGCAGGAGCTGGGACTAACAACAGGAGCTCATGCTGCTCCCTGGATTTGAACCTGGGACCTGTCAGTCAGCAAGTTCTGCAGCTCAGTGGTTTAATCAACCGTCAGTGGGGGCTCCACATATATATACTACACACACACATATCTATCAGTTTTTATAACATAAACTTAACAGTATTTCAGTGGACGACCCCAGAGGCTACCCAGTCCAGTGGCCTTCTGCCAAGTAGGAAAAGCACAATCAAAGCACCCCCAACAGATGTCCACCAAGTCTTTGTAATAATAATTAATAATAATAATAATAACAGAAACCCCAAAGGCCATTGAGTCCAACCCTGATCTGCCATGCAGGAAAAACACAATTAAAGCACCCTCAACAGAAGGCATCCAGCCTTTGTAATAATAATAATAATAGCAACAACCTCGGGTTATCCATTCCAATCCCGTTCTCCCATACAGGAAAAACACAATCAAAGCATCCCCTGAGCGGTGGGAGGGAAATAGGGTTATGGAAAGAAAGAAAGCAGTGGGGGAAGGAGGATCTGGGAAGCAAGAAAGAGACTTGGCAGTGAGGGAAGCAGGGGAAAGTGTCTGTGCTCTGGGAGGATACTGCTGCCGCCACTGCTTCTGTTCTCAGGAGAAGGAAAGAGGAGGCGGCGAGAAGCAGCATGGTGCCACAGAGCCCCTTACAATCACCTGTGGAACCCCAAAGGCTCTGTGGAGCACAGTTTGAGAAACCATGCATCAGAGAATGCTTCTTTTCTGAACAAGGTTTCCATTTGCGTCACTGAAGGTTATATCTTTAAAGTTATATGTTTAGTCATCATTGACATTTGAAAGACCCACCGCCGTATGAAAAGGAAACGACGCCTTTGTAATTGATCAGAATTCTTTTTATTAACCACTTCTCTGATCATAACCATTCCTTGTATACTGTTTTCAAAAGTAGATGGTAGAATCTGGTGATCAAAATTTGTGAACTTTAGGCTTTATTAAAAGCAGCCCAAAGGACAGAATTCTTGGTCTACTTCTCTATGTTAAACAAAATACTGTGTTTTAACAGGTGCGAGAAGAAGATGGGCTTTACAGTCCATATATTCATCTGTCAGATTTTGTGGAACTGGAATGAACTTGGATAATGTCAATAAGGCAGTTCTTGATCGCATAATCAGAGTGGATCATGCAGGCGAATATGGAGCAAACCGCATTTATGCTGGGCAAATGGCAATACTTGGTAGAACATCAGTAGGACCAGTTATCCAGGTACTTATCTGCATGTTTCATACATATCAGAGTGAGCTTTTTAGTAAAAGTGGAGCATGTATAAAATAACTATGAAGTATTTTCTAGTCATAATCGTGCCTTGCTGTTTAAAGTGTGAGTGCTGGTTCTCTGATCCAAAGCAAAATCACAGAGCAGATCACACACTCAGAGGGCTTTTATTGTGTACTCCTTCATGCAGGGATTGGACTGGATGGCTCTTGTGGTCTCCTCCAACTCTCGGGTTCTATGAATTTGCATTGTTTATGCATCTAAAATGTTGGCTGTATTCAGAGGAAACACTCCCAAACCGTGATTTGAATGAGTGGGAACCAGTTTCCATGCTCCTCAGAGTGACTGTTCATGAACTGGTACCAGTCTGCAAGGCATTCACTAGCAGGTTTCCAGGAAAGAAAGAATCAGCTGTAGTCAATAGGAAAAAAATAATGCCCCAGTGTATGATTAGAGATTGCTGAAGGATGGAAGCATAAAAAAGTGTGTGTGCACACCTGTTTGTGATCATCCCAGATAATAATTTGCCAAGGTATGCATGTAAACATCGATGTGTTCCTGAAACTTAGGGCCCTTCCACACAGCCCTATATCCCAGAATATCAATGCAGAAAATCCCATATTATCTGAGTGTGGACTCAGATAACCCAGTTCAAAGCAGATATTGTGGGATTTTCTGCTTTGATATTCTGGGATATAGGGCTATGTGGAAGGGCCCTAAGTGTGATGGTTTGAAAGTTTGAAGGTATAGTGTCTCAATGAAGTAATGATAAAATAATGTTCAGATGTGTATCTTTGTATTTGTCTGTGGGTATGAGAAAGGCTGAGGGGTTTAAAAATCCTTTGTCACCATAATTATTGGAGAGTTTTTCGCCTAAGCGATTGTATATGTGATGCTGAATGCCATTTTTTAACTATATGTGTGTTGTTTTTAAACACAGCAAATGTGGAATCAGGAAAAGGAACATTTGAAAAAATTCAAGGAGTTAATGATCATGTACAGAGTCCGCCCAACTGTTCTGTTGCCCTTTTGGAACATTACAGGATTTGTGTTAGGTGAATTTCCCAAATTGTTTTGTTCATTTTTAACCCAAATCTATATTTGAGGCACATATTTGATTTTTGAAATGCACTTACAACAAACAGGAGCCGGAACTGCCTTACTTGGAAGAAAAAGTGCAATGGCTTGCACTGTGGCTGTGGAAGAGAGCATCTCCAATCATTATAACAACCAGATCAGGACGCTCATGGAAGAAGATCCAGAAAAGTACAGAGAATTGTTAGAGGTATCCTTTAACTATATAGTAGTTAAAGAAAAGTTACTTATTTTTTATTTCTGTTTCTTACTCCAAAGTCTTTAGGCCTTACGGGTGTTCTTACCTGTAAGATCTGTTTTCAAAAGGCTACAACGTAAAAGAGATTAGTGTAGGAATAATGAAAAAGATGTGTAGTTGCCAAAAACCCTGCTTAGATCTTGAAACCATGGGACCATGGCTTCCTTGATTATGTCTACCCACTTACAATGTCACCTTCCTCTATTCCTACTGTTTTCTAGTTGGCCAAGAATCATTGTCTTTTCTAAAAAGTCTTGTCTTTACACACTATTATTTATTTATTTATTTATTATATTTGTATACCACCCTTTTCAGCCCTTAGGTGACTCAGGACACTATGGCCAAAGTATGATCATGGGAAGTGTGGGCCAGTTTTTGGGTGATGAGATAGGATTGTTGTTGTTGTTGTGTGCTTTCAAGTCGTTTCAGATTTAGGTTGACCCTGAGCAAGAGCCGGGTAAATGACCTTGGAGGGCCATATGCGGCCCTCGGGCCTTAGTTTGAAGACCCCTGATGTAGAGTGTGCATTACTTATACCTTTTATTGTATAAACAAATATTCTTCTTTGTTTTTAAACCAGACAATAAAGAAATTTAGAGATGAAGAGTTGGAACATCATGACACTGGACTTGACCATGATGCAACACTGGTAAATATGCAACATGAACTTTACTAGTTAGGGATCAGGATATTTATTCGATGTTAATACCTACCATTATTGGGCAGTTGGTCCGCTGATGCCCCAGAAACCACTGTTTAAAAGTTGCTCACTATTTTAATTACCACTAATGCTTCCAGTGTAGTTTTACTCCAGCACATTATGGCAAATTGAAATGGTGTGCCTAGATCTCCCAAGTTCCGTTCCAATTCTCTAACCACTGTACCACACTGGCAAAGTGCATGGTTTGCAAAAGATGGTTAAAGGTTTGATCCTCAGCTCAAAGTTAACCATGAAGCATCATAGGCTATGTCATCCTACAATTTAAGTCAACATTTGTGTGGCTTCCTATGTTATGTATTTATCGTGTCAGAAGTGAATTGAAGGTACAGTTAAAATGTATTTAAAACACAAAGTTTACAAGCTTGGCATTATGCTAAATGTCCTTTGACCCAGTAGCTGGCCACTTGGAGTGCTTCTGGTGTTACTGTGAGAAGGTCCCCCATTGTGTATGTGGCAAGGCTCAGGTTGCATTGTAGTAGGTGTCTGTGGTTTGCTTTCCGCCACACTCGTATGTCATGGATTCCACATTGTAGCCTCATTTGGCTCTGCATCTCGTGGTGTCAGAGTGCAGTCTGTTCAGCACCTTCCAAGTCGATCAGTTTCCTGTGTGCCCGGGGGGAGACTCTCATTTGGTATCAGCCATGGTTCTGCCTCTTTTGGACTCTCACTTGCTGAAGTGTTCCTGTGAGTTCTTGTGACATGAGAGAAGCCTCCCCCCAGGATTGTAACACATCCAGGCATCCCCTGGGGAAACGTCTTCATAGACGGCTGATTCTCTCACACCAGAAGCAACTTGCAGCATGCTTCTTGTATTATGGATGATACGAAGACATTTCCCCAGTCCTGAGAATTTGGCAATATGCCTAGGGCTAGGAAGAGTTGCATTCTAACAATATCTGGAGAGCCACGTATTCCCACTTCTGTTCTTCATTAATCTTCACATTCCACCATTAGTTTTTTTCTGATATGACATTTTTTATTATTGAAGTTTGCTTCAAAGTAAAGTACAAAAATATACTAAACAACCTTCTATTTATTTTTCTTTCTTTTTTTGCTACAGGCTCCAGCATATTCTGTTCTGAAAAATACAATACAGATAGGATGTAAAGCTGCAATATTTTTATCAGAAAGAATATAGAAAACGTTTTGACAATACTAGAATAACAGGTGTAAATTAAGGATTTATCAGTATATTTCAATAATATAAAATAAAATTATACAATAATTATTCTGTCTTTCTGTTCTGTCCATCTAAATTTTGTTAAAGGTAAAGGTTTCCCCTTCACATTAAGTCCAGTCAAGTTCAACTCTGGGTGGTGGTGCTCGTCTCCATTTCTAAGGTGAAGAGCTGGCATTGTCCATAGACGTCTCTTAGCTAATGTGACCAGCATGACTGCATGGAGCACCATTACCTTCCCCACAGAAGCGGTACCTATTGATCTACTCTATTGATCTATTGAGTCCCCCTAGGGGTGAGAAAAGCGGTATATAAATACTGTAGATAAATAAATAAATATTCACATTTGCATTTTTTCAAACTTCTAGGTCGACAGAAGCTGGGGCTAATAATAGGAGCTCACTCCATCCCGTGGATTTAAACTGCCAACCTTATAGTCAGCAAATTCTGCAGCTCAACGGTTTAACCCACTGTGCCACCGCATCCCCTCATATTTTTATTACAGTACTAAAGTAGCCTTGATTGAAGGAATGCCATGCTAGTTAATATTATAAAAGACAATGCTTTCATAGCATCTCCTTTCTAATGTGTAAAATTGTTAATACCAATTAACTATCTTGTTGTTAATACAAATCAGATAGTTGATTGTGTTATTAATATCTATGTACGAAGTTTTGCAGATCAAATTGAATATATACTGTATATGCCCAAAACTGTAACCTCTGTTCCAGGCTAGAAAACATGGAAGTTTGAAAACGACTATTCTAAATGGTCTGGGGATTGCATCTCCAATCATCCTGAACACAGGATATACTTGCTAGGGCTGATGGGAGTAGCAGTGCAATGCAGTGCAATGCTTAAGTGGCTGAGGGGGGAAAGGAAGGGGCCTGAGGCTGTTGGGAATTGTGGGAGTTGAAGTCCAAAATACCTGGAGTGCTAAAGTTTGCCCATGCCTGCTCTATAGTGAAGCTTTCAGATCGTGAGGACTGCAAGCTACAATTTTGTTTGGTTTGTGGACTCAAATCTGTGTAACTCCTTTGATTGAAGGCAATCAATCAGGGATTTTAAAAAAAGTTTATAAAGAGCCTGGGAAGAAAACATACAAGAGGTAACAGATATCTTGGTTCACTAGGATGTAACTGATATGTAGGTGCCAGGTGACTAAAAGCTGGGCCAGGCATTTCAGGACCAGAGACAGCTCCAAAAGCAACCCTCCAGTGCAAAGCATCATTGGCCACTGGCAAGACTGGAGCCCCCAGTGGCGCAGTCGGTTAAACCCTTGTGCCGGCAGGACTGAAGACCGACAGGTTGCAGGTTCGAATCCAGGAGAGCGCAGATGAGCTCCCTCTATCAGCTCCAGCTCCTCGTGTGGGGACATGAGAGAAGCCTCCCACAAGGGTGGTAACACATCAAAACATCTGGGCGTCCCCTGGGCAACGTCCTTGCAGATGGTCAATTCTCTCACACCAGAAGCGACTTGCAGTTTCTCAAGCCACTTCTGGCACAAATAACAACAACAACAACAATAATAATGATGATGATGACTGGCAAGACTTGCCCATTTTGCTGCCAGAGGCAAAGAACAAGAAACAATCCCTCACTCCCCCATCTACAGAAGCATATGACAAGCTATTGCTCCCCTTTCAATATTAGTGACAAGATGCCTTCCACCACATCTGATGGCACCATAGTGGAGTGCTTTGTGAGTTATGCGCTGCATATAGTTCTGCTTTGCAACAAAAAGGAATTGTTATTAAGAGTGTTTGTGTGCTTCTCTTTCTCAAATATTTGACCTGATTTGGAGTAACATAGCTTTGTAGGATCTTAAGGAATGCTTGAATAAACTCTTACGGGAACACCATATCTGTCCTCATTTCTTAGGAGGCAATCTTGATATCTGTCTAGTTCAGAATTAAATTTACTACATCGTATTGTAAGGAGGGTTCAGGACAACGTTATTCTCCCAAACCCCCATTATCCCATTTTATCCTCACACAAGCTTTGGTTTAAAATGAAAGGTTACTTTGCACTGTCTCTGCAAACAATGGGGAAAAGACATGTACTTTGTACCACTATGTTCCATTAGCACCATGACAGGTGTTAGTATGTAGATATGGCATTTGTTTATCTGAAAAGTGTTTTGCTTGACTCTTCAGTCGGCTACAATTCCTTAAGGTTCCAGTCCAAACCAGTGCTTTGTAAGGTACAATGGGGACTGATGGATATTTTTTGGACCCAACTTTCCAGGAACCACACCATACTTACACCTGTTGACTGTAACTGTTTCGATTTCTCCCTGACTACCGCTGTCACCAGTAGCCCTTGCTGTTGATTTGTGAGTTAGCAACTGGGACTCTCCCAGGTATGTTTTGGCACAATTCTGTTTTGCTGCTAAGGAACGCCAGAGTCCTCAGAGAGGGCAGTGTGTACCTGGAATGTTTTATGTATACACAGAGCCCTGGAGATGAGTCAAGGAATTAGTTCCTTCAAGTAGGTGCTTGAAAAACAAACAGTTACTTTAAGTGTCCCATATTCCATGCCATTTTTATCATCCTTGTAGAATGAACGGGAATAATGGGTTCGAGGGAGGAGGATGGCGCCAGGAGCAACAATAACAACACAGATGGCTCAGGACCCTGTCGCACTACAATGTTGTCATGCTGTTATTCCACTTGGACAGCAATAGCTCCCAAAGTGACCCATCTAAGGTGTAATCAGGTGTCAAACAGAGATGTGTTATTGCCCCAACCTTATTTTCCATCTTCATTGCTATGATACTTCCATCTTGTTGATGGGAAGCTTCCCATTGAACAGATGGCAAGCTATTTAACCTCAGCAGACTGAAAGCCAAAACCAAGGTCACAACATCTGTTATAGAACTCCAATATGCTGATGACAACATCATCTGTGCGTATTCAGAAGAAGACCTACAAGCCACTCTAAACACCTTTGCAGAAGCATACGAGAAGCTCGGCCTCTCATTGAACATTGAGAAAACCAAAGTGCTATTCCAGCAGTCAGCAGCCAATCCCTCTCCAATGCCAGAAATACAGCTCAATGGTGTAACATTAGAAAATGTTGACAATTTCCGCTAACTTGGCAGCCACCTATCCACAAAAGTCAACATTGACACTGAAATACAACACCGCCTGAGCTCTGTGAGTGCAGCATTTTTCCAAATAAAGCAGAGTGTGTTTGAGGACCAGGACATCCYTAGGAAAACCAAGGTGCTTATTTATAAAGCTATTGTCCTCCCAACCCTGCTACACGCCTGAGAGACGTGGTCTATCTACAGACGTCACATGCAACTCCTAGAACAATTCCATCAGCGTTGCCTCCGAAAAATCCTACAAATCTCTTAGGAAGACAAGTGGACAAATGTCAGCGTGCTTGAAGAAGCAAAGACCACCAGCACTGAAGRGATGGTCCTCTGCCATCAAATCCACTTGACCAGCCACATTGTCTGGATGCCCGACCACAGTCTCCCAAAGTAGTTGCTCTATTCCGAACTCAAGAATGGAAAACAGAATGTTGGTGGGCAGAAAAAGAAATTTAAAGATGGGCTCAAAGCCAACCTTAAAAACTCTGGCATAGACACTGAGAACTGGGAAGCCCTGGCCCTTCAGCACTCCAGCTGGAGGTCAACTGTGACCAGCAGTGCTGTAGAATTTGAAAAGGCATGAATGGAGGGCAAAAGAGAAACGGGCCAAGAGGAAGGCATGTCAAGCCAACCCCGACCGAGACCGCCTTCCACCTGGAAACCAATGCCCTCACTGCGGGAGAAGATGCAATTCAAGAATAGGGCTCCACAGTCACCTATGGACCCACCGCCAGTACACCGATCTTGAAAGACAATCCTACTCGGACAACGAGGGATCGCCTAAGTAACTAAGTAAGGTCTGAAATAAGAAGTAATGATCCATTCGTTTTACAAACGGCTGCTCCTTATCCCACACCTCAGAAAACACACTTTTAAGTAAGCAACCCGTCGTTTAAGAATGCTAGATGGGGACTCGATATCTATTCACCCCATCTGACATCCATATCTAATAAAATAATGGCATCAGGCATATCACACAAGTGAGCGATGACTCCTCCCAACCCATCCAATGTTCCCCTACATACTGTCCTCTTTTTCTGGGGGTGAATGTTGTGCAGCCACTGCTGTCAGATGTGTGCGCTGAGCCTTTTCGGCAAAGCTGAATTAAGCAGGATGAAAAGATCACCCCCAAAACACACTCGAAAAGACATGTCACTGGCACAGAAGACGGGATGCTGAGAGGTCTACCCATCACATATAAAACTTTTCTGACACAAAGACTATTGAAGTGGATTGGTTACTGCTTTACTTGTGGCAGGTTCTTTGGCTGCGAGTGTCTGGCAACACGGGACTTTGTGTTGTGCAATTGAACCCGGGAGGCACCAGTCAACAAAGAGTGCCAAAGGCTGGGTCTAAGTTTGCATGGATTGGTTTGTTGCCATGCCTAGATCTTTACACTCCAGTCCTGCTGAGAACATTGTTGTGATGAGCAATAGCATTTCAAAATTTACCATTCTTCCCTCTACACTGTACAGTATCTTTGCTGAAATCAGGCATGTAGCCGGGGAGGGGGGGGCTCGGGGGGCTTCAGCCCCCTCCGAAATTCTCATGGTGGTTCGCGAAAAGGCCTTACTGGTGCATTATTTAAACTGTTATGTTTATTCATATCATGATCTGATCACCATACTCAATATATCCCATATGCATGGGGGTATTGGGGTAATGATACAAAAGGTTTGCTAGGCTAGACCCTCTTTCACTCAGACTCAGCCCCCCCCGAAACCCCCCCTGAAAAAAATTCAGCCCCCGAAACGAAATCCTGGCTACGGGCCTGGCTGAAATGTTTAGACTGACATGCTGTACTCTAAATGAGAATATGCCACTGATTTATTCACAAAGGTGACATATTTCTTCTCCAAGATATCTCAGTTCCAAACTCGGCTCTTATCACTCACCTTGCCCTTTGACCCCTTATATCCCTCCCTAAATTTGATGCCCAGGGCTCAAGGTGACCATAGCACTGCACTGGACAAGTCAGTGGCTGACCAGGCGGTTCGTTGTCGTAAAGTGCAATAGGTCTCCCTTGTCAATTATTAAAGGATGTTAACAGAGCAACTGAAATCTCTCGCTCTTGTGCCAACAGAAATGGTTCACTATAACAGTAAGTAACTCTGATGTGGAACAATAAATCAACAGAATGATCAAGATGTGTTCCTAAGATTATGGATCCAGGAACACCTTCAGCAGACGATGATGAATAGAAGGACAGAACATTTTGTCATCCCAGATGAGAAATGGGAATGAACAAGAATATAAGGGGGAAAACAGACTCTGGAGAAAGAAGGCGTCAGTCCTGCAAATCTTGCCTCCAAGAAGAAAACTTTGAAAAACAAGTTTCAAAGTATGGGTGAAGACATAAAAGAACTTTAAGTCACTTCTGGTGTGAGAGAATTGGCTGTCTGCAAGGACATTGCCCAAGGGACACCCAGATGTTTTACCATCCTTGTGGGAGGCTTCTCTCATGTCCCCACATGGGGAACAGGAGCTGACAGAAGGAGCTCATCCACGCTCTCCCCGAATTCGAACCTATGACCTGTTGGTCTTCACTCCTGCTGGCACAAGGGTTTAACACTAATGTGCCACTGGGGCCTCCTGGGGAGTGGGGTGAGCTCCCACTGTTAGCCCCAGCTTCTGCCAACCTAGCAGTTCGAAAACATGCAAATGTGAGTAGATCAATAGGTACCACTTCTGCGGGAAAGTAACGGCGCTCCATGCAGTCATGCTGGCCACATGGCCTTGGAGATGTTTATGGACAACGCTGGCTCTTTGGCTTAGAAATGGAGATGTACACCAACCCCCAGAGTCGGACATGGACAAATTAACTTTTTTTCTGAAAAAGATCTCGGGTACCCCGATAAAATTGACAAATTGGAAGCCTTTCGAAGATTATGAAAAAGACAAAAATCTATTTGGGACACCATAAGACAATGGAAAATGGTAAATAACGAACCCCTCCGTTTCCCACTCCATCTTTTATTCTGTATAATATTTTCAATTTTCTTTTTTTTAAATAAATTTTATTGAGTATTTTAAACACAAACACATGGAAAGAGGGAGAACAATTAAAAGGAGATAGAAAAGTAGGAAACATATCCACCACCAAGAAGAGAAGAAAAAAGCCAAAAAAAGCCAACAAACTAGAAAAAAGGAAAAAAGAAAAAAAGAGAATATATATATAAAAAAAATGAAAAAATGATGAAAATACAAAAAGGGTACAAAAAATACAAAAAAACCAAAAACAAAACCTAAAACTAAAATGACCTCCACTCAAATCCCAGGATCTTCTTCAGTTATTTCTTCATCTCATTTATATCTTCTTAGTCTATATTGTTTTTCTATTTTTTTTCATAGTCATAAAAAGGGTCCAATCTGTCCCTTTTATAGATTTCCTGGTAATTTTTTTTAACTAAAAAGTAAGTTCATCCATGTCTCTTATTTCTTTAAGCTTATCTAGCCATTCATCAATAATGGGAATTTGTTCTTTTTTCCAATGTCTTGCAAAGCTAATTCTAGCTGCTGTTGTAATATAAGTTAATAAGTTGTCTTCATTCTCTTCAAGTTGTAGTTCCAGGTCTGTGAAGACTAACAGATAATATTCTGGTTTCTTCTTAAACTTTCTCTTAAGAATTTTTTGTGTTTCCTCATGTATTAATGACCAATATTTGGATGTTTCCTTACATGACCACCACATGTGGTAAAATGTACCTATCTGGTCACTACACTTCCAGCATTTATCAGATGTGTTTTTATACCTATGGCTTAGTTTTTTGTAGTATACCATCTGTGGAACATTTTAATCCAATTTTCTTTCAAATCCATTGCATAGGTGTATTTCAACTTTTTGTTCCACATTTGTTCCCATTCTCTAAATTGAATCGGTCTTCTTAAGTTTTCAGCCCATTTAATCATACCTGATTTGACCTGTTCCTTTGCAGTTAACCACACTAATAATTTATTGTAAGTTGTTGTTATAATTTTCTTTTCCATTCTTAAAAATTTGTCCCATGCATTTTCTTCCCAGTCAAATCCTATTTTTATATCTTGTTTATAATATTCTTTAATGTATATATAATGAAACCATGTTAAATTTTCGTAGCTATTGTTCAGTTGTTCAAAAGTTTTAATCTCTGTTTTACCTTTAATTAAAATGCCTTTGTATCTTGGCCATATTCTCCAACCTAAGAGTCTCCTTTGGTGTGCTCCATTGCGGAAATCCACAATGGGGTTGCTTTATAAATGCTGGCCATATGGCCTTGGAGATGTCTATGGACAACGCTGGCTAGTGCTCTCTCTCTCTCTTTCCGTTGTTCTCTTCCTCCCTGTGCCCTTTCCTCCTCCTCTCTCTGAGCTCAACGGGGCGGCGACACTGAGATCTGGGTCTCCTTAGACGAGGAGGAGGAGGAGGAGGAGGAGGAGGAAGCAGCCTCCCCGGCGGGGCCTCGGGAAGTAACGGTCCGGCAGAAGGAAGGAAGGAAGGAAGGAAGGAGGCGGAGGAGAAGGAGAGGAGAGCCTCCCCAGCCCCGTCCCGGGACAGGAGAAGTAAGCAAGCAAGGAGGGAGGGATAGAGCCGCCTCCGCCGTCGGAAAGAGGCCGAAGGAGAAAGAAGGAGGAGGAGTTGGAGTTGGAGTTGTCCTTCCTTCCTTCCTTCTTTTCGGAGAGATTGCATGGCTTGAGACTCATGGGCAGGAATCCCGGTCCATACACTCCCAGTGCTGCTGAGCTGTAGTTTGGCATCCCCACGGACTGGGCTGTTCCCTGTGCTGAGAAGGAAGCTCCACCAAAGGACTCTGGAGTGTGGACAGAGGTTAGAAGAGGACCAAGTTCTGTTGTACTCAGACTCCTTGTGTGGAGGCCAGCATGCAGGGCTTGGTCATGGAATGCTTTGGTTCATAGTGAGCGTAGGAAGGAAACACCTCCAAGACACCTTGCCTTGAGACAGAGACTGTGAACCCACGCTTCAAGAGTTGGGACACCAATGGCCACGCCATGCACTCCGCACATGCTCAGAAGCTCCCTCAATGCCAGTTATGACGACCACCTCCTCCTCCTGGGGCTTAGTCATGGAAAGATTGGATTCATGGTGACCTTACACAGGAGAGACCTCCAAGATGTCCTTCCTTGAGACAGAGACAGAAACTGCTTCGCTTCAAGAGTTGGGGCGCCAATGGCCAATGCTCAGAGCCCCCCTCAATGCCAGCCATGACCACCTCCTCCTCCTGGGGCTTTGTCATGGAAAGATTGGATTCATGGTGACCTTACACAGGAGAGACCTCCAAGACATCCTTCCTGTTCGCAACAGCCCTTGAGAGACAGAGACTGTGAACCCCATGTGTCAAGAGTTGGGGCGCTATGCACTCTGCGCATCCTCAGAGGCCTCCTCAATGCCAGCCATGACCTCCTCCTCCTCCTCCTGGGGCTTAGTCATGGAACAATTGGATTCATGGTGATCTTATGCAGGAGAGATCTCCAAGACATCCTTCCTGTTTGCAACAGCCCTTGAGAGACAGAGATTGCGAACCCCACGTGTCAAGAGTCGGGGCGCCATGCACTCTGCGCATGCACAGAGGCCCCCTCGATGTTAGCCATGACCACGGTCTCCTCCTCTTACCGCCTCAATGAGTGGGTCTTCTGGCCCTTGGCGCTGCTGTGCCTCTGGCAGGTCTGGAGGAGCCGTACAATTGTCGTTGGAGGAGGAGAAGGTGCCACGACGACCTCCTTCCTGAAAGATAGCTCATTATTGCTGTTGGTGGCCCTGCTGGTTTTGAGTGCCTGGGCCTTGAGACGACGTCTCCGCTGCCAACAAGGCACCAAGGAGGCAAGAGCAGTGCCATCAAGGGTCGAGGTCAAGGCCCACAGTGGTCGTCGCTTGGCCTTGGAGGCCTTCTCCACCCAGCAGCAGCTGCTCCGTCCCTCCTCACACGTCTTGGGCCATAGCAAGGCTCGCCTGGGCCGGGTGGCAACCACGGTGGCCAAGGCCGGGAGAGAAGGGGGCCCCTTGAGGATGGCGCTGCGGGGTGACTGGGTGCTGGGTGGTGCCCACGAACAACCTCGACGTCCTGGCGCCGCCTTCGAGGTGTTGCTGCCTTTGCGCCTCCCGCCAGGAATCTGCCTCCAAGTGGCTCCCTCCAAGGAGCCCCAAGGGGTCTTTGCCTGCACCCTGGAGGTCTTTCTCAAGGAAGACGGAGCTGGAGTAGAAGCGCTGTGTATTGAGGGGCCCCAAGGAGTCCCCCACTTGTCCTCGGCACTAACACTGCGCTGGTTCGCAGCACAGCTTAAGCGGAGCCTGCGGGCAGTCCATTGCAGCCTGCAGGAGCACCTGAGCCTCAAGGCGGGCCCTGGGCGGCCTCCCGTCCTCCGCCTTGGCCCTTGTTCTGACGACTACGTCTGCAGCCACCTCTGCCTTTCCTTACGCCTCACTCCAGCCCTTCCCATTGGCAAGGGCATCTTTTTGACCCCATTGCCAGGTCACCAAGGCACCCTCTGGACACTGGACACCTCCCACCTGGAGCGGCGCCTGTGGGGCTGGGTACGGGAGCGGGCCCCCCAAGACGCCTGCCACCTCCATTGCCTCCGGATCCTGGAAGAGCTCCGGGACCTCACTGGGCGCACCTTGGGGCCCCCGCTGCGTGACCAATGGCACCGGGCCCTCCGCTCTGAGGTTCTTGAGACAGCCCTCTTGCGCCTGTTGCTGCAGCGACGGGGTCCCTGGGGCAGGCAGTGGCTGGAGGACTGCCTGGGGGAGCTGGTGGCTTCCCTGGTGGGTGCCTTGAGGAGGCACAGGATGACGCACCTCTTCCTGGGCAGTGGTGCTAGCCTGCTCCCCCCGGCCCTGGGCCTGCCCCGGATGCTCAAGGAGGTTACTTCCATCAACCTCAACCTCCTGGCTGGCTTCGAGGAGCCCTTCTTGGACTGGGTGGCCCTGCAGCTGTGGGACGCCTGGCAGCAGGCTGAGACCCTCCTGGGCAGGAATGGCATCCACCACTGCGATAACAGGAAGCATGCCCACTGAAGTCCAGGCCGGGACCCTTGGTGAGGAAGTGACCTCAACCTTGGTGGGCAAGGATGGAGCAGCATCGAACCCTTGAGTCAGAAGGGATCCCCATAGAGGGCCACCCACTCCAACCACTTTGGCCATAAAGGAGGACACAGTGAATGAAGGAAGGAAGGAATCCTAGAATCCTAGACTTGGAAAAGACCCCAAGGGCTACCCAGTCCAACCTCCTTCTTTCAGACATAATCCAAGCCCCCCCCCCCCGACAGGTGGCCACCCAATCTCTGCTTGAAAACCCCCAGAGAAGACTATTCCACTGCTTTACAAGGCAGTGTGTTCTATTGAACAGTTATTACCATCAGAAAGGTCGTCCCAATGTTCAGTTGGAATCTCTTTTCCTGCCATTTGAATCTATGGCTCCATTATGTCCCATTCTCCAAAGCAGCAGGCTTCTGTCTTTCTTCTTTTGGAGGTCACTTGGGGCCAAAGTGACATGCTGTATGAAGGGTACGACTGACATAACACTTCTTATTATTATTGTTGTTGTTGTTGTTGTTGTTGTTGTTATTATTATTATTATTATTATTTGAAACACACAATGTATGTGAAGGAGGTGGTTGAGACTTTCTTTGGCGTCCCCTTCCCATTAAAACAACCTTCGGACGCCTTCCAGCTCCAAACAGACACCAAGAACTGATGTTTATTATGGACAGAGAACTGGTTAGTTTCAATAGCAGGATCCCTTTTGTGATCAATCACAGATTCCAAGATGGGGTTGAGTTTTCTTAGAGCTGCGATGGAGGAAGGCGAGTGGGCTGCTTTCTCCATTGATCTCACCTTAAAACCAAAGAGGATGAATTCCATGCACTGAGTAGCTTAGCCCATCGATAGCCTTCTTATTCTCATTTTGGGCATTGTTGATAGCACTCCTGATGCTGTTGGTCTCCAGCTCCCATCAGCCTCATCCAGGATTGTTGTGGTCAGGGATGGTGGGAGCCAGAGTCCAACAACATCTGGAAGATGTGGCCATGTGGTTTCCTTAGTGATCTGGTTCACCTGTGTTATGATTGTGCTGTTTTCCACATCCAGGAAATAATGACACGCTCTTCACCCTGGTTGTGGTGTATCTGATGCCTGAATATATCCTCAACCGGGACATGCATGGTCCAACTGAGTGGATGCTTTTTGTCATATGAAAGGATGCAAATCTTGGCCTTAATATACACAAATCTGCACTATTTTTGGAAACGTAAGGGCCATTCTGTTTCTCTGCTGTGGTAGTAGTAGAAATGCAGCCCTGCAAGTATTGTGGGCTTCCAAATAATAATAATAATATATGGTACTTTAGTTATATTCCACTCTATCTTCCTGAGGGGACTCAGGGTGGATTACAGAACACATATACGGCAAACATTCAATGCCGTTATACAATTAACAAGGGCCGACAATACATAAACAAAGGTAAAGGCTTCCCATCTTTTTCCATCTCCACCATCTGGAGGTTGTGTTCAATTCCGGCCACGGGAGGAGTGGGGGCTGCTGTTGCTCCATCTTCCATGCCGAGGAGCTTTGTCGTCCATAGATTTCTATACAATCGGCATGTCCTTATGGGCGCCTTCTTTTATTACCACCCCACTTAAAGAGGTACCTATTTATCTACTTACATTTGTTTTCAATCTGCTAGGTGAGCAGAAAGTGGACTGACGGCGGGTGTTCTCCCTGACCCAGGCTTGAACTGCCAACCTTTTGATTGGCAGGATTTTCTACAGCTTAGTGGTTTAACCCGCTGTGCTAAGCCCGGCCGCAATGTTGCGCCTGAGCTCTCATCATTCTTTACCATTTTCATGGGCTGGTTATAGTTGCTGGCTAACAACATTGCGGGGGGGGGGGGGGGGGGGGGGGGGGGGTGCCTTTCTTTCGTAAGCCTTTATTTAAACAGAATAGTATTCCAATAGCTCTAGTCAAGTGCTTCCAAAACCAAAGGGAAAAACGCTATGCCTGGCTCAACTTGATTCAAAGCATACTGTCTCAGGAACGAGTGCTTAATTTCCTCTAAATTTATGCAGGATATATGTGTCAAAGAGTGAAAGCACTTGCAGACCTTCTCCTTTATCTTTTAGGAACTGCTGCTGGTCCTCTTTTTCATGCCTTTGTGATGCATGGATGCCACTTGGGCACTGAAGGGTTGTACCAGCAAACTTTACGACGCTTTGTGCAGGGAATTTTCAAGGTTGCAGAACAATGGAAGTTTGGATGAGTATTTTTCTCCAATGGTAAAAAGTGGAGGAAGGAAGCCTGTAATGTTTTTAAGAGATGAATTGTGATTCTTGGAAGCTTCCAAGACTGATCAGTCACCCCATGAAGGCGAGGAAACTTGGGAAATTGATTGGAGCGGCCCGGATTTACACTGCTATATCAAATCCAGGCTATCTGTTTTGAACTGGATTTTAGGACAACGTAGACTATAATCCAGTTCAAAGAGGATAATGTGGATTATCTCGTTTGGATAACACAATGTAACAGATTTTGAAAAAATGTACTGTTCCTGGATTTAAAGTGTTATTGGTGTTTAATTGGGTGGCCCTTACTTTGGAAGTAGTTGTTCAACTCCAGAAACTTTGTTTTTGTGGCCACAAATTGGTTGAAACTCGTATCAGATATTCATGGGAAAACAAAATGTGCTACGGGATGTCCTACAAAAACAAAGTTTTAATTGTGAATTTGTGCATAATTCTATTTTAATTTGTGTAAACAATATTTTAAATAATGATTTTATGTCCCCTTTGGGGAGATAAAGTGGGGTATAAATAAATATAATAATAATAATAATAATAATAATAATAATAATAATAATAGTAATAAGATGATGATGATGATGATGTCAAACCGCTTTGAGTCCCCTTTGAAGAGATAAAGCGGGATATAAATTAATAATAATAATAATAATAATAATAATAATAATAATAATATGATGATGATGATGATGATGATGATGTCAAACCGCTTTGAGTCCCCTTTGGAGTGATAAAGCAGGGTATAAATAAATATAACAACAATAATAATGTCAAACTGCTTTGGGTCCCATTTGGAGAGATAAAGCAGGGTATAAATATATAGAATAATTCTAATACTAATAATGATAATAACTTTTTATGTCATTATGATAGAACCAGTTAGGAAATGACATTTATAACCCAGGAACAAAAACCACAGTGTTATAGAGTGTAATCTGGATTATATGGCAGTGTAGATCCAGCCTAAGCAAATTTCCTGTTGTAAGGAGAAGTCAGCAACACTCCAAATGTCCCGGCCTTGGCACTAAATGCACTTGCTGCCGCTGGTGCCTTTCATCACAGATACAGATAAAGCATTTACAAGGCACCCGGAGACTATTTTTAGGGGCTGTTTGGTGGTTTGCAAAAGAGATGTGGCCTCTACTTTGGAGATAACATGGGTGGCGTGACCGCAAATGCATTCCTAGAGAAATCAAAGCAAGAGGGCATCCTGTGATTTGGCTTTTAGCCCCAGGACTTGGAGAGGTCTGCTGATGGTGGGGCGCATGATGAAAGTGTGAAAGAGGATGGCGTGAAGGGAGGAATGGTGCAAAGCATGGAAGGAGAAATGGGCCGCTTTGTTTCCCCATCTCAGTGCATTCAGACCATGCAGAGTTTGAAAACCAGAAGTACAAATGCATATCCTGGAACCAAAAATAATACTCGTAGCACTTTATTTTCATAAATCTATTTTTAAACTAATTTTAGCCTGTGTTAAATGTGTGAAATATTTTCTTTGAAGCAGGAAGCATTTATTTTTTTTACTAAAGAAGTGGATGCTCTAATTTGTAATCTGATAGAAAACAAGAGGTACTCACAAACCAGAAGCAATACTTAATGGCTGCCTTATGAAAAGCTGTTGTCTTTGATGTGTCATTGAGAGAGAATCCGGTTCAGAAAGAAAAGGCTTATGTAAAGAGCTTCATGGTACAACAAACTTCCTGTGATGATGATTCTAGTGAGTCTCCTGGGGTTCGGCCAAACTGGAGTCTTCCCAGATTAGTCAACTGAGGTTTGATATTACACTTCATGTATGGAATGCTAAATTTCAAAGATTGGGAAAGAGGCAGAGGACCCTTCTACACTGTCATACAATCCAGTTTGATGCAGATTACTCTATGTAACCAAATTTTAAAAACGCCCTATTCCTGGTTTGAAAGTATCATTCCTATTTAATTGTGTGGTCCTTCCTTTGAAAGTAGTTTTTCTACTCCAGAAACTATGTTTTTGTGGCACAAACTAGGTCAAATTGGTGGAGACTCTGAGATATTCATTGTAAAAATTAGAGCTAATAATAATAATAACTATAACTGCAAAGACTCTGGCACAAGCCAGTCAAGGTGATCTTAGTGGTGATCAGCACACTGGGTGCAGTGCCTAAAGACCTTGACCTGCACTTAAACACAGTCAGCGCTGACCAAATTACCATCTGTCAGCTGCAAAAGGCCACCCTACTGGGATCTGCACGCATTATTCACCGATACATCACATAGTCCTAGACACTTGGGAAGTGTGTGACGTCTGATCCAATACAACAACTAGCAGAGTGATCTTGTTTGCTGTGTACTACTCTTGTTTCAAATAATAATAATAATAATAATAATAATAATAATAATAATAATAATAATAATAATTTATTTATATAACCCCTTCAGAGAGGTTTAATCGCCACAGAAGTGGGATGCTGGTATAGGTACTCTTTTGTTAAAAACAGCCCTTCTGTATGGCTGCAGATTGCCTTTGTGCTGTTCTGGTTCAGTGGCTGCACTTCTTGTTTACATTGCATGTTTCTGTATGTCTTATATTCAGTATTTGTAATAATTATAACAATAAGAAGAAGAAGAATTTTCTTAGGTACATTCATGTATGGAACAAATCGTTACACTTAACAGAATATCATGGTTGTAAAACTATGAACTCGTGATTTTAAGAAATCTGACTGTGAAGTGAAAATTTTGGAGATTAGTTGGTTAATTTTGCAAAGGAGGCTTCTCCAATAAAGATGGAAAAGGCAGTTCATGAGGGCCATTCTATACTGACATATAAAGTCCAGATTATTTGCTTTGAACTGGATTATATGGCAGCATAGAAAGGACCAAAATTATCTCTTTCTTATGCCATTCCAGAAGGTTAAAGTATTGAACCTCACACTATCCAAACCACCTTGAGTCCCCATGGGGAGAAAGGTGAGGTATAAATACAGATGATGATGATGATGATGATGATAATAATAATAATACAAACAGCAAAAATGCTTCAATAAGAACATGTCTAAACCCTCCTGCCTCCCCCAAATTACCTTCTGCTTTTGTTGTTGTCATTGTTGTTTTTACAACACAACCAATTAGGAAATGACCTTTATAACCCAGGGACAAAAAATCATTTACACACTGTTATACTTGATCAGAGGTCCCCCTGGTGGTGCAGCAGGTTAAACCGCTGAGCTGCAGAACTTGCTGACCAAAAGGTTGGCAGTTCGAATCCAGGGAGAGGGGTGAGCT